GCGCATGCGCAGCTTTCTTCTCACCAGCTGAAGGACTTTTCGGTACCCTGCAGCCAGGCGGCTGAGAGGCTTCTTTGCTCTGATCAGCTTTGGGTGGGCAAGCAAGCAGCGACCCGGGAACCCGTTCAGGGGCGTGGCCTGGCTGCCGTTACTACCGGTTCGGAGAACTACTTCCTAAAGTTCTACCTATTCGGTAGAACCGGGCCAAACCGGGAGCAACCCATCACTGGTCTGCTTCCCCCCCACCCATCTCCTTCACGTTGGTTCTTCATGGTTTAGATAAAGGGTGGCTGTTTACGTATCAATGACAAGAAGATAAAAAAAAAGACATAGCGTTGCATAGTGAAATGTACATATACAGTACACATGCAAATTTAGAAATGGATATAATTCTATTTGATTCATTTCACCAAGGACTTGCTACCTTTGGGTTCACCCTATGCTATCTAACTGCAGTGCTAATTGTGATTGACAACTCTTGTAGCACTTTACATTTAATCCAGTAAAAGTTAAAAAAAAAAAAAAACCTCCCAGGAGAAATCAGTACCAACCACTTCCATATTGCTGTCAAGAAAACTACATGTCCATGTCCTTTTTTTTTTTTTTTATAATAATTTATATACCGCCCTTCTCCCTGAGGACTCAGGGCGGTGTACAGCCGAATAAAAACATAAATTACAAACATTAAAATAGTATTAAAAGAATATATATAAATTTGACCCCGTAATTTAAGAACAATAACAAACCCATTTAAAACATTTAAAAAATTAAGAAAAAAAGTTAAGCCAGCCTGGCTTGCTGAAAAAAGAGGATTTTAAGGGCACGGCGGAAGGCACCGAGGTCTTGGATTCTCCTAATCTCTGGGGGCAGTTGGTTCCAGAGGGTGGGTGCCCCCCCAGAGAAGGCCCTCCCCTTGGGGGTCACCAGCCTACATTGTTTGGCTGATGGCACCCCGAGGAGGCCCTCTCTGTGGGAGCGCACAGGTCGATGGGAGGCCATCGGTAGCAGTAGGCGGTCTCGAAGATATCTAGGTCCTATGCCATGGAGCGCTTTAAAGGTGATAACCAACCCCTTGAAGCGCACCCGGAAGACCACTGGGTGCCAGTGCAGCTCACGCAGGAGCTTTTGGTCAACAGAAGATGAAGCTAACTCAGAGAAGTCTTTGAATCCAAATAGAAGATATTCTTTAGACAGCCCTACATAAAAGCAGGGCATGGGTCCGGTCCAGTCCAGGCCTATATAGGAAATATAGGGCAGAAGAGAAGAATCCAGAACTTTGATATACAGAAGGACAATATTGGGTTAAACAGCAGGCTAAACAGTGGTGAAATAAAAAAAAGAGAAAAGAGAGAGGACACAATGGGAAACATAGAGCAAAATAGGAGAGATCAGGATTTTAAAGTGCAGGAAAGAACGGGAAAGAAAAAGGTAAAAATAAAATTGAAAAAGAAGAAAAGGAGAAAGAAACGAAAGGAATTTGAGGTATACATTTAGAACTGAAATGTGAATTGTAGCAAGAAGTAATGGTAAAGTATATGGTGGTGAAAATGAATTGTACAATAATTGAAATATTATCATTTATACTTTTGAAATCTAGATAATGATAGTTTTTTTTCTTTTTTGAGAAATATGAGTAAGTTTAAAATGTAATAATTGAAATACTGTTAATGGTTTGTGGTGGTGTGTATAAAAATGATTAAGTGAGGATTTGAAACAATACATGGGGGAAGCAAGTAGAGGATAACGGTCAGAATATTTTTAAATTTAATTAAGGAAATTGTAATAGATGAAATATTTTTAATGGTATATTGTCATGAAAGTAGAAATGATTAAGATGTGGTTCGGAGGAACATATGGGGAAATTATTTGATGTATGAAAATGGAACTAACTGGAATAGCCATATTTATATTCTTTTTTTTTCTTTTTCTTTAAGTGTTTGAATATATAAATGGAAAAGATACTTATATAAGTAACTGATTATATTAAAATGTTGGACTGTTACTTAAGAAAATGTAAGTTATAAAACAAGTGGGCTCACTATTCTTATAAGAATTGAACAATTGTAACACCATAAAATTAATTATTCTGATGATGGGTATAAAAACAGATGACAATAAGAAGGGGTTTAATATAGAATAGAAGGGAAATTGGAATTTGGTTAAAATTAGAGATGAAAATGAAGGGTAAAATTGGTAAAAAAAAAATAGATGAAAATGAACACTATGGCAAAAAGGAGGTATAGAAACGGTAATTTTAGTTCTAAAGATTAAAAATTGTTTAAATTTGTTAACCGGCCAAATACTCTGATCAGCAAAAATACATTGTATGTTTGTGTGTGTGTATGTGTAAAAATAAAGAAAAACTTTTTACAAAAAAAAAAAGAAAGAAAGAAATAATCCTGCTCACCCTCCCACCTCTCCATTCACCATCAGCTGTTAGAACAGAGCAGTCTGATCATTTCATTCTTGCATAAAATACGGCATCCTTCACTTAATCCTCCAAGGAAAGATTGAAGGCAAAAGAGGTCCAGACAGAAGAAGAACATCATGGCTTCAAAATCTAAGGGACCAGTTTGGACAAAATTCAGCAGCACTTTTTTGTGCGGCTGCTGATAAAAATAGGGTCGCCAACATGATCACCGACATCCGATGACGGATATGGCACAAGAAGAAGAAGGTACAAATGCTGCCGTTCCAGTTGGCTGGTGTGCGCTCTAGAACATGAGTTCCTTCTACTTCCTGCTCCCAGCATCCCTACTCTCTGATTGATCTGTCCCCGTCCACACACACACACAAACACAGCCAGCTGAGGGTTAAGAAAGTACTTGGCACGCACACAGGTCGTTATCTCAAACTTGGCAGCAATATAATCACCGTCTGCCAAGAGCTTTTACTGCAACAGATAACATTAAATTACATACGCATTGCAAATAGTCCAGTAAAACAATATTCCTTTCGGCAGCTTCAGACGTTGTTCAAGTGACTAGCCAAAGTTCGTTTTTGTTCATCACAGAGTTTTACCAGCCACCACCCTCTCTTATATAGTCTCTGGGGTGTGGTCCAGTGACTCAGTTCTAATCCCTAGCACGCCTCCTTAACTGCTGCAACCGTTTATCACGCCTTCGTTGGCGTGCATCCAGGAATGACGGCTCTCCTTCGCTCTCATCCGAGACACCTGGCTCCTGGCTAATCTCCTCTCCCTCGGCCGGCACCTGAGACAGTGCCAGAGGGGAGGGGCCTGGAGAGGGAGGCCTGGCTGACTCCTCTCCCTCATGTTCGGAGCTTTCTTCCTCCGATGAGATAGGCTCAGAGGGCGGGGCCACAACACTGATGATCATTTCATACAGGACCAGGCTATATATGTTCTATTGTTTTATTAAAACTTTTTTTTCCAAGTCCACAATAGATGGCCCCGAAAATATTAGAAAAGGGTTTCCTAATGGTTTGTTGGCTTGTTTGGCTTCACCCATTGACTTCACCCAGTACTTGGTAAGTCCTGTGTGCCTGAATTAGCTTTGGTCCAGTTCTGCCTGCTTCCTAGGTAAGGCTCTTTGATCATACCCAGTCACTTTGGTCATACCCAGAGACATCTGTATTTCGGATTTAACAGATGCTGTTTCCTATGGTAGGCTGTTGTGAATATGCTGCTGGAACATCTGCACCAACCAATTTCATTCAACATTCATACAAGCGGGGTAGACCTTCCAAGTGTTTTGGATTACACCTCTCCAAATTCCTTGCCATTGGCTCTGTTTTCTAAGGCAAAAAGCAGTTGAAATCCAAAACCTCAACTAGAAGTCACTAGGTTGCCTATTTCTGGATGCTGTATTTTTGTAATGATGTGATGGAATCGGCAAGTGACATTCAATGTGACAGTCTGCTACAGAACTGCTTGTTTTGGTTTGTCCAATTAGTTGCTTCCATACTGATTGGGGAATACATTTTCTGCCCGCTTTAGTTTGGCTCCAGGGTGTGTTTACAACCACATATGCTATGCTCAATTTCTTGAAGACCTATCATTGATGTGGCTTGAAAATATGCTTGAAACTAAACCACATGGGTGAAAAGAAGGCTTTCCGTATTGCCAGCAGATCATGGAAGCAATTTCAGGGAAAGAAATTAGCCCCATTGGGCACACTATATATACATAGGTGTGCCCATGACTTGGAAAAAGACACAAAGGCAAGGATGTAATCACTGTTCTGACCTAGGCTTCCCAAGAGCATGAAGCAGACTCCTTGTCCTGACCAAAAACCCCTTTTTATTAAATTAATCTGATTTTTTTTCTTATTCACATCCAGCAAAGTCTTTCAAAGGTGAATTTACAGTCACGGACCTTATCTGGCTTGGGGAGCTGCCAGGCCGATATCTTCAAAACTTGGCAAGGAGTCACGGCGAGTCACGAACCAATTAAGTGAACTAATTGTCTCCTGCAAACTCCACTCCCCTTTTGCTCCTCTTTTATTTCCTCTGGGAGGGGCTGTTCATCGTCCACCTGTGGCCTTACTCCCAAGTTGACCCTTATTCCTTAGCTGTTCCCTTCATCTGGCAACTCTGCGCATGTGCACACTGGGAACAGGCTCCAGCTGTTCATCTGCCTCACTGATGTCTGACTCCGAAGGCAGCTGATAACTGGCATATGGCCCTGTCCCTCTCTCTGCCTCCAATGCAGAGTCCTCATCAGAGCCTTCCCCATACTCAGGACTGGCTCATGTTCCTCCCCCACCTCCTCACTGTCTGAATCTGCTATGGCGGAAAAATGCACTTGATGAGTCAAGAAGGTTTAGGATTTTCCTGTGAATTCTGTCAACTTTGAAATAATTTTGATTTGTACAATTCATTTTCCATACTTAGGAGTTAATCTAAATCAAGTGCGGCCATTTTCGTCTGGCTAACAATGGAACGGAGGGAATTTAAGCTCAATAGAAGTGAAATAGCAAGAAAAATGCTGCAGCCTGATTTGTTTCTTCAAATTTCTTGTTCTGTTTTGTTTTACTCAGGGACAGCCTGGAACAAGAGGTTTTCCTGGGTTTCCAGTAAGTAAGATCCTTAGCATAAATTGCTGAACAATTCTTTATTGCAAAGGTTGGAAAACATAAAATAAATTGTTTGTTTGATTTACTGTAATGTTTTGATCTGTTCTAAAATCTGACCATTTGATTCAAAAGTAATAAATTGCATCATTTTTTTCAAATCAAATCATACACCAAATGACTCTAGCAGCTTAATGCATAAAATAGAATTTGTTATGGATTGCTTTAGTTCAGTATTTCAAATCAATTCATTTAACCAGATCCGATATTTAAAACAGATTTCGGGCAATTTGCATCCCACTATCCATTTTTTTTATAGTAAAGGTAACTAGCAACATTACTCTTGGAATTTCCTTCCACAATAATTCAATAAAATAAATACTATAACCTCAAACCAGCTGCAAAAATGCATAAATCATTTGGCTTAACTTCCAGTTCAGTCAGTGTTGTGGATAAATGTTCAATGGAATGACATCTCGGAACTAAAACTATTAAATTCCAGTAGGAAAAAATAATATTTTAGAATGCACCTGCCTACCATGCAACACCATTTTATAAATGAACTGAACAGACCTAAAATTAACAGCAGCAGGGAAAGAAATATAGGAATACTATAAATAAGAACCATTTCTTCACATCCTTATCGGTTTTTTACTGCATTCCATTATTAACCATAATTTATAACTAAAATAATCTGCCTTTATGTACTTCTTTGCTGACATGCAATACAAAAATATACGGTAGTCCTCAACTTACAAAAGTTTGTTTAGTGACCATTCAAAGTTACAATGGCACTGAAAAAAGTGACTTTTGACCACGACTGTCGCAGTATCCTATGGTCATGGGAATGAAATTCAGATGGTTGGCAACTGACGTGTATTTATGACGATTTCAGTGTCTCGGGGTCAGAGGTGGGTTTCAGCAGATTCTGACCAGTTCTGGAGAGCCAGTAGCGGAAATTTTGAGTAGTTCGGAGAACTGGTAGTAAAAATTCTGACTGGCCCCACCCCCATCTATTCTCTGCCTCCCAAGTCCCAGCTGATCAGGAGGAAATGGGGATTTTGCAGTAACCTTCCCCTGGATTGGGAGGAAATGGAGATTTTACAGTATCTTTCCCCTGGAGTGTGGTGGGAATGGAGATTTTACAGTATCTTTCCCCTGCCACGCCCACCAAGCCACGCCACGCCCACCAAGCCACACTCACAGAACTGGTAGTAAAAAAATTTGAAACCCACCACTGCCTGGGGTCATGTGATCACCCTTTGCCACCCCTTCTGACAAGCAGAGTCAATGGGGGAAGCCAGGTTCACATTAAACTGTGTTACTAACTTAACAACTTCAGTGATTCACTTAACAGCTGTGGATAGAAAGGTTGTAAAATGGGGCAAAACTCTCATAACAAATGTCTGACTTTGCAACAGAAACTTTGGGCTGAATTGGGGTTGTAAATTGAGGACTACCTGTACTTCATTCCATATCTATCATGCGGTAATGACTCAGTTTGTCCCTAATTCCCTTTCCCACAATCCTTGCTATATGTACCAATTGCATTGTTAAAATAGTACACTCGTGCATATTTTAAAATATTGATTTTCTCTTTTTTTCCAGTTTTTGATATATTTATGTCTCTGGTCCTAACATTGCATGATGAAGGTGGTGGGTTGTACTGGCAAGACAAAAACATGCTATACAAATAAATCCTTGCTATTTAAATCAATTGATCTCTCTCTCTCTCTCTCTCTCTCTCTCTCTCTCTCTCTCTCTCTTTCTCCCTCTCTTTTTAGGGTCCAATTGGTTTGGATGGCAAACCAGTAAGTGAAGTCATTTTCCATTGTTCTCATTCTTATCCCTTAGCCTTTGAGTCCCCCCCCACTTTCCCATAATCCTCTCCCTCACATTTCTGTCCAGAAGGTTGTTGTAAAATGCTTATTTCAAAATGATCAGAGAATAAATTTAGGTGGGTTAATAGACAAAAGGGCAACAATGAACAGAATACTGTGAGATTTTCCATAGCAATAGCACTTAGACTTACATACCACTTCACAATGCTTTACAGCCTTCTCTAAGTGGTTTACAGAGTCAGCATATTGACCTGGGTCCTCATTTTACTGATCTCGGAAGGATGGAAGGCTGAGTCAACCTTGAGCTTCTTCTCTTCTCTTCTCTTCTCTTCTCTTCTCTTCTCTTCTCTTCTCTTCTCTTCTCTTCTCTTCTCTTCTCTTCCCTTCCCTTCCCTTCCCTTCCCTTCCCTTTTCCACTCTCCTCTGCTCTCCTTTCCCCTCCCCTCCCCTTCCCTCCAGTGGTGGGTTGCCCCCGGTTCGCACCGGTTCTATAGAACCAGTAGTAAAACCGACGGGAGGCTCCGCCCACCAACCCCGACATCATAAAAATGCTTCTGCGCATGCGCAGAAGAGCGCGTGCACGGCCCCATTGCGAACCAGTAATAAAGGTAAGTAGAACCCACTCCTGCTTACCTCCCTTCCCCTTCCCCTTCCCCTTCCCCTTCCCCTTCCCCTTTCCCTTCCCCTTCCCCTTCCTCTCCTCTCTCCTCTCCTCTCCTCTCTTCTCAGGACCCAGATTGTTGGGGGCAATATGCTGACTGTGTAAACCGCTTAGAGAAGGCTGTAAAAGCACTGTGAAGCGGTATATAAGTCTAAGACTTATATATAAGTCTTAGACTTATATAGACTATAAGCCGTATATAAGTCTATAGAGTCTAAGACTTAGACTCTAAGTGCTATTGCTATTCTCCCCTTCCCCAGCTGTTGAATAAACAGGACAAATCTAAAATAATTTCTGATCTTAATGTTCAAAAGGTTTATACTGAAACTCACTTCCCTTTTTTTTATCTTGTTTCAGGGACAACCGGGACAGAAAGGGGAAATGGTAATAAGATGTTCAATCAATTTTGCATGAGAGCATTCTGCTTATTAAATTTCATGTTCATGGAAAAGAACAAATGGCAGGGATGTTTTTGAGGGATCCATCTTTATAGGGAATGAAGAGGTAGAAAACTTGAAGCTCTCCAGATGGAACTAAAATATAGTTCCCAGCATTCCTGACTCTAGTTGGGATTGTTTAGAGCTGAAATTCAGATTTTTAGCCCAGGAACAGCTTTCTCTTTCTTTGGCAGATTAGAAAGACAGAATAATGATTTGTGTTGAGAAATTTGTAAACTCTATCTTCGTCTTTATTAAACAGTTGTAGGATAGATTATTAGATTTGTTTATAACAATCATATACTTTTTAAGAGCAATGCTATATGTGCAAAAAGAGGTTTGCTTCTATGGAATAATGGGAAAGTGTGCTATTTTTGAATGGGCAGAACTGCTGTTGTGGAATTAAAACTGAAAACTATACTTCACAAATGGATCCAACAGATTTCTGGAAATGAAATTCATTTCAAAATTTTGGGGAATGTTAAATGATTTCCCAAACTCTTCTCTGCTGCACTAGCTTTCTCTTGGCCAGGGATGTTTAAAACATAAATATATTACCATACAGTGGTTGCAGTATTACAAATGACCATGAGATGGCAGTGCAGACATCAAAACACCAACTCATGGCTCCCATCTAGTGGTGGTATAGATTATATTCATTATAAACAAGGTGTGCCTAACAAAAGACCACATTCAAAAACATAATCTCACATCTGTAATTTGAAGTAATACCAAAGCCTGTTATATGACCTCTTCCCTCTGCCACTTTATTGTCATCTAATGCTGGTGTACGTCTATGTGAAAGTGTTATATTGGTTGTAAACTGGCACAAAATTTAAGTTTGTTGTTTGTGATTTTGGATGGCTTATTTATCTTATTTTTTTTTTTGTGTTGCAATCATGAAACAAGGGAAATACTTATCTAAATCAGCTCACGGTGTTTGTTTGTGCTTCCTTATTTGACTTTATTTTATTGATCCTGATTTCATTTCCCAATCATGAATTTAGGTTGTTTCATAGCTTAACAAACACTTTTCACCTGTGCTGTTTTTTGCACCAGCATTTCTTGTTACAGTTACTTCCTCAACTGAGATCATATAGATCAGGGGTGGGCAACTGTGGCCCTTTTACAACCTGTGGACTTCAACTCCCAGAATTCCTGAGACAGCCAAGCTGGCTCAGGAATTCTGGGAGTTGAAGTCCACAGGTCATAAAGGGGCCATATTTGCCCACTCCTGATATAGATCCATCAGAAACAAACTAAGTTTGGTAATAATCTCAGTGCAGTACAATATAGACCTCAGGAATTTCATTAATTTCTTGAATTACACATATAAATAAGGATTATGAATTGATTTTTGAATGGTGATTATAAAATCCAGACTGAAGTGATGGTCTGATGAGTTCTCCATGAAATATAATTCAGTAATCTCCTCTCTTCAAACCAAACCAAAATTTTGTTGTGATATAGGCAGTATACCCAATTTTGAATTAAAGCATTTTCAAGCCATCTCTGGCCATTGTTTGGGCTGAAATGGCCACAATGAAGGTAGATTTTACACTCCCCTCCATGTTGGCTAAAAAATGCTAGAAGGTGCTATGAGACCATAAGGAAATGTAATCAAGGTATCCTATGAAATAATGAAATGACATATTTTTGCCTTGGATTCAAGGTTTAATAGTTGTACTGTAAACAACATCTCAAGCACTATATTATAAGAGTAGAGTAGTGTGAATTCAGTCCGAATGTCCCAGATGGTTGATTTTATGACTGGGTTTAGGAACAGATGTTAATATGGGAAATCGTAACACTTATTCAAATGGATTTTTAAATCACTGGAGTCTTAAAAATATATACAATACCGTGCAAGTTGTTAACTGGTCATTTTTTCCACTGTGGGAATTATGTGAAAATGGCCTTATGGAATTACCATGTGCTTTACAGATAACTATAAATATAGATAACCATAAAAGTGTGTTTTTCACATATATCCCAAGAAGAATAGTACCGGTGTATGCTTGTATGGGAGAGAGGTGAGAGAAAAGTTGGGAAATAAACAGGATGGAGCATTAAGAAATTGTTTTAAGATCTTCCACTTTCTTGGTCCAATTTTTTAAAAATTAGAAATACGTATATACTCAGAGTTACCTGCAAACTTATTTATGTCAGCCACTAGAAACTACAAATAGGAATAGTCCAGAGTATCACTATTTTGTTTGCAAAGTCAGTGGGTGAATGGGTGTAAAATAATCAAGATTGTGGCTATGTGATTGAAGCCCTGCCCCGTTTCTTACATGGATGCCATTTTGAGTTTTTAAACCTCCCTATGAATATTACTTCTTGTTTGCAAGCAAACATGCTTGGTGAACACATGGTCCCTGATCCAAACATTCTCTCTTTCTTGCTAATTCTGTTGCTACCTATGTGCATCTTGGCCTGCTCTAAACACATATCTCATTTCAGTGTGGGTGAATTTCTGGTTTTGCTGGAATCATACATTTTTCAATGTAACCTGAGTTTTAACCAGCATCAAAACCACAGTGAACCTCTGGATTTTTTTTTCTCTCTTCTCATCCAAATTAATGAAATAATTCCACTGTACAAACTATTAAAAGCTGCAAGCTTGTAGTATGGCCAGGTTCTCCTTGACTTGACCCAAAGTACATAGACTTCTAATTGACCTCCTCCGCAGCTCAAAATAATGGTCACTTAGCTGCCCCTGTTTTGCAAATATGGTTCTTTATTTTTGTTCTGGACAGGTGCCAGTTTTCTAAAGTATCCGGAGAACCAATGGTGTGCTTTTCTTTTAATCCAAACATAGGGGTGGATCTTTATAATGAACATGTATGGTGATCTTCCAAATGATTTTGCAGCTCTAAGCAGAAGTCAATGGCAGGTTTTCTTTGACCATGAATCTTAGCCCATCCTATAGGCCAGCGATGGCGAACCTTTTCAGCACCGAGTGCCGAAAAGGGAGCATTTCGCATGTGCGCGAATGCTTCACACAAGCACTCATCAGGGCCGCGACCAAGAAGAGGAGCTGCCCAGGGGGCATGCGTGCGGTGTTCTAGTTTCATGCCTTCTAGTTTCCGGTGCGGACATGCGCGCCGGCAAGCAAGTCTTCCGGTTACTGCCACGCATGTGCACGCACTGATCAACTGGCCAGCAGACATGCTCATGCAGGAAAACAGAAGACCAGCTCTTCTGGTTTCCAGCACTGCCGCATGCACAAAGGCCAGCTGATGTTGTATGCACATGTTCACCAGAAACCTGGAAGAAGAACAGGCGACGCCGCATGTGCCAGGCGACATGGCTCCATGTGCCACTTCGGGCATGTGTGCCATAGGTTCGTCATCATGGCTATAGGCGTTTTCACAAAATAGAAATAATGGATGACTTTAGCCCAAAGCTTTATGCCGAAGTAGGCTCATCTACTCAGAAAAACGGGGAAAATTACCTGGTTAGATAAACAAGGTTTTAAGCCTACTCAAATCTAGCAGCTCTATTGTGGACCTACAATTTTTTGCCAGTTCAAAATTCCAACGTGTCCACCTTGGAAACATTTTGTGAAATCCCATTTAATCTAGGTTGTCTGAAAGATTCTAGGTACACTTGGATTTCAAAACATGGAAGTATTAATAATCTCAAAAGAGGATGCAATTCATTCCTCCTCTCTGTAATGCCAGTACTTTGTATAATTTGTGTTACAATTTTTGTAATAAAGCTCACTTCCCCTCTCACTCAATGTGACCTTGGGCTTCCCAAGATCGAAGTTCAACAAGTAAGTACTTCTACTGATACTAAGATTAGAGATCTAAGATTAGAAATCACATCAGTTTTGATTAATGGCTACACTAAAAAATATTAAACATTCTCTCTCTCTCTCTCTCTCTCTCTCTCTCTCTCTCTCTCTCTCTCTCTCTCTCCCTCCCTCCCTCCCTCCCTCCCTCCCTCCCTCCATCTCTCCCTCTCTCTTTTACACTTTCACAGTAGGTCTGTGAAGGGAGAGCATTATTTCCTGATTGGAACAGTACAAGACAACAGATTGACCACCTTTTACGAAATAGCAATAACAAATTTCAGGAAAGCCAATATTGATTAAGCATTAGGGTATGCCTGAATCAATAGTTTCCCTATCCCTGGTTATTGCTTAAAAAGAATATACTATAACCTGCCCTTTTAATCCATATGCCTTGGTAAAAACAATTATTACAAGAACAAAACCTAAAGTGTATAGTTAAAGCAGGCAGCTGCACATGAAAATTGTACCTTTTCAGTGAAGGGAATGGCTTCCAATGAATTGGCAGATTCATTCATTGATGAATTTTGTAGCTTGGAAAATGTCCTTGCTCCAAGTCAGATAATTATTATAATTGCAGGAAAAGGAACACATTACATTGGCAATCCTACAATCATGGGCATATTTGATCCTGAATCAACTGTAATAAACAAAATTGGCCAATAGTTTTGAACCTTGATATTCTGAAACATCTAAGTCTCCAACTTTGGCAATTTAAAGACTTGTGGACTTCAACTCCACAAGTTGAAGTCCACAAGTCTTAAAATTGCCAAGGTTGGAGACCCCTGTACTGAAAATTACCAAGAACAAGAAGTTCTTTCTGATATGAGGCCATTACCCAGGGTGGGTCAATCACTGTTATCCCTACCAAGATGAAAGAACTCTTCACAATGATGCAGCTGCTGTGGTCCTGTCTCTTTGACTCTATTTTGGGTTACATGATTTAAAATATTTTCTTTTTTAATCCCTCTGTTTCTGCAGGGTCAGTGCGGAGAATATCCACACAGGGTAAGCAAATTCTTCTGGGTTTTTGAACTGAATTCTGTATCTTATCCCTTCTTAGCCTGAATAGCTTCCATGGAACTTCAAACAGATCAATTAGGAAGATCTTGTGTTCTTCCTGTGTTCCAGGGGTGAAATCCAGCAGGTTCTGACAGGTTCTGGAGAACCAGTAGCAGAAATTTTGAGTAGTTTGGAGAATCGGCAAATACCACCTATGGCTGGCCCCAGAGTGGGGTGGGAATGGAGATTTTGCAGTATCCTTCCCCTGGAGTGGGGTGGGAATGGAGATTTTGCAGTATCCTTCCCCTGTCATGCCCACCAAGCCACACCCACCAAGCCACACCATACCCACCAAGCCACGCCCACAGAACTGGTAGTAAAAATAATAGCATTCCACCACTGCTGTCTTCCTGTGTTTCTCTCACCCACTGTAGATATTCTGTGGCTTGGATCCTTTCTTGACCAAAGAAAGAAGAGTATTTTTTAAAGGGACTTATCAAGGTCTACAGTAGTGGCCAAAATTGTGGAAACCTTTTGGGGAAAGTGTATTTTTGAGGTTTGATGGCTAAAAACACCATTTTTTTTTTTTTGGAGTTTCAAAATAATCACATTCCACTGCTGGAATGGCCTGGGAATAGCCCAGACCTGAACCCAATTGAAAATCTATGGAGCTGACTAAAGAAACTTGTTAGTCAGAAGCAACTCAGCAATAAAACCCAGTTAACAGAAGCAATCATTCAATCTTGGTTTCACATTATAACAACTGCAAAACTAAAAGACTTGGTTCACTCCATGGGAAGACGTCGTAAGGCCGTAATTCATGCTAAAGGTTACCCAACTAAGTATTAACTGACGCGGTGATATTTTTTGTATGTCTCGTTTTTTCTATGGTGATAATTTTTGTATATCTTGTTTTTCTACGTGTTTCACTTTTCTCCTTTATATTGTAACTGCTATTCTAATAGCAAATCCTTCATAAAAGTTATTGCGTTACATTCTTGATTAAATTATCTTTCCATTGATATATAATTTCACGGTACTACTCCAAAAAAAAAAAAAAGTGGTGTCATTAGCTAGTTTTAGAAAATACCCTGTTCCCAAAAGGTTTCCACAAGTTTGGCCCCTACTGTAATCCCACAAATTCTGTTATCAGAAAGGGGTGGAGCACAATCATTGGAGAATGCTTCACCTCCTCACCTATGCTTCCTTTTATTCAAATCGTATTAAAATGGCAGTGGAACCCTACCAAAACATTGTAGGTTTAAATGAGCCTGGTCACAATAGAATATGGTCATTTAGCACAGCAGGCCTTCTGAAGTGTAGCAGAAGTTCAGATATTGTCCGGCATTTTTTGTTTGTTTGTTTATTAGCATAGATTTAAAGAATATTTATTTATTTATTTATTTATTGGTTTGGTTTATATGCTGCCCTTCTCCAGAGACTCAGGGCGGCGTACAATGTGTTAAGCAATAGCCTTCATACTTTTGTATATGCCTGCTTAGTGGGGCTTTCGGCCCCCACTAAGCGGTGTTCTTTTTTTATACAAAGTCAGCTTATTGCCCCCACAATCCAGGTCCTCATTTTACCTACCTTCGGAAGGATGGAAGGCTGAGTCAACCTTGAGCCTGGTGAGATTTGAACTTGCAGTAATTGCAGGCAGCTAAGTGCTACTTAACAGCACTTTAGTCCACTGCGCCACCAAGGTGTGTCACTATCACACACACACACACACACACACACACACCAACAACAACAACTCTGGGTACTTTACAGTATAAAAAGCCAGAACAATAAGATAAAAGAACAAAGGATATGATTCCACAAACAGAAAAACCAGAGTCTTCCAGGCTACCCCAGAGTCTGGGAGAACAGCCATGTTTTCAATGCCTTTTCAAACATCATCGTAGTGGGAATCAGAGGGGGCTGGGGGGGGGGGGGAGGGATGATGCTCCAGAGGGCAGATGTCCTGTTGTTTTGCCTTCTTGTAGGATGCTTAGATAACTATAACTGTAACTAACCAGAGAAAGAGAAAGACTGCAGTGCAACAAAGCAACATGACAAATACTAATGTGCTTAGAGTTAAAATAGCCAAGAGGTATTTACAGAGCATTTTTAAAAAAAAGAGCTGGGGGAATAAAAAAGATGGGAGCTTAACACAAACACCCAAGCAAGTTACATGTCTGACCTTATATAGCAATAATCTGCTGACAATCCAGAAAAGGCTTTCAGGATTTAACGTTTTAATTTTAATCTAAACAATGGGAATGAGTTACAGTTTAGACAACGAGTTAAGAGTCTAAAAGAATTACCAAATTTGACTCACTTGAAACCGAGTTAAAATGAGCAACCCACTGGTTTGCAAAATGTACTCAGCAGCACAAGGTTCCCATCAACCACTAAATCTCTAAAACCCGCTAAAGGCAATTTGTAAAAAACCCTACATTTTGATTTGTTGCGTAAAATTTATCCTTTATGATGATCAAAGAATAGGAGAAGAAAAGAAACTTCAGGAGACAAGTATTGTCTTTGTCTGTTCCAAATGTCTTAAGAAACTTTTGAATATGAATTTGACATAGTTGATGGCATTTTTTTACGTCTCTGAGGCCAACGATATAGCCCTAATCAATGCTGATTCACTGAGAATGCAATGCAAACTTAATCATTACCACTGAATCTTATTTGAATTCTTAACTATACGATATGTGTGTGATTTGTTCACTGCCAATTTTAAAACGACTCATGCCAGATTACATCCCTAAAAACAAAATAAAACAGCATACAATTATCATTAAGCAGGAAAAAAAATCAAATATTTAACAAAGCCAACATTGCATGTGATGAGATTTAATTGTGTTTCTTGAAAGGCATCAAAACGTTTCAGTGCCAAAATCTCCACTAAGCAATTGTTTATGTGAAGCTGATTGGACTTGAAAAGTTATTCCTGTAGATTATCTGGACAATAAACAATGATGTTCAAGAGAACTTCATGTTCCATATCTCAACTTGGAAGATTTCTTAAATGCATCAAATTTCAGCCAAAATTTATGTTTATCTGCTTAATAGATTGTTCTTTAAAACATGGAGGATTAGCCATGACAGAAATCCTAACATACAGCCAGAGAAATTTCTCTTCTTAGAAAATACGGTCTATGACACGTTGATTGATGAGCTACACTGCTAGGAGAAAGCATTATCCCATGTGAAAATTCAGAAATGGGGCAATCTCCGAGTACTGTATTGCTGTACCACGAGGGCTCCAGAAATTCTAGGAGGGTTAGGACCACAAGGAGTAATTGCAAAGTCTAAATTTCAATCTAAGTCACAAGTTGTAAAAAGCCAGAACAAGAACTTGATAAATAGTAATGTTCCGATATCTCAGGGGCTGCCACAAAGAAGAGGGAGTCAAGCTATTCTCCAAAGCACCTGAGGGTAGGACAAGAAGCAATAGGTGGAAACTAATCAAGGAGAGAAGCAATTTAGAACTAAGGAGAAATTTCCTGACAGTTAGAACAATTAACCAGTGGAACAACTTGCCTTCAGAAGTTGTGAATACTCCAACACTGGAAGTTTTTAAGAAGATGTTGGATAACCATTTGTCTGAAGTGGTGTAGGGTTTCCTGCCTGGGCAGGGGGTTGGACTAGAAGACCTCCAAGGTTCCTTCCAACTCTGTTATTCTATTTCTATTTCTAAATGGTTAGCAAGAAATCAAGAGCCTTTGTTAGATAAAGTTCCATCTTTTCCAGCATTCCATCATGATCAGTCATTAGCTTCAAGCAGCCTCTCACCAAGTTGGGAAACCAATAGTCCTGTCCATTGATTGCTCTGCAGCAACTCATAATCTGTGGCCTTTCACTTGCAAATAGATTGGTTGCCTATCAACAGTCTTCCCAACATTTGCTGCTTAGACAATTGTCATTCATTCATTCATTCATTCATTCATTCATTTATTTATTTATTTATTTATTTATTTATTTATTTATTTATTTATTTATTTATTTATTAAATTTATATCCCGCCCTTCTCCCCAAAGGGACTCAGGGCGGTGAACAGCGGAGAATTAAAATAAGATACAATATAAAAGTTAAAAGAATTAAAAATAGATTAAATTAAATGGCCGCCCCAATTTAAAACCCCTAGCAATACAATTAAAAAACCCCTAAAACCTATTCAGGCCAGGCCGGCTTGCTGAAATAAAAACGTCTTCAGGGCCTTACGGAAAGTGCAGAGATCCATAATCAGCCGTATTCCGGGAGGTAGCTCGTTCCAGTTTGTTCTTCTTTATGACCTCAGGTCATGGCATCCCTACCCTCAACGTGAGGGTAGGGATGCAAGACTGAGGGGGTCAATCAAAGCCAGGGAACTGCAACCTTAAACACTCCAAGAACCATTTGCACCTGTTTCCCACAGAAAAGAAAACACCGGGAGCCACAAAACCCTTCCCGTGCCTAACTATTTCTTAAGCAGCCACAAAACTAGCATATGTAGTTGAATTAAACGTTCTGTTTTCTTCTGAGACTTTCTTTTCTTGGATTTATCCATGGTTGTCCTACCAGGGGTTGAAAAGCTCAGTAAATCACATTACTGCTGGTGTCGCACATTGGCGGTTGTGATGCATATTTTGAGTGACAGGGAGCAGAAGGGTGAAAGAGCCACATGCGGCTCCAGAGCCACAGGTTGTTGACCCCTGATCTAAGATATTCCTTTCTTTATGAGTGTAATATGTTTCTCCTTCCTTGTAGCCAGGGCTGTCAAACTCGCGGCCTGTGGGCTGGATGTGTCACATGCTGACCATGCCCCCACCCAGTTTAGCAAAGGGGGGGGGAAGTCCCAATACATCACGTGACACCATCATGATGCTGTGAGTTTGACACCTCTGTTGTTAGCTGAAAGACTTGGAAACGTAGGGAAGGGAAACTTCTATTTGGAAACTTCTTCATGTGACCACAGATAGGTTCAGATGTTTCTATAAGGTGAGGCTGTGGGAAAATAGCAATAGTCTTTAAACTTATATACCGCTTCACAGTGCTTTAGAGCCCTCTCTAAGCAGTTTACAGAGTCAGCCTATTGCCCCCAACAATTTGGCTCCTCATTTTACCCACCTCGGAAGGATGGAAGGCTGAGTCAACCTTGAGCCTGAAAATGTGCAAATCTGTGGTTTTGCGAGGTTTAAATTGACACTAAAACATTTTCAATAAATTGTCTTGCTGCTCTAGCTCTGGAAGTTTAAAATACTTTCAGGAAAATGGCATCACGGTTTCTGAAAAACGCAGGTAGTCCTTGATTTACAACCATGCGCTTAGTGACCGTTTTAAGTTACAACAATACTGAAAACTGGTTTTCATCCTTACCACCATTCCAAATCATTTGGCTCATGTGATCAAAATTTGGGCACTTGACAACTGGTAGGTTTTTACGACAGTTGCAGTATCCCAGAGTCATGTGATCACTCTTTGTTAACCTTCCCAATTGGCTTCCGACAAGCGAAATCAATGGGGGAAGTCGGATTAAAATTCACATAGTTTACTTAACAACTGCAGCGATTTCCTAACAACTGTGGTGAAAAAGCTCACAAAATGGGGCAAAAGTCGCTTAACAACGGCCTTACTTAGCAACAGAAATTTTGGGCTCAGTTGTGGCTGTAAATCGAGGACTACTTGTAAGCTGTTTTTCCATGTTTTGAAGCCTTTAACAGATGTCACTGTAGAATTGCTATCTGTTTCAGGATGGAACCGTCCAAGCATAGGATTAAGACCTTTGCTGAGCGATTTGACAGAGATACGACTTAAATAGCAGCAAAAAATATATAAAATGTTTTAGATACGTCTTGAGTTCAGCACTATGCACTTGTAAAAAGAGTACAAAAAATAAATCTTTCACAAAGTAAATAACATATGGCTATCCTTACATTCTCTTTTTGGAACTTCTAAGATGCAACATCGTAGTTTTACAAATGCCAATGTATTGCTTAGACTGCCTAGTTCCGATGGTTATGAAGAAAGGCTCCATCTAGGTGAATTTTTTTTTCACAGATATATTTACTTAACTATACAAAGTCAACAGGTCCATTGAATCACACTGATGCTGATCAAGTTTCTTGTCCCACCTGACTAATTATTTTAGATGCTTAAAACTTAAACACAAAATTAATTGGGAATTTTGCATAAACCAAAATGTCAGTTTTTAGCATCATCTACCCTGTTTCCCCAAAAATAAGACCCAACCGGAAAATATGTCCTAGCATGATTTTTCAGGATGCTCGTAATATAAGCCCTATCCCCCAAAATAAGCCCCAGTTAAGACTGTCAGCCAGATGGGTGCATTTAGTACCGTATTTTCCCCAAAATAAGACCTAACCAGAAAATAAGCCCCAATGCACTAATTGGATTGGAACAAAAATTAATATAAGACCCTGTCTTATTTTCGGGGAAATGTGGTACTTAAAATATTTTAAAATAAAAAGCAATATATAAATACTTTTACTAAATTAAAATAAACTATAATGCTCAAAGGATCGACATAGCGGGGTTTTTTTCCCCCTAGAAAGTAAACAGTGTAGTTAACTGTAATTCTTTGCTTTATTATAATATGTCTACCTTCTCAGATAAAAACCATGCCAAGAAGCATTCAGATTATGAGATAAGGGCTGTAAAACCCTTGGCTACCATCAAACAGCAACAACGATATATATAATAAATCTTTACTTCTTTGCTGGCATCCATAGTCATGAATGAGATGTGTAACTCTGACCTGGGAGCCACTTAAAAGTTACAAGGGCTGGCTGGGAAGAATTTCACTAGGTTACCTTCTTAATATCCTTCACAGATTCACAATATTCCAGATAGCTAAGAAAGAGGCCCAGCTGATGTCTTTATCTCTAGTCCTCTGCTTCCAAAGTCAAAGTGGAAGGCATGTATCATGAGGTTCAAGTCGATCTAATCCGGCACAAACAATGTCTATTGCTTTATGGAATACATTGGAAAGACATCAAACATCGAGACTGAAATGATAATAGAGGCAGAAGCTTAAATACTTTCTGTTCGGGATTTGAAAATCCCTTTGGAAAACAGACTTGAGATCTGGACTTCCTCCAAGAGAAATTTGGAGCTGCAGCTGGTGAAGAATTCTGGATGACAACAGTTTGTAGATAATAAACCTTTCAGAGGCATTTGAAGCAGAAGGGGGTAGGAAGCGAAAGCTGGCTGATTAACTTGATATTCTGGCCAAGTGTATTTACTTAATAAAGCAATGGCAGTAGAGTATTATGTGTTGGTTGGTGCCTGAACAATTTCTGAGTTCAGAGGTAAGTTCTCCATGCCCTGATCAAAATGAAAAGAGCCCCAAGCATAATCATAAAATAAAAGAAGTAAAAATATAGGGCTACAAAGAGAAAAGAAATCTGGTCAGCTCAGTTTAGGATACTGTTGGTTATTAGAATTATCATTTAAGAAATCTTTCTACATCCCATGGTGAGCTCAGTGGTAAGAGATCAAAGAACATGGCTGAGAAAAGTCAACAAAGCTTTGCGAGGGGCCGGGTTATGCCTTAAACTTTTTCATATTTTGCTTTCTCCTTTGGAGCTGACATCCTAAAACATAGGAATTGCAGCCAGCATAATTTGAGAATTTAACTTAATCTGGAGGAAGGATGTGTTGTTGTTTTTAATAATCTGCTGTTTCAAATTATTGCCAAAAATATTCTTAAATGCCTCCCTCCCCAAAGTTTTAAATCATAAAAATGTTTTTCATTTCATTTCATTTTCAGGTAATATTGGGGGAAAAAAACACGTGTTATTTAAAATTTCAGCCTGTGTTGCAAATGTTTTTGGATGAAGTACCGTATTTTTCCCCCATCTGGTGCCCTCTAAATATGCTAGACTTTAATTTCCTCTAAATATGCTAGACTTTAACTTCTATCTACAATGGCTAGAAATTATGGGAGTTAAACACAATTAGAAGGGCACAATTGCCAATCTCACAACTGATTTCTTAGTCAATTATCAATATTAGTCAAAAACCAAGTCTGCATGATATGGATTTAATAGCAAATAGATTTCTGCTCCCAGCAAACATATATGCTTTAAAAGAGAGAGAGAGAGAGAAATAATAAATGAATATTCAACTTGTTTTCTTATATAGTTTGAGTAATAGTTGTCCGAGGTCTGACTGCAGTATTAAAGGCAACTTTTAATGATATGTACCGGTAGATGGATGTTATTGGATTACTTTTCCAGTTTTGTTATTGTCAGTAAGAACTGAAAATTTAATTCCACTGTAATGTAGTATCTATCCATAGTTCTTTGTTGGGCAACCCATTAAGAACATTGATACTGTTGTTTCAATGGAGGAAATTAGCACACTGGGAGATTATGCATGTGTTACACAATACCAGCCTTGAGAACAGATGAGGTGCAGTGGCGGGATGCTGCCCGTTTAACAACCAGTTTGGTGAGCGCGTGCTTTGCGCGCTTGTACACCTGAGGCGCTTGTGCGCAGCGCGGAAAATGGAGCATTTAGAAGCTCAGCTGCTTACCTTCCAAGTCAGCAATGGTAAGTAGAATAGCGGAGGGGGTTGGAAATCAGCTGTGCTGCACGATTGAGATGAGCTAGAAAGCAGGAAATAAAGGACAGGATAGGGCAGGGGCGGGTGGACGGGGCCAGCTAATCGTCGGAGCTACCGGTTCGCCTGAACTAGTCCAAACCAGCTGAATTCCGCCTCTGATGAGGTGACCAAAACAGGTTAAAAAAAACCCAGAACAGATACAAGCATAACATCTGGGTTGAATTTTCAAACCAAACTGATGTTTGAACTACCACATTGGTCTTATGATTTTGATGGTACAGCGAACTGAATTGACCCCATTGTGTGTTCCCCCTAGGAATATCTAAGCACCACACTTGCAGCTCTGCGTTCTAATCACATCCTTGCATTGAAGGTTTGTGAGAAAGAAATGGTTTGACCTTTACCAGTCCTGTTGCAAAAAAAAAAAAAAAAAGGATATTGCATACCCTAAACGACACCAAATATTTTGTAACATGTCTGTGGATAATCAGGGAGGTCATATTGGCAAAATGGACATCTAATCCCATGCTTTATAGACATACCCCTTTACTGAGGCTTTTGCTATAGACAAATGAGGCATTCTTTGCATTGTAACCAGCCATTTCTGATAATACCAGCAGGAATTCCAGGGTCATCAATCTAGAGCAGCTGTTCCCAACTTTTTTTTTTTATGGCCTTCAGCATAACTAGAATTTTTTAGATCACTCTTTAAGCCAGAAATGCAGGTGGCCATTGCAGGACATCAACATTAAAGTACGTTAATTTGGGGTTTGATTTGATTTTTATTTAATTTGGTTTTCTCACCTTAAAATTTACATAAGATTGTGAGCAAGAATGGCAAAAATCTTTTGAGATTTTAAGGAGAATTCTAGTAAACGATCAGTTGTGGCCATCTTGTAAGATTTTGATGTTTTATTTTGATGACTCCATGAGGTACCATCTAACCTCAACTGTCTTGATTTCCTCCAAAACTTTTTTATGGTATGAATTCTGTATTTTTGTACATAGTGGAGGAGCTTCTGTCACATATCTGCCTTTCAGCACTGCTGTTTTTAAATTTTCTTACAAATGGCTTCTCAAAATTTGCCTTTCCCAGTAATGGCAGGCTGGAGAAATTGAGTACCAAACAAAAAACGGAAAAGTTTTTAAAGTTATCTTCTCATCAGCAAAGTCTTAGTTCACATCTTTAGAAAATAAATATGCAGATATTCATATTTATAAATTATAAATAATTCTCCAGACAGAATCTCCTTTTATTGGAAACAATATAATCAAGCAAAGATTGAGACGTAACAACAGTAAGATCTTCGTCCAGTTTACATCCTTGAAACTAACAGCACTTCAAGGCCTCAACACCACAACGTGCTCTTAAATTTAGTGCCTTAACCAGATTACATGTAACAGAAAATCATGCAGAGTCCAATTTGGTTCGTTCGCTTCATTTTATGAACTCCAAGGATCATGGCAATTTTGTTTCTGTGATTCACTGGTGAATCCCACTGTGGCCTTGCTTGGATCTGCTTCTAATTGTGGCCTTCTCCATCCAAAATTGTGCTTCCAATATGTCACCACAACATGTTCTCTATTTTAAACCATCTGCCCAGAATAATTGGACGGCAGGCCTGCAATATTGCAAAGACATTTCCATTTGCAACAAGACTGGAACTTGACTTGCCCTAAAGAGCAAGTGACCTTAAACATGAGTAGAAACATGTATCTTTCAGAGTGTCTACAGTTGTTGTCATGGGAGACTTACGGGCACATCTCTAAGCCACAAAATAGGAATAGACTTGAGCCACGACAAGATTTGATTCTTCTTGCATTTATGTTGATGAAAACCGGGTGATTTCAATTGTAGAAACGAAGTCCTAATGTGAATAATCAGTAGAATTATTGTAGTAGTAAATAATGTGGGACAGATGATTTTTTTGGATGTCTTTGGATTGCTGAAGAGAATAGAAAACCAAGAAGTGGCTATTCCAATAGTTCTTATCATGTTTAGCAAAAGAAAAACTGAAATAATTTATTGAGCTGGGTTCTCAAGGGGGGAAAAAAAGCTTATGGGAACATTTTAGAAGTCAATTAACAAATAATTAACCTGCAGGGTATTACATTTCAGACCCAAGTATGCACAGAGTCAAATAATTCCATCTCATTTATGAACACCTAAACCCAATCCTTTAACTCTTGGCACAGAGGTGAAATCCTCCCGATTCTCACCGGATCGGGCGATCCGGTAGCAATCGTGCCAGGTGGTTCGGTAATCTGGTAAGGATGGTGGAGCAAAGCTCCACTCACCCGCCTGAGTGTCATTACTTCCTGGTTTTAACCAGGAAGTAATATATTCTTTACCTTCTGCACAAGCAGAAGGTCTGCATGTGCACTTCCAAACCGGTAAAGAAGATAAGTAGATTTCACCCCTGCCTTGGCAACTTAATCTTCCAAAGAGCTGGAGAGAAATAACAGCTGAAAAAGCAAGTCTCCCCATAACAGAACTCACTGCCAAGGCCTGGAAGCACTGAACATATCTCTGAAATGCTGGCTACAATGGCTGAAATGCATCAACTGTTTTCTGCCTGGCCAATAGAAAAGGAGTTTATGATGTAATGCAATTTTTGCCAGCTTGTGCAAGAACTCATGAACTACTAGGCTCCTTTTGGAGGAAGTGGGTAGAGACTATGAATTTTTAAAAGAATAAATCTGGATCCAGTTAGTGTGACTGAATCCTGCCAGAATGTTTGTTAACTTTTGATTCATTTGTAGCCTGGATTAACTGAGCTACAGGCAATAGGCCCTATGTCAGGGGTCCCCAAACTTGGCAGCTTTAAGACTTGGGGACTTCAACTCCCAGAATTCTCCTGGCTGGAGAATTCTGAAAGTTGAAGTTCCCAAGTCTTAAAGCTGCCAAGTTTGAAGACCTCTATTTTATGCAACCTTTCAGGATCCACTCCAAAAGTAATCTCTTCTGCAGATTAGAGCTGGATCCTTTGCTGAAAAGAAGTGCTTTTTCCATTGTCTTTCATTTCCTAAAAAGTTCTCACTGATTAAACAAAAACATTTTTTTAAAAAAAATGAGTGAACCTTTGTATTTAAGGGATTGCTATTTGCATTTCAATGGTGCAATCTTCCTGCTTCATTCATGAAATTGATTGAGGGTTGAGGACCTTTTCCATATTTTTTGCACCAATTCTGCTTATTTTATTTGCATGTTAAATTCCAAATGCTAGCACTTGGAGCTTGCCATCCAGGATTCCTGTTTCTTGGATCAATATCGTAAGAACATATTGACTACTAAGAAAAAGAGGAATATTTTATGAAAGAAAGCTCCGAAACTGTTAAGAAGGACATCTTTGTTAATAAGCAAAGAAAGTTTTCTCTGAGTTTGTTTGCTTAGGACATTCACTACCCAACTAGGTAAAACCATCAGTCTGAATAACTGCTATTAACTAGTTGAGTAATAAAACATCTACCATCAACTAAGTTTGAAGAACACCAATAATTCCGTAGTTCAATCTGAGTTACAGATCTTCCCTTCCAAAGAGAAGTATATATAATTAAAATAGGAAAGTACAGATAATGTGGTACAGATACTTCCTAATGGCAGTAGTGCTCTTGATAGACTGAGAAAGAATTAAGGAGTCTATGTTGCATTGCAGTGGAACTTGGCTGAATGAACTGGTGAATTCATTATAAATTTTCCAGATTATATGACTAGAAATTGGAATGCTCTAAATCAGGGACGTCCAATCTTGGCAACTTTAAGACTTGTGAAGGTTCAACAACTCCCAGAACTTCCCAGCCAGCATGGAACAGATATGGTTAGCTAGGGAATTCTTGGAGTTGAAGTGCACAAGTCTTACAGTTGCCAAAGTTGGACAACCCTGCTCTAAATTGTGAAGAGTGAAGCTGCTTTAGCAACATTTATAGGTGCTTCAGCAATAACAATAATAACTTTATTGTCATTGTACGTGTATACACAGTATACCCATACAACAAAATTCACTTAACACCCAAAGACCAGGTCCAACACACACAACAATCCCCAAACACACTCCACCCACCCACCACAAATTACCCACCCCTAAACCACCCAAACATCCACACAACAGACCAAGTAATGCTGTCCAACAGCTCACTGATGGTGGCCCTTTAGTTCATTGTTGAGTGCAATTATAGCTCTGGGATAAAAACTATTCAGAAAACGTGTGGTCCAAGTTTTGATTGTTCTGTATCTTCTGCCGGAAGGCAACAGTCCAAAAAGATTGTGAGCAGGATGGGAAGAGACTCCGAGAATGTTATGCAACTTTCATGTTGTGGAAGTAAAATGGAAAACAGAAACAGATTGGCTCAGAGGCTTGCCACGAGGTTGCCCAATGACAACGCTTTTTCCATTACCCCTTCTTTGATATCGATGAACTTGCTTTTATTCCTTCCTTTGGTTATTTTACTTTTTCCCCTGTTTCCATTTTCTTCCCTGGCTGCTCTGTTTGACTTTTGATGCCCTACTGACATCTTTTGCCTTGTGACCTTTGGCCTTTCCCCGTGACCTTCTGGCTCGGTCTTCAGCTGTTGCCTCTTCTCAATTCAGTGCGACTGGCTCCACCCCCAGTCATAAAGAGACGCACCTTCCAGGTATCCATCTCCTTTTCCTCCTACTACTGGTCTGTTCATTTCCGAAACTGGTAATTAACCAGCTTTCCATCTTCCTTAGGAGTGGGTTTCGTTAAAACTAGAAAAAGCAAAGATTTGCTGGTGATTTCAGTCACATCCCCCCCATTTCACAGAATTGACAGGTCGGGTTTTAATGCATTTGCATGCTTAGTTTAGCAGCTAAGCATGAACACATAATAGTGGTTACTTGTCTTGAAAGTATTGTTAGACCGTATAAGATCTTAGAAGAAAGAGTATCGCAGAGCAAGAATATAATGCTTTAAAAAACAAAAAAAAAGGTTTAATTTGATTTTATTGGAACCGATCTGTTTTACAATACGATCTACTAAGCAAAAGTAGTTTACTATCCATAGTTCTAAACCAAAGTATATTTGATCAGTTTTTTAGATCAACGTTATGCAGAGATAGGAAAATGGGAAGAACACAATTACTACTGCTGCTATAGGCTTGGAGACACAAGTACATAGCCTAGAACAAGGGTCTCCAACCTTGGCAACTTTAAGACTTGTGGACTTCAACTCCCAGAATTTGCTGGCTGAGGAACTCTGGGAGTTGAAGTCCACAAGTCTTAAAGGTTGGAGACCCCTGGCTTGGAATAATCTAGAATTTCCAGTGATTGTCCAATAGATGTTTAGAGCTGTGTATGTCCTATTAATTATTCAAATGACTCTTCCAAGCAAGTGTCCTTGCATTCAATCCTTGGTCCTAATTGAACGGGAACAAAATTTCAGCCTTAAATCCTTCGTTGCGGGGAATCGTACTCTAATACGATAGTGGATAACACCATTATTTCATAAAAGTATAAACAAATTTCATGCTTCGCCGTATCTACTGGGCCATCACTGACTTTAGAGACAATTATACGAATAGCAGAATTGGGATTTGCAGAGATTTCATATGTGAACATCTAACAAGTCCTGCACCATCTCAGCTGCCCAGCAGTAGCATCCTTCAATAGATAGAAGTCTCCACAGCAGAATGCACATCATCCTCATTTTCAGGGATAATGTTTTATGTGCTTTGGTAGATGAGGTTCAATTCAGCCAGAGTGCTTGTTTATAAGCAAGATGCCCATTCATGCAAAGTCTCTTGTTACAGTGACATTATGATATGCTCATGCATAGCGATGGTCTGGACTGGCCTTGCTTTCCAGGATCCATCTGGAACTTTACTGGATAGCAATAGCACTTAGATTTATAGCAACAGCACTTAGACTATATACCGCTTCACAGTGCTTTTACAGCCCTCTCTAAGCGGTTTACAGAGTCAGCCTCTTTCCCCCCAACAATCTGGGTCCTCATTTTACCAACCTCAGAAGGATGGAAGGTTGAGTCAGCCTTGAGCCAGTGAGGATCGAATTGCCAAAAATTGTAGCCGGCAGTCAGCAGAAATAGCCTGCAGTACTGCAATCTAACCACTGTGCCACCACGGCTTATCATGGATGGAGGAATAATCAAAGACCAAACACCACCCTCACCAGATGTCATAGACTATGTTTAGCCATTGATTGGAGCTAGATTAAAGATTGTTTTGCTCCATTGTGTGGTGAATTTAATATGCTATTAGGATTCATTGAAGATGGTCCATTCTGGCATTGCATAAAATACTGCATGATCAAAAGATGGAATTCCATGGACACAGTAGGAGTGTAGCCACTTAATTTCCCAAGTAGATTTTTATCACTAGGGTACTTCAAATGCATACCTACCCCCCCCCCCCAAAAAAAATCATGTGATGTGAATTTTAGCATTAGATACAGAAAAATCCAAATAAAGTTGTAACACTTTATTGGATGGTTTTTTTAATATTTGCACTCGGTTTCCCACCCAACCTAGTGTAATGGAAGCTTTTTTAAAAAAATGTGGGAATGCACCCTCAGCCAATCCACAGTTACTCTTTGCCTGAGTTTTGGAAACCCCCTTCGTAGACTTTCTAACAAGACCTTGTTTGGCTTTACCCATGTTCCTTGCCTTAGGTTGTTATTTGTACTCCCATGTTATTTAGCTGTGTTTATAGCCATGTTATTCTCAATGAACTGCAGGGTGAACAAGGACAAGCAGGCATCCAAGGGCCTCCAGGGCTACCTGGGCCTCCAGGACCACCTGGGACTCCAGGACCACCTGGCCCAACTGGCCCAGCTGTAAGTGTCTTTCATGTCTATGTGGATCTCCCCCACTCCAAGAACCTCTGAATTACCTTTTACCTCTATGTCTGACCAGTTTCTGAGGTTGCACCAAAGCCTTTGATATCTTCTGGAGGTTTTTAAGAAGAAGATTGGATAATCATTTGTCTGATAGGATCAACTGTTTGAGCAGAGGGTTGGACTAGAAGACTTCCAATGCAGGGGTGGGCTCCTGGGGATTCGGCAGGGTTCAGGCGATCCTCTAGCCAAGGATTGCTGGGGTTTGGGGAGCCCCGAAATGCCACCCCTGGTTGGCCACGCCCACCCTGCCCCGCCCCACCCCACCCCGCCCCTCTCAGGAGTCCGTTCATCATTCCAGGTAAGTGTGGAGAGTCTGGGAGGACAAAAAATGGGCCTACCGGAGGTTCCGGAAGTCCGGAAATGGGCCTGTTTCCAGCCTCCGGACGGCCTCTGGAGCCCAGGGGAAGTTGTTTTCACCCTCCCGGAGGCTCAAGGAAAGCCTCCGGAGCCTGGGGAGGGCGAAAAATGCCCCCCCCCTCCACCGTGGTGCAGGCGGCTGACTAGGCTACACCCACCATGGCCACGCCCACCCAGCAATGGGGCAGCAAACCCATTGCTAAAGGATTCGAAGCCCACCCCTGCTCCAAAGTCCCTTCCAACTCTGTTATACTGTTATTCTGCCATGAGATGGCTACACAAGACTATCAATTTTATGACTCCCATCTGTGAAAAGGGCCAGAGTGAGGTAATTACTCTATGGTTTGAACTCATTTCACTCCCAAGCCAACTCTTAAATTAAGAAACTCTTCTAATCTCTTTGCTGGTTTACTCAGATTTACAATACCTGCGGTATCTCAAAAAGGTTTGTTTCTTTGTTCCCATAGGGGAAAACTGGAGAACCTGGCAAGGATGGAAAGGTAGCAATTTAATTATTTTTCTTGCATTTGTTTGCATAAAAAAAAATATTTTCTCAGAGCCTGAGAAAGAACAACATGGGACGCATGTTGAATTTCAGGGGTTGCATGGAATGAATAGGTGAATTCCACTGCAAAGTGTATTCATCAGACAAAAATTGTATTTCTCCTAGAATGATGTTTCTAGACTCATTTTAGTCCTGATTACATTGCATAACTGAGGGTTCAACCGACAGTAAATGAAAGGAGACTCAGCCATTCCATGCAAGAGCAAAGTTTTTTTTTAATTAACTTTGCTTTAATTATGAAATAAAACCCCATTATAAGATTTCATAATTCATAATTGTCTAGCTGCTTGTGGACGGCAAGGAGAGATGAATAATTAATGTGCTATTTCATAGCATGTTGATATTAAAAAAAATATTCTCTGACTGCATTTTTCAAGTTAGCTTTTAGGTAAAACTCCACACATTTGGAATTAAGCAAAATTCAGGGAAAGTTTCGGTTTCAATTCAGCTTCACAATTCAGTGAAAGAGATCATACTGACGATCCCAGGTACTAGGATTTCCAGGCAGGATTGGAAAAACTGCCTGAAATTGTGGAGTCTCCACCCGTCAGTGTTAACCATACTGAGGTAGGAGCTGACCAGGCGGAACCTGAGGGGGGTGGGATCAAACATGTCATCAGTTTGGAATTGCGACGCTCCTACAAGAGACTTCAGTCCAGTCCTCTATGAATTCTGCTTATCTCATGCCAATTTGCCTTGAACCATTAGTAGATCAGGTTTTTGTGTACAGGTAACATGAAATAAACTTGCAGTATGTTTGAATTCTATTCTGGCATCTGACAACTGGACTACAGATAGTCTTTGATTTACAACAGTTCATTTAGTGACTGCTCAAAGTTACAATGGCACTGAAAAAAGCGGCTTATGACATTTTTCACCCTTACAACCATTGCCGCATCCCCTTGGTCATGTGATCAAAATTTGGATGCTTGCCAACTGATTCGTATTTATGGCTACTGCAGTGTCCCATAATCACATGGTCAGCGTTTGCAACCTTCTGACAAGCAGAGTCAATGGAGCAGCCAGGTTCACTTAACAACCATGTTACTAACTGAACATCTGCGATGATTCACTGAACAATTGTGGAAAGAAAGATCGTAAAACAGGGCAAAAATTCACTTACCAATTGTCTCACTTAGCAACAGAAATTTTGGGCTCAATTGCGGTCGTAAGTCGACGACTACCTGTAATAAACCAAATCTCAGATGCAACCTGAGGCAATTTACTGCCTTCCATGTTCTAATCTGAAAAGCACAGGGAGGAAAATGACAGAGGAACAGCAGAGAAATCCAACGGCATCATTACAAAGAGTATAGGAATTGCTGAAGAATACAGATTCAATAAAGGGATGCTCAGTGGCTAAGATGCTGAGCTTGTCGATCGAAAGGTCGGCAGTTCAGCGGTTTGAATCCCTAGTGCGGCGTAACGGAGTGAGCTCCCGTTACTTGTCCCAGCTTCTGCAAACCTAGCAGTTCGAAAGCACATAAAAAATGCAAGTAGAAAAATAGGGACCACCTTTGGTGGGAAGGTAACAGCATTCCGTGCGCCTTTCGCATTTAGTCATGCTGGCCACATGACCACGGAGACGTCTTCGGACAGCGCTGGCTCTTCGGCTTTGAAACGGAGATGAGCACTGCCCCGTAGAGTCGGGAACGACTAGCACATATGTGCAAGGGGAACCTTTACTTTATTTTACAGATTCAAATGCATCCTTGAAATTTGACCAGGTAGATTCAAAAGCATCTCTCTATTGAAAAGCATTTCATTAAATTTCATTCAACCAATGCAAACAATGTTGATGTGCAAACAGAACTAAAAGATCTGATCTCAGAGCTAAGGTCCTGCTTTGACCATTTTTGCTGCTTCAGTGATCTCATGTTCCTTTGTCTTCAGGGTTTGCCAGGACTTCCTGGACCAAAGGTGAGTAAAATACCTTGAAATAAATATCGGATCTTAGCAGAGCCTTCTGAAATTTCAGAGCTTTGCGAATGAATATTACAATAGTCAAAATATGGCTAGAAATCCCGTTGCCAAAATGAGATCAGTTCTAACTGTTAAAGTGCTTCTCAGCTGAGCTAGGAAAATGTTTGCAATTAAAAAAAGAATTGATTTTTTTTTTTAAAAGAAGAATCCAGTTATAAAATTAACCAGCTGTATGAACATTCCCCAATGTGTTAGGCTTTAATTTTCCCAAGCTACATGATCTTAGAAACTGGGTTGTGGATTGTTTATACACTGAATCCAACTCTTAACGATAATGTAATTTAATTGTGTGAAATGAATTGACCTAAGGCCCATTTTGAAAAACATGATTGACTTTCAATATTCAAAAGTGTGGAGAGAAGTTTAATAAGATACCGAAGTTTAAGAAGTTTAATAAGCTTACACAGAACTATTTTGTTAGGACACAGAGAAATTGGCAATCAAAATCTAAGTATTTTGTTGTTTGCAAGTTTCCATATATTTCTCCTTCTGCTATATCTTTCCCATCTAAGGACAATTCTTCTTAACAACCAAATTCATGTGGATCTTAAAGGGTAAAATGGCCCTTAACCAGGGGTGAAATGCTCTCGGTTCGGACCAGATCCCCCGATCCGGTAGCGATGATGGCGGGTGGTTCGGATAACCAGTAGCAAAAATCCCTGCCCACCCCCCATGCCCAGCTGAGCAGCGCGATCATCAGAGGCTTTTTTTTTTTTACTTTTAAAAGCATTTTTTCTACAATCTCTTTGGCCGAAAAAATGCTTTTAAAAGTTAAAAAAAAAGCCTCTGATGATCGCCCGGCTCAGCTGGGATCGTCAGAGGCTTTTAAAAGCATTTTTTTCCTACAACCTCTGAGGTTGTGGGGGGGGGGAAGCCTTTAAAAGCCTCTGACAATCCCAGCTGAGTTGTCTGATCGTCAGAGGCTTTTAAAAGCATTTTTTCTGCAACCTCATAAGGTTGTAGAAAAAATGCTTTTAAAAGTTAAAAAAAAAAAGTTGGCCACACATACCCAGTCACATTAACCCCCCCCCCACCAAGCCACGCCCACAGAACCGGTAGTAACAAATTTTACATTTCACCACTGCCCTTAACTATGGATATCATAGTTATTTTCTTAAGACATGACTGCTCTCCAGTGGTCTAATTCTCATCTTATTTGGTATCTTCTTCAGAATCTTGATTTGTGTTCATTTTCTTTAAAAGAATCTTTTGGTTTGAGTCTCCAGGTAGCTTAATTCACTATATATTTTTTTTCTTTTCACTTGAATTTATAGGGTGACCCTGGACTTCAAGGATACCATGGAAGGAAGGTATGAACAATATAAAAATTGATGGACCCGCAGGCCGGATCTGACCACATCGTGGGCTGGATCTGGCCCACAGGCCTTGAGTTTGACACTGTCTTAGCATTATATGCTGATATAATAATATCAGACTATCAGAGATGGATCCACTGAATCTAATGTAAATGAGGAGAAGAAACATGGAAAAAGAGAGAAATTTGTTTCAGACAGCAAAAGGATAAAATGCTAATAAAAGATAGCAATTCAAAATATAATTTTATAAACAGGAATTAATACTCTTCACAGTCTGCAGTCATGCATATTGTGCAACAGTTTGTATACATTATTTGGCTGGAATTGTAACACTTGGCAGACTTCTCTTGAAATCTGCATAAATCAAAGAGCTGGCCTTCTGCAGAGAAGTGAAAATCATGGTCTCTGTGGGCCCAGATCCATCTTTTCACATCTGTGTGCACAATTTATGGCCTCTTTTCCAATGACAATGATGTTTTCTTCATTAGCTGACTATGCAACACTTAGTGGCTTCACAGCTCTCAGGAGAATGAAGCCAGTCACTGATCTGCGGCTGTGTGGGCGTGCATCAGCTGTCTTCTTACAGTAGAGGAAGGGATTCATAAGTCTGCATTTTTAATCAGTAGAAGAAAAGGTTTGTTTTGACATAAGAAGAAAGTCCTAGGATGCCTTTCTTTACATTAGATTTATAGCCCACTTTACATTCAGAATCTCAAGGCAGCAAAACACAATGGTTTCTCCTTCGTTTTTTCCCGCAACAACACAACAACCTTGTGAGGGCTGAGATAGAGTGATTGGCTCAGAGTCACCCAATGGAATTTTTTGAATGAGAACCTGAGTTTCCCCTCCCCAGGGAATTCAACACCTTCACCACTATCTACATTGTCTCTGTATTGTTGAGAGAAAAGAATGGTTGGAAGGCTAGAGAAGATGCCTCATTGAGTTAGAAGTTCTTTCTCACCATTAAATTTCATTTTATTAGATAGGGCCCAGCGTTCAAATCTGTTGAGATCCTTCTGGATCTTGAATCTATCTTCTGGCCTGTTGGCTATTTCTGCCAGCTTGGTATCATCTGATTTGATCAGTTCCCCTTCTATACCCTCATTTAAATCATTTATGAAGATGTTGAAGATTACTAAGACAGAACATTGGGATATTCCACTGCATATTTCCCTCCATGTAGATATAGTTCCATTGAGGACTACATGTTGAGTGTGACTGTCAGCCAGTTATGAATCCATCTGGTGACGATGCTGTCTTACACATATTTTTCTATATTACCAAGAAATAGGTTGTGGTCTACTTTATCAAATGCCTTACTGAAGTCCAAGTAAATTATGTCCACAGCATTTCTCTGGTCCAACTAATTTAGTTACTTTGTCAAAAAAAAAAAGCAATAAGATTTGATTGGCATGATCTGATTTTGATAAACCCATGTTGGCTTCTGGTTACACTACCTACAGTGGCTCTCTATTATTGAGAGAAAAGAACGGTTGGGAGGTTGGAGTTGATCCTCACTGAGATAGTGGTTCTTTCAAAACAGGGAAAGGCAAATTACTTTGGGAAGAACAACTTCCCAACATCAAACACAAGCATTTCTTTTCTAGTTCTCTATTGTGTGTATCATTCTGAAACCACAAGGAAACTTTGCTTTAAAAGGATTTTACAAGGAACATATAAAACCTACTCATCCAAGACCATTTCCTCCCTGCTGTCTTTTGCATTAACATGCTCACACAAAGTGAGAAAAAAAAAACCCTAATGCTTCCTGTGCAGGATAACAATATAACCTGAAGATTCAGACAGTAAGACTTACAAGCATTTATTGCTTTGAAACGGAGGAATCCATAACAGTTTAGTGACTGAGAGTTTACCTTGACTATGCTTTTCTAAGCATTGTTGAATTCTTCTTCATTCTCCCATCCCCTAAAAATGTAGGCGTAGTCTCCTAGACAGTAAGAATCCTCCACTATGTGGTTGTTTTTTTTTTTCTTATCCCAAAGCTTGCATTTTGTAAAGGTTCACTCTATATATCTTTTATTTATATCTTTTATCGTCATCGTCATCATCATTATGGTTCATTGCACAGTCAGCCAGATGTTTAAACTGGATTTGGCAATTTTATCTACCTTTTGAGCCCTTCTCAAGAACTTGGAATAGGCAGATGTTTTTTGATGGTGCTAAAAGGTATCGTCACAGGATATAAGTGGTTCCAAGTAATTCTGCCTTTTGCAATTGACCGATGAGAATTTTGTCAATGTGATGATGTTCAAGTGATGCGCCAGTTGTTTTGGGATTGCAACCAAGGTGCCTATTACTATTGGTATTCTCTTTGTTTTCTTTTCCCACAGTCATTCTATTTCTATTTGCAGGGCTTTGTACTTTGTGATTTTCTCCAGTTTTTCCTCCTCTATTTTATTTATTATTATTTATTTATTTATTATTTAAATTTGTATACCGCCCTTCTCCCGAAGGACTCAGGGCGGTGAGTTTTGCTGTCTCCAAGTACTGCCAATTTTGCTGTCTCCAAGTACTGCCACATACATTATCCAGACTTTATTTTTTTATCTTTCTTATAGACAATTGTTAAGCCCGGGATGTTATATGGTGTGTGCTTATGTTGTTGTTGTTGTTACATTTTCTTGCATCTTTTCCTTAGGGTGAAGTGGGTGAGACAGGCCTATCAGGAACACCTGGACTTCCAGGATCTGCTGGCCCAAAGGTAACTGTCATATTGCACTAACATCTCCTTATCTTAACAAATGCTGCACTGGAAGTTTTTAAGAAGAGATCGGATAACCGTTTGTCTGAAATGGTATAGGGCCATGATGGTGAACCTATGGCACGCGTGTCAGCTGATTTTCAGGCCTTCTGGGCCTACCAGAAGTAGGGAAACAGGCTGTTTCCTGCCTCCAGAGGGCCTGGGGGGGTGGGGAAGGCCCATTTTTCTTTCTCACCTGGCTCCAGATCCTCTCTATGCATCTGGGGAGGGCAAAAACAACCTTCCCCACCACCTTGGAGGCCCTCCGGAGGCCCAAACGGCTCGTTTCCCAACTTCCGGTTGGACAGGAAGTGATGTTTTTTGCTGTCCCCTGCCTCCAAATACTCCTAGAGATGGCGATGGTTAGCCATCACTGGTATAGGGTTTCCTGCCTAAGCAGGGGTTTGGACTAGAAGACCTCCAAGGTCCCTTCCAACTCTGTTATGCTAATTCTAAAAAAAGCAAACATATAAAATAGCTGAGATTGAAGGGAAAGAACATCTGTCCCTCGGAGCATCTGTGGCTGAGTAGGATTACAACCTGAGCCTTCCTGACACCAAACGACATCTTAGTCAAGATACCACACTGGCTGTCTGCATGGATTGCCACGTTAATTTCAAAAAGCAGCCAATGTCAGTGGCTTGTCATGTGTCTGGATCACTCCGATGACACTTCCAACTTTAAAAATAATATCTCTTCCCAACCTTTTCATAGTATTATCGAACCGTAAGACTGGAAGGGACCGTGGAAGGCTTCTAGTTCAACCCCCTACCCACGATAGGAGACCTTACATCATCCCAGACAAATGGTTGTCCAATCTTTTCCCGAAAACCTCCAGCAATGGATTACCCACCACTCCAGGAAACAAGTTATTCCCTCCATTCATTAATCATTCTCACTGGCAGGAAATTTCTCCTCATTTCCAGGTTGGATCACTCTTGAATGAGCTTCCACTCGTTGTTTCTTGTCCTGCCCTTTGATGCTTTGGAGAATAAATCGACCCCTCTCTATTCTGTGATAGCCTTTCAAGTATTGGAAGAGGGCTATCATGTCACCCCTAATCCTATTCTTCGATAGGTTTGACCAGGGGTGTCAAACTCAGGGCCCGGGGGCCAGATTTGGCTCGCAGGGTGCTTAGAACTGGCTCGTGGGGCCACTGCGGAAACAGCAAAGAACCAGCCCATGGTGCCTCTGCCAGAAAAACGGAGCTCGGGAGGGCCCTCCCAAGCTCCATTTTCACTGGCAGAGGGTTGCAGGACATAGTTGAAGCTGAAAATGGAGCTCAGGAGCCTGTTTTCCCTGGCAGAGTGCTCGGGCCAATACAGATGACCCCAACACGAGTGATGTCGAGCTGGCCATGCCCCCCCTGGCCAAGCCCCCCCTGCCCCCCCAAGGTCAAATACAACCTTGATGCGGCCCTCAATGAAATCGAGTTTGACACCCCCCTGGGCTAGACATACATAGTTCAACATCCCTTGTTTCAAGAACAAACCTTTTTCACTTCGCACCCATTTGATGTGGCAGCTGAGTTGATCTGGTTTCCCCTTTATTTCTCCATCTCTGTTTTTGAATGTGCTTCCCCCCCATCCCCACCCCTTGCATAGGGGAGAAAGGCAGACAGTAGCCTGAAGGTAGGCATGGAAATACTTCGGGGTCAATTTTGACACAGGACCCTTTGTTACTTAGAATAACACATTGTTATGAAAACCCACAGCCCTGGGCAGACTTATTTAGTGGCAAAGACATCTGTCTTGCGTTGCCATTCGAATAACCACAAGCAGACGTCCCATGTCTTATTTCCATCAGGCACAAAGTCCTAGTCAGTGAAAACTACCTTTGAAGGATTCCTCGGAATTTGACTCTTAGAAAGCCTCTCCTTTGACCACTCAAATCGCTGATGATTTCTAATCTTCCTGTACTTTGGGGTGGTGGGGGAATAGGATTGAGGTCTTTTTCCAGAAAATCTGGCTAGCTGACACACATCAAATCTATCTGGGGGTCAAAAGGTCCTGAGCTGAGGTTTGGCACACTCCTTTCTCTTCTTTTTACTACTTAGGGCTCTTTGAAAAGCTGGCCTGACTTCATGCCCATGTGTTATTTATTCAACTGAAATCTAGATTGAGCCCTTACAATTTAAATATATTACTGTCCCTTTTTTTTTTTTAAAGCACCATTTTGGCTAACATTCACAAAAGGTAAAGCAAAAATTGTCTGGCCAGAGTTAAAATGCCTGGTTCTCATATGTCATATAATGCAAAAGTGAGTGTTTTGATCTAAAAATGGAAATGGATGCTTTTTTTTGTTTTTCTTCCCTGTTCCCATCAGGATCTGCTTAGACCAACATTAGTTATATGATACACATATTGCAGTAAAAGTCAGCAATAATTGATCCAAAACAGTCTTCCTTGATTTATCCTTTCATTTTCATGAGTAATCAAAACATGTACACTCCGTTACCAATACAGACTTCTCCAAGTTGATATCCTCCAGATGCGCTGGACAATAAATCCCATAATCCTTAACAAGCAGGACTGGGAATTGTAATTTAACATTTTGCCAGGCCACCAGATTTGAGAAGGCAATATTAGTAAGGGAGAAAGCCACACAATATGTAACATTCAAGAGCAACTTAATAGGAAATTTGAATTTACACATCAATTTGGTTCTCAACCTTCCTAATGCTGCGACCCTTTAATACAGTTCCTCATGTTGTGGTGACCCCCAACCATAAAATTATTCCTAAAACCATTGAAAATATATGTTTTCCAATAGTCTTAGACGACCCCTGTAAAAGGGTTGTTCGATCCCCAAAGGGGTCCCAACCCACAGGTTGAGAACCACTGAATTAGATTCTAAACTTGTCTCTGATCAATGTTTACTAAGGAACGAAAGGGTGTGTAATTGCCTTCATTCTAAAACTAGAGTACAAATATACAGATTTGTAAAGGAAATAGTAGGTAGTTGGACCGTACAAAGCTTTGAACGGGTGTTTTGCTCTTAGCGGAGCTCCTCTTTGAAGCTATTCCATGAACCAACACAGCACAGACCTTCTAAAGAACAAAGGAAAACTGTCCTGCTGCTTGCTTCATATCCCTCCAGGGACACCTTCCTCTACTTTCACCCCACTGGAATAAGTCTCTGCATCTGTGCAGAATCCCCTCTCAGTTTGGGTCTGCAGGGAAGACCCCCCCCCCCCCCCCCCCCAAGGCAGTATAAAGCCTTTTCATGATGCAAATTGCATTACTGCTGCAGTTCAATAGGACAGCTAGCATTGCCTGAACAACTTGAAGAGCCATCAAAGTAAAGCTTAATGAAGATCTACTTGGGTGAACAAGCATGCTAAATTCCTCTGTTGACTTCATTAGTGAACATCTGTTCCCCAGTTAAGATTTCCAGGCATGTTTGCTGTCTTGTGGGAAAAGGAGCTGTGATGGAAGCCATATCAGATAATCAATAATAGCTAAATGCTAAGGACCATCCATCCACAGCCACTGCTGATTGGCAACCATATTACATCAGATTTCCATGTAAAACAATATAATACTGGTAGCTACTCAACTGAAGATAAGTAACAATTAAAAAAACAAATGGAGTTAATAGTACTGCCGTTATCTGAAATTTTGTGTATTATTTATTTATTTTATCAAATTTCTATACCGCCCTTCTCCTTTCGGACTCAGGGCGGTGAACAGCCAAAGTAAAACATTTGTACGCAAAAGTTAAAATAGATTTAAAATAATTAAATAATTTGGCCCATAATTTAAAACATTTCAATTTAAAACCAATTTCAAATTTTAAAAACCACCATAAAATCAGGACAGCCCGGCTAACTGAAAGAAGTAGGTTTTAAGGGCCCGGCGAAAAGTCCGGAGGTCTGGGATCACTCGTATCTCTGGGGGTAGATTGTTCCAGAGGGTAGGTGCCACCACAGAGAAGGATCTCCCCCTGGGGGTCGCCAGCCAACATTGTCTGGCCGACGGCACCCTGAGGAGGCCCTCTCTGTGGGAGCGAACTGGCCGGTGGGAGGCAATTGGTGGAGAAGACGGTTCCGTAAGTACCCCGGCCCTAAGCCATGGAGCGCTTTAAAGGTGATCACCAACACCTTGAAGCGCATCCGGAAGTCCACCGGAAGCCAATGCAGCCCGCGCAGGAGAGGAGTCACATAGGAGCGCCCCATATTATACTGTTGAGACAAGATATCAGTGGCCATCAAGATGCTGAAGAGATGTTTGATGGGCCTCTTCAAAGATTCTAACAAATTATAAATGATGAAAGAATGAATATAACGGCTTGGAATGATGTGACAGGTGATGCAGTGATTTGCCTAAGGAATGGTACCAGAGGAAAAAGAGAAAGTATTACACTAATAATTTTCAGATTTTCAAAAAAACAACTTATTGTTTTAATTTGCAAACTAAGGATGTGACTTCTGTAGATCAACTAGATGTTGCCACCTGCTGTCCAGCAGCCAAACTCCAGTCATTTATAGGTTTTTCTTGGCCCCTTATTTTTATGAAAATGATATGGCAGATTGTGTCACAGGGTCCACTCAGTCACAAAGATGACAATGATTTTGCAAGGAGAGATTCCTTTTTTCTCTCTCTCTCTCAAATTCTCTCCTATTAATTACATCTAATTAACGTATGTCCTGATCCATGCCCTTAAAATTCAAGAATGCTGACTTCACTGATTGATCATGGGAATCTATTCTTTTGTCCAGAACTTCGCTTACATGTTTTTGAGATTGTTGTTCCTGCTAATTTGGAGGTGGATTGCTTCAGGACTGGACCATTATACCCACCAAACATCACATTTGATGCAGGGGTGGGCTCCTGGGGGTTCACAGGGGTTCGGGAGAACCTCTAGCTAAGATTCTGTGCAGTTCAGAGAACCTGCAAATCCCACTCCTGGCTGGCCCCGCCCACCCCACCCTGCCCCTCCCAGGAGTCCCCACGCAGCCCTTTTTGGATGCAGGGCACGTATGGAAGCTCGGGGAGGGTGAAAAACGGGCCTACCGGAAGTTCGGGAAGGCTGGAAACAGGCCCATTTCCGGCCTCCAGAGGGCCTTCGGAGCCTGGGGAGGCCATTTTCACCCTCCCGGAAGCTCGAGGAAAGCCTCCATAGCCTGGGGAGGGCAAAAATGACACCACCACCCCGCCGTCGTGCAGGAGGCTGACTATGCCATGCCCACTATGGCCACACCCACCAAGCAACCAGGCAGAGAACCCTTTGCTAAAATTTTTGAGGCCCACCCCTGATTTGATGGCATGATTTGAGATCCTTTTCGATATTTGAGATCCACCTACCTTAACATATCTTTGACGCAGTTCCAGGACTCTTCACAAACTTTATGATAGAAGGAAAGATGGAAGGGCCAACCCATCCAACATATTTTAGTGCTGGTTTCCATATGTACCTGCCAGTTGCCTATTATTTGTCATGAGCAGCTGAATAAAAGACATGCAAGTTATCAACTACAGGTTTCTGGAGAATTTAACTCCGTAAGCCCAAATTGGTAAATTTGAAGGCATACAGCTTCTTAATGCAGGCTTTCCAGTGAGCTAGCAATCAGAAAGTAGAACATGTCACATGGTAGAAAAAATGTCCCAGCCCCCATAAAAAAATTTAAGTTTAAAAAGGATGCCAACAGGAGATGCTCCGCTTTTGGGCAAACTTCAGTAATTTTCTGAACTTTCAAATGAAGTCTTCTATCGCCCCCTGGTGGTTTATCAGAAGACATTATCTGTCCATGTCCTATTTCAAGTTTGCAATTGATTTATGTAGCTTCATCATAATCATATTCATAATCATAAGTTTATTTGCCAGGCATATATAAAATAACAGGTGAAAGTATAAACATAATTTGAATGCATGAAAAGAGTAAGTAAAAAGGAATATTAGGACAGGGACGGTAGGCACACTGGTGCACTTATGCACGCCCCTTACAGACCTCTTAGGAATCATGACCTTTGGCATTGTGCATTTTCCCTACTTGTGGCAAATACAAAACATTTGCTTCTATGTTTTGCAAAGGCAGTTCTGTTCTTACTAATTGCTGCTCTTAATCATTACGATTGCCTTTCATCTGCTTTGCCTCAACTGTTTTTTATTATAGTGCTGTCACTGCCATCTAGGTCTCCTGTGTTTATTGATGACCCTATAACACTATCCCTGAACGTAGCCTTTATGCGTAAACAAAATCATGTGTGTGGCCACCGAATTAAAAATGCAAATGAAATTAGATATGATAAAGCCTAAACATAATAATGCTGGTCATTACTGCACTAAACCCAGTGGCGTGGACTTCTTTGATTACTGCTGAGTGGCAAGGTCCAGATGTGATGGGGGTGGGGGTTCATTTTAATCCCAAATATGGCTATAAAAATATAAGCAATCTATTATTATTCCCATAGCTAAAATACAGAATAGCAGCCTAGTAAAAAAAGCCCTATTCTCCTGTATTAGGAACACATCCCTCGGATTTTTCATCTAGGGAAAGGACTAACACAGTATTTTTCAACCTTGGCAACTTGAAGATGTGTGGACTTCAATTCCCAGAATTCCCTAGCCAGCTTGCAGGTTTCAAAAACATTGGACAAGGAGGACCAGGTGACCAATAGAAGGAGGAAAGGGCTATGAACCAGAGAATGCAAGATTCGCTCAGTCTTAATCCATTGAAGGAGTCAAAGGCCTATTATTGCCCCTCTCCCTTCTTATTAGTGGAAATAGGTTTCTTCTTTGGGGCAAACATAGATTAATTCAGAAAATACAACAAAAGCTTGCTTCTCCGTTGTAAAAAAAGGGAGCTGGGAGCAATGAACATCATATGAAAGAATTAAATTCTGCTTGCGGCTCAAGAACAGCTCGTGCCTTGCAACTAATATTTCATGATTTTTTTTTGTCTACCATTGTACTGGTAGAAAGCTGGAAAGAATTATAGACACTTCTCAGCACATGAGGCTATAAAACAGATAAGGATAAAAGAGTCCACTCTAAGGTTTGAGTTAATCTCAATTTCACTTTGTTCATGTGTTTCGTTCTGTAGGTATAAACTTGGATATTAATTACCTGACATTCCAAACAAGTAATTAATATGAAAGTGAATAACTAATCCAGTCAGATGCATATATATATATTCTCTTAGGCCTGCTTTGTACAAGACATTTTAAAACCACATAAAGGTAATCTCAGGTCCAAACGTCTACATGTGAATTAAACTGATTCATTGCTACTCATGTCTATGCACAGGAATATTCTTAACTAAGGATCAGCAACTGCTTGGAGTTAGATAAGGGTGTCAAAGTGAAGATCCAGGGGCTGGATCCGGCCCACAGGGTGCTTAGATCTGGCCCTCAGGGCTGCCCTGGAAACAGCAAAGGCCTCTGCCAGCGAAAACGGGTTTCCAGGCTCCATTTTTGGCCGCAACTGCCTCCTGCAACCCTCTGCCAGCGACCCTCCCGAGTTCTGTTTTCGCTGGCAGAAGATTGCAGGAAGCCATCACAGCCAAAAATGGAGCTCAGGAGCCCATTTTCGCTAGCAGAGTGCTCGGGCCACCACAGGTGCCCCCAATACGAGTGATGTCGAGCTGGCCATACCCACCCCGGCCACGCCCACCCTGGCCCCCCGAGGTCAAACACAACCCTGATGCGGCCCTCAATGAAATAGAGTTTGACACCCCTGGTCTATGGAATTCAAGCAGGATTAGACGTAGTTTGCCTGTGACTACGTAGGGATTCCCAGCTGATCCCTCTTTTTACCCCACCCTTAGGACTCTGCCAATCCTTCTCCCAGAGGAACCAATGTCTCATAAAGAAGCATCTCTTGGGAAAAAAATAAGTTCCCAGAAATGCATTTGATCCAAGAAAAGTGCGCAATATTTTTTAATCAGGTAATTTATAAATATCACAATGAATATCAGTCTGTCGTCATCCATAGAAACACATTGATGTATACTATCCTAAAGAAAAGACTAAATATTATGCACCACAGGAAGGAGTGCAATGCAAACTCTAATCCTGAATTAAAACATCATCTCTCTCCCTCTGTCCCCCTTCCTCTCTCTCTCTCTCTCCCCTCTCCTTCTCTCTCCCTCCCTCCCTCCCTCCTTCTCTCTCTCTCTCTCCCTCCCTCCCGCTGTCTCTCTCTCTGCCATGGTTGACACTGTGCTAGCAGTAAATGATACTGTGCAGTAGAGAAGGGAATTGGCACTGGGATATACAGTAATTTATGCCACTTCCAACTTCATATATGTGGCCAAGCTCTACCCTAACAATGAAAAATATTAGGTGTTACGATTCCATCAACTTTAAATCATTCCACACCAGTTTCCATATATTAAGGTGTTTGCATTGAGTCATCCCCATAACATACCTGGGTTAATTTCCTTCATAAAGCTGTAAAGAAAAGGTGATCCAGAAAATGCTGAATTTAAAGTAATCTTTCTATGGTCCAGAGCAGTTATTAAAGTACTACAGGTTTTTCCTCTGTTCTCTCAATTGTTCTAGCGTTGTTTCAAACTTGGCAGCTTTAAGATACTCCCTGGGTACGACTAATTTCGCTAGCAAAGTGCCATTTCAATAATAATCTTTTTGTTCGGAATATAATGATATTATTCCAAAGATACAGTTTATCTTGCGTGTAATGTGGATTGCTTGTTTCACTAGCCCCCAAAGCAATGTAGGCACTTTGAAAATAAAATAAAATAATGTTTTCTCTTTGCAAACTGCAGTCAATGTTGGAAGGGATCTAATTCCAGCCAACTGAGCGCCATACAAAAGGACCACCATTCTCAGAGCCATTTGCCATTAACAATGACTTTTTATTCATGACTTTCAAAGCTTCTTAGAATCTCATGCAATAGTTTTCTTCTAATGATCACTAATTAACTCTGGGAACTTTACATTTTCTCCCCACATTCTTCCTTGCTCTTTATCTCCTTTATTTTGTTTTCCTCTTCCAGGGGGAGAGGGGAATGCCAGGGCTGCCAGGAAAACAAGGAGCTCAGGTATTCTGCAAGGAATGGAGTCTGATTTATCCAGCTACATTAACCCATACCTTTCAACTGTTCTCCTATATTTTGCGTATGACTCCAACCTGGTGTGTGTATATGTTTCTTTTACACATATATATGTTGCACCTGCTGCATAGAAAGAGTTGCACCACTCCACGATTCTTTAAAGTAGCTAGATCTTCTCCCAAGACTAATGCGGTTAGAGTAGAGAGCAGAACAAAATGACATCTTAGGACTGCCCAACCTTGGCAACTTTTAAGATTTGTGGACTTCAACTCCCAGAATTCCCTAGCCAACATGGAGAACTCTGGAAGTTGAAGTCCACAAATCTTAAAAGTTGCCAAGGTTGGACAACCCTACGGTACATAGTTATGTGCTACATCTGCCACCCTAAAATCCTCTGCAGCTCTTTTATGGAATCAGATCCAAATCATTGCACACCATAAAGGTCATTTTAGCAGAGGAAGAACAAAGAATACATGTTGAACAAATGGCATGCTCATTCCTGCATTTCCATTGCAGAAATAAGAAAAAAGAAAATTTGCATATTTTCAGATATGCATTGAAATCACTGTGTAATTTCATTAATGTGACTAAAAACACATTAATGTTGGGCCGTTATATATTACATTGCAGAAATGAACTACAGGTTGATGCAAGTTCTAATATTTTATTACTTTTTCGGGGATAAGAGTTGCACTGAAGTTTGTGCTTTGGTTTAAATCGATGTTCGGCTTAGGTTTAACCATGTGTACATCAGGCACTCAAGAACGCACATTTTCTAAAACATTTAAATTGCAAATAAATAAATAAATAAATAAATCTATTTGACAGAGGGCTGACATGCCATTTCTTCAATTAAATCGATCATCCAAAATTTGTTTTTCTGCCTAGCGTCCTCTTTGTCCTTCTAGTCCATAGGTACTAACCCTTACTCACATCTGATTCATTTCTTACTATTTCTTTCATCTGTTTATGACATAGAATCCCTGATTTCCGTCTTCTGTCCTTGTGTTTTTTAGCTTTGTCCCTGATTTCTGTTTCAGAAAGTTGAGAGGTATGATCCTTCTCCCCTGTTTTTCTATCTCCATCTGCCTGTTTCATTCCTCTTGTGGTTTGCAAGCTCTTCTCAATTATCTTCTGTCTGGGCTCTTCAAGAAGCCATATCTTTGTTGTTCATCTTTTGCATGAAAGCCTCCAGAAATGTTATCCCAGTTCTAACCATCAATTGTCCTACCTATTCCTCCTTCTTTCCTTATGCCTACTCTTGTTATTCTTACTGAATAGGCTGACACAGTGTTTTTGAAACTTGGCAACGTTAAGACATGAGGGATTTCAAGTCCCAGAATTCCCCTACTCAGCATGCTAGCTGGGGAATTCTGGGAGTTGAAATCCACAAATCTTCATATTTTCAAGTTTGAAGATCACTGGCCTAACAGATACTAAACAGATTACTGATTCACAGAATATGCAGCTCTTTCACCAATATAGCCATCAAGAATTTTGCAATTCTGTATGCCCTCATTTTGTATCATCTATTTGGTTTTCTTAGTTGTCTTTGCTTACTGCTTGGTATCATTTCCAGGAAGATATTTTTTTTAATTCTTGAAGCTGATTTCCTATTTTGTACTTTCTTCTTTTGGGGGCTGTTCCCTGCTGGGAGATGCAGTCCAATGGGACTGCCTGAAGTGGGCAGGGGGTTTGCGTTTGCCCCAGAGTTGAATAAAATAATGTAATCAGTTTTAACATTGCTTCTCATGTTGAGAAATATACCTAAGAGCAGGAGAAAAGAGCCTGCTCATATATGATTCATTTCTTTGCCATGTCCTTTGTAAGCACCTTCCATAGTCTAAATATGTTATGACCTAGGCTTCTTGAGTCATTAAAACACACAAGTAGTCCCAAAAACCTCTTTTATTGCAACAGCTGTGAATTACGTTCATTCACAGCTGAGATCCAATTAGTTGCAAAAAGTCCTTTGGGAGAAGTCTAACCTTTATCTCCCTTGACACTCTGCCAAAGACCTACTTGGCAAAGCCCCATGGAGTCCAGAATCAAACAGAGATGCCGACTGGGAATAGAATTAACAATGTTGCTTTCCTGCAAAGAGCCCACATGCCTTTGCTCCTCTTTTAAGCCTTATGGGAGGGGCCAATCATCTCCAGGCCTTACTCTCAAGTCGTCCCTTTAGTTTTAACTGTTCTTTTCTTCTGGCAGCTCTGCGCATGCATGCACTAAGAACAGGCTCCTCCTGTTCCTCTGCCTCTCTGATATCCAACTCTGGAGGCTCTAGCGTCCATGCATGACTCCCAGATGGCCCTGGCCCCATCTCTGCCTCTGACACAGAGCCCTCTCCAAGCCTTCCCCAGACTCCAGGACTGTCCCATGTTCCTCCCCAGCCTCCTCAATGTCCGACTCTGCTGCCAGCTCTGCAGGCTGCTGGCGGACCACAACAAAATATTCAGAGTTGTCTTCTGGCCCTGATACACATGATGTATAATTTTTATCATTATCATCCAATTTTATGTGCATTACATCCAACTGTGGCTACCGTCATGACTTTTGGGAGCTTCTCCCCCTCCCTCATTGATTTCCCTGAATGGATTAGATTGACAGATATACTATTAAGTAGTAAAATTGCTGCCATTATGATAGGTAGTATGATATAAAAGGACAAACTACATATTTTAACACATGCTTTAGCTCAGGATTCTCCAACCATGACGATTTTAATACTTTGCACTTCAACTCCCAGAATTGTCCCATCAGCCATGCTGGCTGGGGAATTCTGGTTGAAGTCCACAGGTCTTAAAGTTACCAAGGTTGGACACTCCTGATTTAGATACTGATGAAGCTTAGACTTCCTATACCAGGGGTCTCCAATCTTGGCAACTTTAAGACTTGTGGACTTCAACCCAGAATTTCTCAGCCGGCAAAGCTGAATGAAGTCAACAAGTCTTAAAGACCCTGTTGTTCCGCCAGGCCGGGCTATCAACTTAATAATTTTAAATTGGGGTATTTTAAATTTTTGGGGTTTTAAATCGGCCAAATCTATTTAATTATTTTAATTTTTAATTATTGTTGTGTCTTGTGTTTTTAAATTGGCTGTACACCGCCCTGAGTCCTTCGGGAGAAGGGCGGTATAGAAATAAAATTATTATTATTATTATTAAAGTTGCCAAGGTTGGAGACTCCCCGTCCTATACCATAAGAATCCTGGTTAGAACTGGGCTGGACAATATTCTTGTCAAGATAATCCCTATGAGTTTCTTCTGGTAGATGAGCATCTATATAAGTTTGTTTTAAAATGCTGTAGCATTTTTATATGGGAAAATAGAAAGGGAAATGCCATTGTTTTGGTTTTCTCTATATCCAACTCATTAAAACGTGACTTGAAGGGTCAGATCTACATCAGTATTACAAAGGAATAGTAAGATTGGGTGCCCCATGTATCCCTCATGACTTCCACACACAAATCTAAATATTAATCCAAACTCACTTATCAACTTTTTTATTCTTCCAGATTTCGTTTTATTTTCTAAAAGGTGGTTGATCCAGTTATAGCTGGGTAAAATTTTGCATTGGCGAATTTCTCCATGTGAGATTTAGTGAAATTTTTAAACAGATGTAAATAGGAACTGAAAGAAATCTGAAGTGGTCTTTTGACACAAAAAAGTCCATTACACGGGAAAAGAGCCATCTCTTTTTCTCAGTATATTTTTTCTTTTTTCTTTCTTTCTAATGCAGGGTGAACCCGGGAATCCAGGAGCAAAGGTAAAAAAAAAATCTGTTCTAAATTTGTTCAGCCATCTTTTATTTTATTGTCTTAAGTAGACCTGGTATTATAATAACCAGTATGTGAATAACCGATTAAAAAATATGTTGGATGTCAAATATGTTGGATATCAACTGGGATAGTGGGCTTCTTCTGTCTGTTGTGTAACTGAGGTCTCCAAAATTGGTGACTTTAAGACTTGTGGCTGACTTGGGAATTCTGGGAGTTGAAGTCCACAAGTCTTAAAATCACTGGGTTTGGAGACTCCTGCTCTGGAGGGACAAAAAAGGAGAGTTATTTCCAAATTACACTTACTACCCCCTTGTTCACTATTAATGTACGGTTGTTCCATGTTGGAATGTTTAGTACCAGGAAGCCCAATTAACTTATCGTGGGATCTTCCTTAGAGGAATAAGAGCTATTGTGGTGTGATGGCTCATTTTTGAATCAAGATATCCACCGTTGATTCATTTGTCTTACAAGCTTAGCCAAACCACCATCTCTTAGCTCTTCTCTTCCTTTCCAATCTACATTAGAAAGATACCAACAGTGGTCATTTTACAAAGATAATATATATGAAATGCTCTGAATGCTTCAAAGCATTATGCAAATATTATTGTGGTTGCTATGCTTATCACTAAAAGGGATGTGGTGGCTCAGTGGCTAAGACGCTGAGCTTGTCAATCAAAAAGTCGGCAGTTCAGCAGTTCGAATCCTTAGTGCCGCGTAACAGGGTGAGCTCCAGTTACTTGTCCCAGCTTCTACCAACCTAGCAGTTCAAAAGCACGTAAAAAATGCAAGTAGAAAAATAGGGGCTACCTTTGGTGGGAAGGAAACAGTGTTCTGTGCGCCTTTGGCATTTAGTCATGCCGGCCACATGGCCACGGAGACGTCTTCAGACAACGCTGGCTCTTCATCTTTGAAATGGAGATGAGCACCACCCCCTAGAGTCGGGAACAACTAACACATATGTGTGAGGGGAACCTTTACTATGCTTATTACTACTTTTTTTTAAAATCATATTTTCATGTTGGTGCTCTTATTATTTTTATCAGTAAGATGCTTAGGTGGAGTGTTGGGTAGAGAGACATATACGCATATCATATATAAGGGAAAACAACCTTAAGGGATATGGAGAAAGGGAATATATTGTTTGGTACAAAACGAATCTAAATTTATCTCTTGTGGGAATTGGGAGGGGGGGTTCATATATTTGGCTCTTGGATATGCTGCCCTACCTTTAATTATTCCTATATAATACCTACATTATTATGTCTTTTTGTTTCCTCACGAAAAAATTAAAAAGGGAGAACATGGAATTTCTGGGAAGATGGGGCCCCCAGGTTTGCCTGGAAAAAGGGGGTACAGGGTAGGAAAAGATACAAAGCTTGGATTTTGTTTGTCTGCATTGTCCTTCTCAACAACCCACGATTCCGATCCGAGTGCTGTGAGCTAAATTTTCCAAGCTGGAAAGACATTTCCACTGCTTACATGGCTGAAATGTAACTCAAAAGTCACATCTAACAAAACGATTTTATTTTTGATCAATTTGTTTTTTTAATTGAAAGTATGAAATAAACGTCTCAGCCAGTGGTGGGTTTCACTTATCTTTGCTACCGGTTCACTTGTGCGTAGAGTGTATTTGATGACGTCCAGGCGGGTGGGCGGAGCCTCCCACCGCCACTACTACTGGTTCTCCTGAACCGGGGCGAACCAGTAGCAACCCACCACTGGTCTCAGCATGCTGAAAGCTTCAAAGCAGAGTTATGATGTAGCATGGTTTTTGCATGGATTTAGATCCTTCTGTGCTCTTTTATTCTGGGAAGGAAAAATTATAAGATCTTTCAACAAGAATGTGTGCTTGATTGATTCATTCTGGGCTGGAGTACCAAATACCAAGATTCATTACTCCCTTTAAGATTTCAAATGTTTTATTTATGCACATTTTTTAAAAAAAAGTAATTTCCAATCAAATATGATAACGTAATTTAGAAGCATGTGTTTCAAAATCTTCAGGAGATCCTAGAAACAGGAGAATAGCCCTTAGTAGCCAAATAATATCTTTTCCGGGCAATGAAAAACTAAATGTCTAGGCTTAGGTCAGTTAGACCTAAGGCGGGGATGAGGCATTTGTATGAACACAGTGAATTATTTTTGTCAGATAATGGCAGTGCCTTGATTTTAGTATCTACTGAGACTTATTAGTCACTGCCCTCCAGTGTTAATCTATTATGTTGTAAAGATAAGTTAATGTACTTTTCTTCAACATTATTAATGGATGATAATGAACTGGTATGTTACACTAAGTGATAGAAATATGTACAATACATTAAAAGTGAATGGGAGAAAAGTTGGTCTAATGGTGCCATATTAGGTCCTCTTAAACATTGTTGGGAGTATCATTTCTGAAGAGCTGATGGTGTTATGTAGGAATTCCAACTATGAAGGATTTTAAGATAATCCTAAGAATTCATCCCTCTTATAGTGGGACCTAAAGTTATTTTAATCATTATCTAAAATGTATGCCTTACAACAATTTAAAATTGAAGCTAGCTTGTCCCTGTCCAGGAAAGGCCAAGATGGGTATTAGGCAGGGGTGAAATTTACTTACCTTCGCTATCGGTTCGCAAATGTGAGCACGCACCTCTTCCACACATGCACAGAGCCTTCTGCGCATGTGCTGAGGGTCAAAAACAGGACGTGATGACATCCGGGCAGGTGGGCAGAGCCTCCCGCCGCCGGCGCTACCAGTTCGCCCGAGCTGGATAGAACCAGCTGGATTTCACCACTGGTATTAGACCTTTACTAACAATTATGACAATTGGAGAACCTCTAAGCTCCAAATCTGTTCCTTCTGAAGTAATATAACCCCAATGGAAACAGGCGCTCAGCATTTTCCATATCTAGGATCTTCTACTCATCAAAAGGTCTCCAAATTCAGGCCAGTGGGGAAATGCTACCGGTTCACACCGGTTCGGGCAAACCGGTACTGATAAAAACTACCGGTTCACCCGAACCGGTAGTTTAAAAAAAGCTACCGGTTCCTCCAAACTGGTATTTCCAACAATCAGCTGTGCCGTGCGATTTAAAATCTAAATTGTGCGGCACAGCTGATCCCCCCTTGCTGCTCTACTTACCTTTCCAAGCCTCCTTTTGGCACGTACTGTGCATGCACATACAGCATGTGTTTGGCACATGGCATGCATGCATGTGCATGCAGCATGCACTTGGCCCACAGCGTGCATGCATGGCTAGTGAACCAGTGGCAAACTGGTTCAGATTTCACCACTGGCTCAGGCTAAATATAATCCTAATACTAACACCCAAATATTGATCACATGACCGTGGGAATGGTCCAACAGACATAAGTGTGATGATCGGTTGTAAGTCACTTTTGCTAGTGTTTTCATAACGTTGAACAGTCATTTAACAAGCGGTTGTAAGTTGAGGACTACCTGTATATAATTTGCATCATTTGTGCAATGACATCATGTTGAATGGGACATCATCTTCCTCCCTTCCCACCACAGATGCACAGGCTCTCCGGGGGGGGGGGGAAGAGAATAGTTTTGGTGAGAAATCCAAGTTGGATTTATTTTGAAAATCTGGATTTTCTCCCAGATGAAAGCTTGTAAGAGGCATAAGTAAACTATGAAGAGGTAGTTATATTATGCTCTTTTTCCAAATCCCCATTACAAGATCAAATAAATCATAGCATCTGGCATCTGATCTTAATGGTTTTTCTTCAACAGGGTGAGAAAGGGAAACCTGGTGATCCAGGACCTTCTGGAACCATGGGGCAAAAGGTCTGTTTTGTTATCTAAGTGGGAAATAAGGAGAGTGGCGTATTTTATTTTATTGAAAGCCAAAAGCAAATTAATTGCTGGGCATCACATATATAAAAATTGGACCTATAATGAGTGGGGTTGAATTTATTCCAGGTTGAAGACTCCATGTATGAACTATAAATACAATCCTGTTTTACGTGTGTGTATATATGTATCAGTGGTGGGTTTCAAAAATGTTTACTACTGGTTCTGTGGGTGTGGCTTGGTGGGCATGGCTTGGTGGGCGTGGCAGGGGAAGGTTACTGCAAAATCCCCATTTCCTCCTGATCAGCTGGGACTCAGGAGGCAGAGAATAAATGGGGGCGGGGCCAGTCAGAGGTGGTATTTACCTGTTCTCCGAACTACTCAAAATTTCCACTACCGATTCTCCAGAACTGGTCAGAACCCTGCTGAAACCCACCTCTGATATGTGTGCGTGTGCATGTATATGACTATCATTAAGTGTTGTACCTTATGATTCTTAACAAATATATCTTTTCTTTTTATGTACACTGAGAGGTAATGGACCAAAGACAAATTCCTTGTGTGTCCAATCACACTTGGCCAAAAAAGAATTCTATTCTATTCTGTTCTATTCTATTCTTCTATTTTACTCTACTCTACTCTACTCTACTCTACTCTACTCTACTCTACTCTATTCTATCTATCTTGGGACTGAATTTATTTCAACTTAAAGTCTCCAAGTATACATTTCCATTTATGAATATTTGCCAACTTATCGGTCTTAATGATCCATTTTTTGTCCAGTGGCTAAATAAAAACCAAAGGATTTAAAGACTTAAAGCATAAACTTTCTCAGAAAACAAACCACATATACAAACCTTATGCCACCATAAATTGTTGGGATTCTTTTGATTAACCAAAGGACAGGCGCTCAAACAACTGAGTCTGTCTTGAATGTCTGTGATGTTATTGATCAACTAAGTAACATCATGTTGCTACCAATTTGATACAGGTAGTCCTCAACTTACAACCATTTGTTTAGTGACCATTCAAAATTATAACGGCATGAAAAAAGTAACTTACCATTGTTTTTTGCATATATGACCGTTGTAGCATCCCCATGGTCACATGATTAAAATTTGAACGCTTGGCAACTGGCATTTGTGATGTTTGCAGGGTCACGTGATCAGCCTTTGCGACCTCCTGACAAAGCCAAGTCAATGGGGGAAGCGGGCCTGATTCTCTTAACAACCATGATACTAACTTAACAACTGCAGTGACTGGCTTAATGGCTGTGGCAAGAAAGTGCGTAAAATGTGACAAAACTCAGTTAACAGCTGTCTTATTTAGCAACGGAAATGTTGGGCTCAATTGTGGCCATAAGTCGAGGACTACCTGCATTCTCCAAATGCGTTGAGACTTCTGGAGTTCCCTGAGTTGCAATTCTATCATTTCTGCAGGCAGCAGATTGCCCTCAAATATGCAAAAGAAGGTTTCATTAATATCACTCATTGCTCATTTTGTGAAATTCTCTTAAGGGCGAAAAAGGAGATTCTAGCAACGCACTTGGAGGTGGTAAAGGAGAACCGGGAACCCCAGGAACCCCAGGATTGCCAGGGCCTCCAGGACCAAAGGTGATAAATGTAGTGGGGAAAGTGTTCAGAAGTGGGCTAGAAATGACATATACAGTAGTGGCCAAAATTGTGGAAACCTTTTGGGGAAAGTGTATTTTTGAGGGTTGATGGCTAATAACACCACTTCTTCTTCTTCTTTTTTTTTTTATTTTTGAGTTTCATGATAATCATAGTCTACTGCTGGAATGGCCTGGGAATAGCCCAGACCTTAACCCCATTGAAAATCTATGGAGCCGACTAAAGAAACTTGTTAGTCAGAAGCGACCCAGCAATCAAACCCAGTTAATAGAAGCAATCATTCAATCTTGGTTTCCCATTATAACAGCTGCAGAACTAAAAGACTTGGTTCACTCCATAGAAAAACATTGTAAGGCCGTCACTCATGCTAAAGGTTACCCAACTAAGTATTAGTTGACATGGGGATAATTTTTGCATATCTCGTTTTTTCTATGGTGATAATTTTTGTATATTTCATTTTTTCTATGTGTTTCACTTTTCTTCTTTCTACTGTAACTGCTATTCTAATAGCAAATCCTTCATAAAAGTTATTGCATTACATTCTTGATTAAATTATCTTTCCATCGATATATAATTTTATGGTACAACTCCCAAAAAAGTGGTGTCATTAGCTAGTTTAGAAAATACACTTTTACCAATTTTGGCCACTACTGTATATGCATATATTGGATATATAGTTTATATAAACTATATATCCAATATATGCATATACAGTAGTGGCCAAAATTGGTAAATTGGTGCGTTGGGTAGATTTTCTATTGAGAGAGAGCAAGAGAGAGAGAGAGAGATTGTCATCAAACAGAACTTGCCAAACAAACAGAAAACTACTATTTGGGTTTTTTTTCAGGTATAAAATTCCCTACTTTTTTTATTCTGCTTGCTTCACTTCATCACTACCCAGAGCACAGAATGGGACAACTTGTCGTGGCCTGCAGTCAACTTGTCATGGAAAACTTGCCATTGCCAACTCACCATGGGACAACTCGCCGCAGGACAATTCAACAATTCTATTTAATTATTTAAAATAATTTTTAAAAATATTTAAGTTTTTGTCATTCACATTTCATTTTGTCCCCCCTTTGGCATCCTTTCTTTAACAATTCTATTCCACTATTTATTTATTTTTATATTAATGTAACTTTTGTCTCTCAGTGAGTGGGCCTGTGGCGAGTTGGCCATGTCCTGCGGGAGTTCACTGAGGCAAGTTCAGAGGTGGGTTTCAGCAGTTCAGCAGTTTTTACCAGATCTGGAGAACCGGTAGTAGAAATTTTGAGTAGTTCAGAGAACCGGTAAAAAACCACCTCTGACTGACCCCGCCCCCATCTATTCTCTGCCTCCCGAGTCCCAGCTGATCGGGAGGAAATGGGGATTTTGCAGTAACCTTCCCCTGGAGTGGGGTGGGAATGGAGATTTTACAGTATCCTTCCCCTGGAGTGAGAAGGGAATGGAGATTTTACAGTTTCCTTCCCCAGCCACGCCCACCAAGCCATGCCCACCAAGCCACACCCACAGAACGGGTAGTAAAAAAATTTGTGGCTGTGGCGAGTTGTCCTACACCTCCCCAGAGGAAGACAAGTGTCTACAAGCATGTAGACACACCATCAGGAGAACAGCTAAGTAGAGCAGAACAATTATGAGTAAATATTTTCAATCAATGAGCTGCTCAAGGGAATAAATGCCATCCCCTTGTAGTAAATGAATCAATGAGTCGAACAGCTAACATAAAACACACAACACACATAAAAAATCTACAGTAACACCAGTGGTGGGTTTCAAAAAATTTTACTACTGATTCTGTGGGATGGCTTGGTGGGCATGGCGTGGCTTGGTGGGTGTGGCTTGGTGGGCGTGGCAGGGGAAGGATACTGTAAAATGTCCATTCCCACCCCACTCCAGGGGAAGGATACTGTAAAATCTCCATTCCCTCCCCACTCCAGGGGAAGGTTATGGCAAAATCCCCATTTCCTCCCAATCAGCTGGGACTCAGGAGGCAGAGAATAGATGGGGGCGGGGCCAGTCAGAGGTGGCATTTACCAGTTCTCCGAACTACTCAAAATTTCCACTACGGGTTCTCCAGAACTGGTCAGAACCTGCTGAAACCCACCTCTGAGATTTACATGATGATATATTAATGTGGAGAGAGACTTAAGGCAGTTCCATGACACAGGTGTTTCCATCCCACAATCCCTCAAAAATACATTTATAAACTGGCCCACAATTCCAAGGTCAGAACACAGCATGTAGAGAGTCTCATAGTCCAATCAAGTGCTTTCCAATTGTTCTCCAAGTGGCCAATAGGAAATTAGAAGGAACATCGTCCAATCGGTCTGCTCCCTCATGATTATGTATGAATGCATTATATTTTAAAGCAACATAATTTCCAAAGACCTATGACAATGTGTAGTTAAAATCAGATCACATTACAGTAATTCAATTATTACAGGTATATAAATTTATGTTTCAATAAAACAAGTAAAATTAACATAAAAATGGCCTCCAGCAAGCAGATGTCAGTTCCCACATGCTCCATTTTGCCAGCTATTGGATGCAAAATAGACAAAATTCTTGTCTTGCTGAAAAGGGGTATCATTGAACTTTTTGTAATTTTTGGAAAATCTTTTTACCTTGAGATTACCATCATTTTACTTCTTTTGTATTAAAACATAGTTCTTCTTTTCTGCTTGTTTTTGTTTCCTCAGTTAGAAGTGTCTGGCTCCCTTCTTTTTCTGCCGGAATACAATATCGTCAGCATATCTTAACAGTTTATTTTCATACTACCTATTGACAATTCCATTACATGCTTAATTAATCAAATATTTCTCTATAGATGTTGAAAAGGTGACAGCAATATGACACATACCTGGTGCTCTTCTTTTTGGGATTGAAATCTCATTTGAAAAACATCCTTCAAATGAGCTTGCTCCCAGTATATATTATTTTAAATAAATAGATATATAAATAACTTAAGTAGTTTGTGTGACAAAAATGAATACAAGGGCAGCTTGATAATCTTTCTCTCTATATTTCAGGAGTGGAGAATGATGGCCCTTTTATGACTTGTGGACTTCAACTCCCAGAATCCCCAAGCCAGTCATGCTGACTCAGGAATTCTGGGAGTTGAAGTGCACAAGTCATAAAGGGCCATTGCTTCTCACTTTTGCTCTATATAAACGGAAAATATTAAATTATTCCAAATATTTCCGAGGACTAAACTGCCGTTCCTGTATTATGTGGGCTGAATTCATGTATCGCGGGCCCTAAAATCCAACCAATTGCACTTTAGCCAAGCAGGATTTATAAAGCCAGCTGCTTTGTGCGTGACAAGAGTGACAATTTCCTCATAGAATAGATTTCCATGGACACACATACTTTATTAGTACGGTAGTATTACTCCAGAACACCTGTTCCTAACTGTATATACCTTCTTCTAGGGCCCCAAGGGTGAACCAGGGAAGAGTGAAATGGTAGACTACAATGGCAATATCAATGAAGCTTTACAGGTAAGGAAGTAGCAGATACACCATAGACACCAGATTATTGTGGTAATGATTCAGTGAACCTTTTTATTAATTGTTACTATTGATTCGTTATTATATGCCATCAAGGCATTTTGGGCTCCTAGCAACCACGTAGATATTCTCTATGATGATGTGTACTTACCTGTTGTTTGAGGTCTCCCAATGGTGTACTCATTGCCAATGTAACTGAGTCCATCCATCTTGCTGCTGGTTGTCCTCTTCTTCTATTTCCTTTATCTTCTTCTCTTTCTCTTGTCTTTTCTTTCTTAAAGTCCTCTCCCTCATTCCAATAACCCTTGTTCTCTTTTCTCTTCCTATTATGCTTTCTTCCTCTTCTTCCTTATACTCCTCTTCTTCTTTCCACTTTGCTTATATGCAGAATAACTGGGGGCGGTTACATATAACTTGTGCTGTAGCATATGATTAAATCACATACTTTATTTATTCTATTTTACTCTTCATTTTTCTAGAAACATAAATAATGATGGTAGTGTTGAATATTATGGGTCTAGACCAGAGGTGTCAAACTCAAGGCCCGCAGGCCAGATATGGCTCACGGGGTGCTTAGATTTGGCCTGAGGTGCCTCTGCCAGCAAAACCAGACCCCAGGAGGGCTGCACGTGCCCCCCCCCCGGGCCCTGTTTTCAGCCCCAATGGCCTCCTGCAACCCTCTGCCAGTGAAAACGGAGCTCAGGGGCTCTGTTTTCACTGGCAGAGGGCTGCAGGAGGCCATCACGGCCAAAAACAGAGGCCAGGGAACCACGTGCAACCCCCACCACCATCAACAACCTCCATTTTCACTGGCAGAGGACTAGCAAAACAAACTAAAAACAAAACAAAAGGAGAAATGTTTCCCCTTTTGCATTTGAGCATGCAAGAAGGGCAGGAAAGGAGAAAGGGAAAGAGGAAAAAACAAAGAAAAATAAGGAAAGAGAGCAAGGAAGGAAAAATAAGGAATAAAGGAAGGAAGGAGAATGAAGAGAGAAGGAAAAAAAAAGAGGAAGGAAGGAAGGAAGGGAAGGAAGGAAGGAAGGAAGGAAGGAAGGAAGGAAGGAAGGAAGGAGATTATAATGAGAGTGAGGGAGGGTCTGAGGAAAGTCCTGCCTTAGCACTTGGCCACCACAGGTGCCCCCAACACAAGTGACATTGAGCTGGCCATGCCCACCCTGGCCATGCCCATCCCGACTCCCCGAGGTCAAACACAACCTTGATGCAGCCCTCAATGAAATCGAGTTTGACACCCTGGTCTAGACTATTGTTATAGACTGAATGGCGCTAGCTAATTATATTACTTCTCATATGATTCCAAAATAAACCCCGAATCCTCTGAAATAGGTATTGGAAGGCACAAATGGAAAGACACCTGTGCATTAACTAGCAGGTTGATTGTCTGGAAAAAAAATATTACTTGAAATTATTTGAATCGCACCTTTTCTATCACACTGTAGCATCTTTGATATAGGTACAGATAATGTTTTAACACATAGTTGTTCTTTCATTCAGGAGATACGAACATTGGCCCTAATGGTGAGTAAATCTTCTTTTCTATAAGCTGTGGTTCTTAATAAAAGTTCAGTTAAATAGGAGAACAGGCTAGCAATCCTGACAGATGTATTATAAATGCCACACATGGATAAATATTTATAAACTATAACCCTATAGTTATGGGTTACCGTGTTTCCCTGAAAATAAGACCAGGTCTTATATTAATTTTTGCTCCAAAAGACACATTAGGGCTTATTTTCTGGTTAGGTCTTAATTTGGGGGGAAATATAGTGCTAAATGCATCCATCTGGCTGACAATCTTAAGTGGGGCTTATTTTGGGGGTAGGGCTTATATTACGAGCATCCTGAAAAAACATGCTAGGGCTTATGGTTGGGTCTTATTTTCAGGAAAACAGGGTAGATATATAAGCTTTCATTGTTCTTCATTTCAGAATTTTATCTCCCAGCACATGAAGCTATCTGTTGATAGCTATCTTCTTGTGTCTTGGTGGGATATAGCACTGCCACTGAAGTTCTTCCCTCCCAAAAATCAACTGTGGCATCTACAGTCGTTACCAAAAGGGTATATGCAGGATCTGTCCTCCTATTAGAGAGAACAAAGCATCAGTTTTTTGGTCCTATATTCATCTCAACTTGTGACTGTACAAAGAGGCCGCCCAGGAAGAAATAGTTTGTGGGTGACTAGGAGGAAACAAAAGGAACTCTTTATAGTTCAGATGGCCATCTCCGTATGCAAAGCTTACTCCCATGATTTATTAGTACACTAGCCAATGAGAGTAGAGGAGGAAACCAGGCGTGTCCTGAATTCCCCCCACTTGGTACCTTATGGATATGTTGGATGACAGTTTCCATAATTCCCAGCCAGTTTGACCAACATTAACACAGTGGGAATGTCAGGTTCTTCCACCTATATTTTACAGGTGCATCCAGTACTTAATTGGGACTGGTAGATAAAATAATATTGGCATTCTATTCATTTGCCAGGATAATTAGGGTATTGAAGAGTGATCAATAGTCTGACAGAAAGCCACTCAGTAAAATAACCTTTTTTTCACTGTGCTTTGATTTTTTTCTCCCCCCATTTGACATTTATCTACTCTAAGGAGCTTGAAAGAAATTGATTATAATGAGATAGATAGATAGATAGATAGATAGATAGATAGATAGATAGATAGATAGAGATAGATAGATAGATAGATAGATAGATAGATAGATAGATAGATAGATAGATAGATAGATAGAGATATAAGGATATAGATATGTTGTTGTTGTTATTAGTTGCGAAGTCATGTCCGACCCATTGCGGCCCCATGGACAATATTCCTCTAGGCCTTCCTGCTTTCTACCATCCTCTGGAGTCCATTTAAGCTCACGCCAAATGCTTCAGTGACTCCATCCAGCCACCTCATTCTCTGCCGTCCCCTTCTTCTTTTGCCCTCAATTGTTCCCAGCATTAAGCCCTTCTCCAGTGAGTCCTTCCTTCTCATTAGGTGGCCAAAGTATTTGAGTTTCATCTTCAGGATCTGGCCTTCTAAAGAGTAGTCAGGGTTGATCTCCTCTAGGACTGATCGCCTTGCAGTCCAAGGGACATGCAGGAGTCTTCTCCAGCACCATAGTTCAAAGGCCTCAATCCTTTGGCGCTCAGCCCTTCTTATGCTCCAACTTTCACAGCCATACATTGCAACTGGGAAAACCATAGCCTCGACTATACGCACTTTTGTTGGCAGGGTGATTCTCTGCTGTTTAGTATGCTGTCTAGATTTGCCATGGCTTTCCTCCCCAGGAGCAAGCATCTTTTAATTTCTTGGCTGCAGTCCCCATCTGCGGTGATCTTGGAGCCTAGGAAAATAATTGCCATTGCCCGTGGACAGTACCAAAAGGAAAAAAAGGATATAGATATACAGTATATAAAGAAATGTGTGTGTGTGTGTGTGAATGAGGTGTATATATAATCAATTTCTTTGTGTGTACATATGTGCATGCGTATACACACACCCACACACACATTTTATTCCAAATAACAATACTAATTAAAAAAAGAAAGGGAAATAAAGGATTATATTTATATACTGTTAAACAATGAGGGTTTTTTTTCCCCTATCAGGGACCTCCTGGTCTTCCAGGCATCTCAGGGCCAGCTGGACCGCCTGGACAGAAGGTAACTCCATCAGACTTTCTTAACAGTCAGCTAAGATAAAGCCCTTTCCATCTCCTTAATTAAAATTGAATGAATATGATGAAAATTAAACAGAAGCAGAGGAAGATACTGTTCTTCTTGTCTGTCAGTTCAAAAGATGGATAACCATCATCTGGAGATGGATTGCACTGTAAAATGCACTACAACGAAAGCACTACGAGAGCTTTTGTGGTGCACATGGAATTGACAACTTGCTAATAGGAGATTTCCCAATGGAGCAGGTGTTTCTCTTTGGTCCTGCTGTCCACCCATCTTCTTTTAATTTATTATTTATTAAATGATTTATACAGCTGCCTATATCACAGAAATGACTGTGGATAGCTTACAATGGAGGACCACAGTACACGACAGGGAATGAAGAAGGGGTTAAAATGTGTGTGCGCCTCGTTTTCCTATGCAACAAAAATTTAGGATATAGCTGATACAATTATATCCTGTGTTAACAATCTAAATTCAAGAACAACTTAGAAACCCAAAGAACAAGCATTATTTTCACCCTAGGAACCTGACAAATTTAGGTTATAATTCAACTTTTAGTGCTAATTGATCCACAATTTCTTGAACATAACTTGTTCCCTCTTTATTTGCCAAATCTCAAGTAAAAGTGTTTGTTCTATCTTCACATCTCTTCTACAAAGTTCCAAGGTTCATAATATATATATATACTTCACTTTTTCCTCTCAGGGTGAAATTGGCTTGCCAGGTCCCCCAGGACGTAATGGAGAAAAGGTAAGAAGCTAGACATGAGAAACAGGTACTGTATACCTGTATACAACATTAAATTCTCAAAGAAATTTAATTTTAATTTAATTCTTTTTTTATTAAATAATAAATAATAATAATTCCTTTATTATTTTTATTCAATAAATTTAATTTAATTCCAACTCGACCTCACTCCTGTTGGGGGGCGCCTGTGGCGGCCCGAGCACTCTGCCAGCAAAAACTGGCTCCCGAGCTCTGTTTTTGGCTGTCACGGCCTCCTGCAACCTTCTGCCAGTGAAAACAGAGCTCATTTTCACTGGCAGAGGGTTGCAGGAGGCCGTGGCAGCCGAAAACGGAGTTTGGGAGCCCGTTTTCACTGGCAGAAGCACCGCGGGCCAGTCCTTCACTGTTTCCAGGGTGGCCCCGCGGGACAGATCCAACCCCTGGGTCTTGAGTTTGACACCCCTGATTTAGCCTATACTGTATTTAGGTAGTTATTGAATATGGGATTATCATACTCCATATAATATCATAATTTATAGAGTCTTTGACATGATCCATACTTTTTGCTCAGTCCTCCAGCATGAGGACAGGCATTTAGTGTTTGGGGAGGTGGGAGCCAGATCACATCATCCTCGGCCTGCCCTGAATCACCATTCAAGTGTTGTGCCCCCCCAAATGAAAAATAACATTTTCCTCTCTGAGCTGGGTGCAAGCAGAGTCGATTTATCACACTTCATTCTGGCCTGCAAATATGCCTCCATCGCAATTGGTTGATGTGTGTTTTGGCAGGAACTTCATCTAGCCCTGCTCTCTGCCTTCAACAGTTTCCACTGGGCTGCCTGACCTGAAAGGATGGTCCTTTGTTTGTCTGTCTTTTGTTTGTTAGGCTCAATAGCAAAGTGGAGACATGCTGACTAGTTTTGTTAGCTTGCTTTTAATTGGTCATTTTTATTATAATTTTATTAAATTTATGAAAATACAAACGAAAATATTGGAGAGGGGGGTATTCAGGGATGGGCTTCAGATCCTTTAACAATGGGTTCACTGCCCCGTTGCTGGGTGGGTGTGGCCATGGTGGGCATGGCCTAGTGGACCGCCTGCACCACAGAAGGGTGGGCATTTTGGGTCCTCCCCATACTCTGGAGGCTTTCCTCAAGGGTGAAAACTGTTTCCCCCAGGGTCCGGAGGCCCTCCGGAGGCCGGAAACAGGCCCGTTTCCGGACTTCTGGAACCTCCGGTAGGCCTGTTTTTTGCCCTCCCAGACCCTCCGTGCGGCCCCTGCACTTACCTGGAATGATGAACGGGCTGCGTGGAGACTCCTGGGAGGGGAGGGGAGGGGCAGGGTGGGAGCGGTGGGGTGGACGTGGGCAGCCAGGGGTAGCATTTGAGGGTCTGCCAAACCCCGGCAATCCTTGATTAGAGGATCGCCCGAACCCTGCCGAATCCCCAGGAGCCCACCTCTGGGGGTATGTGTGTGGGAGAGAGAGAGGGAGGGAGGGAGGGAGAGAAAGAAGTGTGGGATAAAGGTGAAAAAAGAAAGCAAAGCATTAACACCCAATTCTTTTCAGTGTAGCAGAATAAAAATATTTTAAATCAACATTTTACTTTTGCAAGCTTAATATATGCTAGCCATTTCTATAACAACAAACCTGTCTCATCAGCAAATCCCAAAGTGAACATTTCATTTTTGTTCCTACCTCAAGCCCAAAATCTAGAAGCAGTTTCCAAATAGAAAGGAAGCTGGATCCATTCTTTTGTTTGATTAAAGCACTTATTTTAGCCATTCTCTGCCAGTTCCATCATTTTCCCCCCCAGTTCTGCTAAATTTCCCTGTTAGACCGAGTGACAGGTAGGACTGAAAAACTCTTGACCTTTCTTTTCTTATCAATCCTTCAAAGATGTTGCCACAAATAGAAAGGTCGTTTTATTTCCTGGCTTGGATGGGAAGGAAAAAGAAGCCAGGAACTGATTCTAGTTCAGGGAGAGCTCCTAGCCATCACTGTGTTAAATACAAAGAAAGGAGCTGAAACACAGAAAGGAATACCTTAAAACTGGTGCATCAAACTCAATGTCATTGAGGGCTGCATCAGGGTTGTGTTTGACCTCAGGGGCAGGGATGAAATCAAGCAGATTCTGGAGAACTGGTAGCGGAAATTTTGAGTAGTTCGGAGAACTGGCAAATACCACCCTTGGCTGGCCCAAGAGTGGGGTGGAAGTGGAGATTTTGCAATATCCTTTCCCCAGGAGTGGGGAGGGAATGGAGATTTTGCAGTATCCTTCCCCTGCCACGCCCATCAAGCCACACCACACCCACCAAGCCACACCACACCCATCAAGCCACGCTCACAGAACCGGTAGTAAAAAAATTTGGATTTCATCACTGCTCAGGGGGTTGGGGTGGGTGTGGCCAGGGTGGGTGTGGCCAGCCCAATGTCACTCATGTCGGGGTGCCTGTGGGGGCCCGTGTGCTTTGTTAGCGAAAAAGGGCTCCCGAGCTCCGTTATCAGCTGCCATGGCCTCCTGCAGCCTCCGAGCTCCGTTTTTACTGGCAGAAGCACCATGGGGCGATCCTTTGCTGTTTCCATGGTGACTCGGCAAGCCAGATCTAAGTACCCTGCAGGCCAGATCTGGCCCCAGGGCCTTGAGTTTGACACCCCTGTCTTAAATCATCTTGACTTCTAGCCAGTTTAGCATGGGAGACAAGCAATTGAAGGTTGTAGTAAAAAAATAAAAAATCCTTTGTTTTAAGTCAAGATGAAGGTGGGGGAAAAGTCTTTCTTATCTTTTCGAGTCTACATTTTAAGCATTTCTCCTACCATTTCTTCTACTTTTACCTTATCAGACAATATCTTTTAGAAAGAAAACCTGTTCTAAGGTTTTCTTAGAACAGGTGACCCAATTCAGGTCTATAAAGAAGGACTAACAGACTAAGGTGACCCAATTCAGGTCTATAAAGAAGGCCATTAAAAAGTTTCTAACTTCAACATTTTATACCTGTGTTTGTAAAGACCCAGGCTGACACATGTTTGAACTATATTCTTTCTTCCCGTAGCTTCTTGGCTATTGAATCAAGGATTCTGTAATACATTTGAGGTTCTTTTCAAGAATTGCTTATTTTGCTTCTAATGTGCTTTTAAACTAGAGACTGTTAAAAACACATCAAGAAATTAACTTTTTCACAGAGGACCCCATGTGACTCAATAGAATCATAAAATCATATGATTCTATGATTCTAAGAATCATTAAAGAGGAACAAAAGTAGGTGGGGGATATGCAATAGCTATGCTCATATACAAATATTATTCCCATTTGAAAGAAACAAGCAATTAGAGTATCTTTCTCATCGCATTATTCTACCTTAAATCTTTCTTTCCCTGTAGGGTGTTGATGGCCTAAATGGAGTTAAAGGTGACCGAGGGATGCCTGGACCTCCTGGTCTCATCGGTCCAGCTGGACTTCCAGGATTTACAGTAAGCACACCAAATGTTTTTTCAAAAAAAAAAAAAAACCTTGGTCATTGCCATCAAGAAAGTCAACTAGTATAAGTCATTTAAGAGATAAAAGTAATATTCCTTGAACAAAACAATATGCCTTGAATTTTCTTCCTTAGCTGAAGTTCAGATAGCCAATTAAGATCACTCAGCATATTTGTGACTGGATTCCTTTGAACGAAGATCTGTCAAGACCAGATCTCTACCTAGCTTCATAATCTTGCTTGACCAAGAGACTTTTCATGACTGTCAGCTTTGACAAGTTGTAAGCAACAACTGCAAAGCAGTCATTGAGGAGGAACAAAACGTAGACAGGGGGTATGGCAAGAAAATCCCTGAGGTAAGGTAGGTTTAGAAAGTGATTGTCACAGGATTTTTTTCCCCAAGGTTTCAGATTTGGTGCTTCCCTTCTATATATACATTATAGTTTATAGACATTGCTCAAATTAGATAGAATGCTAGTTAATCATAATAGCCAGAGAGGCTTTTAGTGTTATTCTAGATAGAAGTATCCTAGTGATTGCATTTTTATTTACTTCTTCATGGTGTCTTCATCTGAACTTTTGGCCATCTTGAAATTTCACTGCTATAATAACTTGGCGTGGATGCTTTTTTTTATTACAATATTGTTGTATTAACAGGGAGAGAAGGGGGAACCTGGAGAAAAAGGAGATATCGGGGCTTCAGTAAGTGATCAAACCACATTATTTTTTTTTAAAAAATTAGACAAATTCCTCCTTTCCCTAACTATAGCTCCATTTTCTTCATCCGTTCTTCGCAACTACTATTTTCACAACGATAGGTTTAATTTTTACGTAATAATTTTGAGGAAGGGGTTCGGTTATTGCTTTTATTTACTAAGCATGAAAGTGAATTATTATGGCAATGACATTTGCTTTTCTATTTGGCTTTTAGGTAACTGGTCCACCAGGGCCTCAAGGTCCATCTGGAAACCCAGTAAGTCTTTTCTACAATCATCATCCTCTTTTAACAACCCCATAATCCCTTGTGGGGTCGAGTCTGGGCAACTGAATGGAGCTGAGGGTTTACTGGCCAGATGCCCTTCCTGTTGCCAATGTGGAGTTTTGTTCAGCAGATATATTCTCATTGTTCCCAGAGAGATAAATATCGGCCTCTACCTAGGATCGAACTCACAGCCTCCTGATTGTGAGGCAAGAGCTCCAACTCTAGGCCACCGCACCACTCTTAAGTCTTTTCTACTATAAATATTTTTTTCCTTTTTTCTAAAGTATTTCCTAATACCATATCCTTATTGTGACAAAATTCTCCACCAAATACATTGACCTAAACCAAAATGCTGGTTTTTGAAGAAGAAATACAATTGTCTCAGTGTGATCTATTCTTTGTAGCTTTTAGCGTGGAGAATAGCCAGATCTTCAGTAGCTTCCTGAAAGTCATCACAGTGGGAGCCATCTGGATCACAGGGATATCATTCCAGAAGGCAGGAACCATGACAGAGAAGTCACACTTTCTAGGTTTTGCTTAATCATTAGGACCTAAAGTGTATTTGTTCTTCCTGATCGCAGCAGATAAGCAGAAGTAGTAACCAGAGATTCGTGTTCCCTCAAGTAGCCAGGCCCTATGCCATGAGGGCCTTTATAGATGATAACCAGTATTTATTTATTTATTTATTTATTATTCGAATTTCTATACCGCCCTTCTCCTTTCAGACCCAGGGCGGTGAACAGCCAAAATAAAAACATTTATACATAAATACGATTAAAAATAGATTTAAAATAATTAAATTTGGCCCATAGTTTAAAATTTATCAATTTAAAATCCATATCAAAATTTAAAACCAACCATAAAATCATAAAATCAAGAGAGACCGGCTAACTGAAAGAGATGAGTTTTTAGGGCCCGACAAAAGGTCCGGAGGTCGGAGATCACTCGTATCTCTGGGGGTAGATTGTTCCAAAGGGTAGGTGCCACCACAGAGAAGGCTCTCCTCCTGGGGGTCGCCAGCCAGCATTGTCTAGCCGACGGCACCCTGAGGAGGCCCTCTCTGTGGGAGCGAACTGGCCGGTGGGAGGCTATTGGTGGCAGAAGGCGGTCCTGTAAGTACCCTGGCCCTAAGCCATGGAGTGCTTTAAAGGTGATCACCAATACCTTGAAGCGCACCCGGAAGTCCACCGGAAGCCAATGCAGCTCGCGCAGGAGAGGAGTCACATGGGAGCGCCCAGTCACTCCCATAATCCCCCGCGCGGCCGCATTCTGCACCAGTTGGAGCCTCCGGGTGTACCCCAAGGGGAGCCCCATGTAGAGAGCGTTACAATAGTCCAGACGAGAAGTGACGAGTGCTTGAGTGACTGTGCGTAGGGAGTCCCGATCCAGAAAGGGGCGCAACTGGCGTATCAGGCGAACCTGATAAAAAGCCCCCCTGGCCACGGCCGTCATATGCCCTTCTAAGGACAGCCGTGCATCCAGGAGGACGCCCAAGTTGCGGGCCCCTTCCGTGGGGGCCAATGATTCACCCCCAATAACCAGCGATGGCGTCAGCTGGCTATACCAGGACGCCGGCAGCCACAGCCACTCGGTCTTGGAAGGGTTGAGTCGAAGCCTGTTTCTCCCCATCCAGACCCGCACGGCCTCCAGGCACTGGGACATCACTTCCAGTAACTTGAATTGCATTCAGAAACTAACTGGTAGCCAATGCAATCCACAGAGCAAGAGGTCACATGGATATTAATGAGGCATACTTATCATTGCTTACACCACTACAGGCTCAAGAAGCATTAGTGGGAGTCCTGTTTATGAGCATGGAGAATATTCAAAACAGGGAGGGGCAGTGCCTAAAATGTTTAGCCCCACAAAATTCCAGAGTAAACTGTCAGGGTTCCATGTAACACCCCCAACAAAAGAAAACTCTGAGACTTGAGTTTCCTCAAAGTTACATTTTATTAGAAATGTCATATTGGCACATCTAAGAAAACCGGAATCTGAAAGTTTCCAGGTTGTCCCCACCCAAAAGAAAGTTCTAAAACTGTGAATAATTTGGGCATATCCTGAGGGTAATGGAAAGATATAGAATAGAATAGAATAGAATAGAATAGAATAGAATAGAATAGAATAGAATAGAATAGAATAGAATAGAATAGGCCAAGTGTGATTGGACACACAAGGAATTTGTCTTGGTGCATATGCTCTCAATGTACATAAAAGAAAAGATACGTTCATTAAGAATCGTAAGGTACAACACTTAATGATAGTCATAGGGAACAAATAAGCAATCAAATCATAATAGGAAACAGTCAATATAAATTGTAAGGATATCAGCAACAAAGTTACAGTCATACAGTCATTAGTGGAAGGAGATGGGTGATAGAAACGATGAGAAGATTAATAGTAGTGCAGCCTTAGTGAATAGTTTGACAGTGTTGAGGGAATTATTTGTTTAGCAGAGTGATGGCGTGTCTAGTTGTTCTGGTGTGCAATGCTCTATAGCGTCGTTTTGAGGGTAGGAGTTGAAACAGTTTATATCCAGGATGTGAGGATGTGATTTATAATTGCTTGTTTGTGAGTCAAAGGTCCAGTTTGGGACTGCCACTGCCAAGACCCTTGTATAAAGCCATTGAGTATGGGTTTTTTTTGTGGGAATCAAAATTTGGTGGGGAAAAGGGGTAATTGGGCCAAACAGTTTAAGATTGACAATAGTAGAGAAAATCTGGGTGTCTTTGTACTGCTAGAATTTTAAATTGAAATAAAATTATATCAACTTTTTTTAAAACTTCCAACTATAGGGTCTTCAAGGCCTACCGGGACCTAAGGTAAGAAAAGCAAATAATCAAATTGAACTCAAGTAGGCACCTTAGAGAAAATACTTTGTGTGCTGTTCTCAAAGAAAAATTATGGCTTTGCATATTTTGGAGCAGGAGTAATCAACCTGTAACTGTCTAAAAGTATTTCTCCCTATTTCTTGCCATTGGCTAAACCTCCTAAGGTTTTTGAGGGTTGATACTCAACAATGCCTACAATGCCTATATTATAATGCCTGCAATGCCTACAACTCCATCCTTGAGTTTTTTTCCAAGTATGTATTATATCCCTGCATAGCATGTGTAAGAATGTAAAACATCTAAACCCTTTTGCATCTATTATGTGTCAATCCTTTATATTAGCGGAGGAGGAGTGGGAGGGGGGTAGAGTCTTATTTTCATAATCTTCATCTGCTGGAACACTGGCAAATATATTCCAATAAAGGGCCATGATCTCCACAACAGATTTATCAGACAATCAGTGCTTTTTAATTCCTGAAACTTTGCAGCTGTGTTTAGACTACCGTTTCTCCAACATATACATTTCAGATGTATTTCCACTTTTTTCTCCCTTGATTGAACATTCATTTGGGAGAAAATAGTCTAATAGATGCACAATGGCATTTGATTTCTAGTGCTAGAATCCAAAAACAACCCAGAGCTTAGGAACAACCAAACAGGCTGATCTGACTAACATCTAGCGCAATGATGGTTAACCTTTTTGGTGCCGAATGCCCAAAGTGCTCGTGTGTGCGAATGCACCCCAGCCCCCACACCTCGTTTTGGTTTCCAGGTTAGTGCAGGAGGCTTTATAGGCCCAAAACGGGGTGCGGAGGGGCATGCATGCGTGAATCCCAAAATGCAATGCGAGTGGTCCCCGCACATGCGCCCCGACCCCAAGCATACATGCATGTGTCCCCCACATGCACCCGGCCCTCTGCGAATGCGCATGTGTGGCAGAGACCCGAAGACCAGCTGGCCAGCAGGAGGTGCGTCCACATGCATGGTAGAGCTGGGCTGGGGCGACGGCTGGCGTGCCCACAGAAAGGCCTCTGCGTGCCCCCTGTGGCACACATGCCATAAGTTCACCATCATGGATCTAGCCTGTTTTATATTGAGAATGTTGGGATGTATCATCACTTGTTTTTCTACATTCATATCCAACGTGTTAGCCCCCTTCCACGTATGCATCATTACCTCCTGAGGTATGGACCGCCCCCACCCTGTTGGCCTTCCGAAAAGCAGTGAAGACCTGGCTTTTTGGGCAGGCCTGGGGCCGTTGATCTCGCTGTTGCGATCTTGTGAGATCCGGCCATAAATGGTGTGAATGGGTTTTAATATTTTAATTTTTAAATGTTTTTATAATGGTTTTTTTAAAATGCATTGTAAGCCACCCTGAGTCTCCGGAGAAAGGCGGCATATAAATTGAAATAATAATAATAATAATAATAATAATAATAATAATAATAATAACAACAACAACAACAACAACAACAACAACAACAACAACGGAAAATATAGAAAAAGATTAGGAAAATAGAAGAAGTACGTAAAGAAATGAACAAAAGGGGAAAAAAAGAAAATGAAAACTTAGTCAGTGTTTCTCAATTTAGCAAGCTGTTTGGACTTCGACTCCCAGAATTCCCCAGCAGCCTAGCTGGGTTAGGGAATTCTGGGAGCTGAAGTCCATGCAGCTTAAACTTGCCGGAGTTGAGAAACACTGATCTATCTAGTTTATATCACGAGCATTTACTCTTGACGCTGTGCAAATCATCAGATTTGGACCTTGTCTGTATTCCCTTCTTCATATGCCAGCTTTTGTCTTTTAAACTTCTGTCTTTCTGAAGATTTCATCGACTCATGACTGTTTCAATCACCCGCTTCCTTTTCACCCATTCACTCTTCTCACTATATAAACAAACCATCTTCTCCTTTTGTAATAAATCCATGTTCGCTCAACATCCATTCATTTTTTACACTCTTGTCTTCTGGTTTTACCACACAAACGTCTCACGTATTCTGTCCCTACTGCATTCAACATTTATATTTCTCCTGACAGATCCAACTCTCACCTCAGAATGCAAAATTGACAGAAACGCAATCATTTCAGGGGTGAAATGCTCTCGGTTTGGACCAGATCACCTGATCCGGTAGCGATGGAGGCGGGTGGTTCGGAGAACCGGTAGCAAAAATCCCTGCCCCCCCGCCCCCCACATGCCCAGCTGAGCCATGCGATCATCAGAGGCTTTTTTTTTTTCCTTTTAAAAGCATTTTTTCTTCGGCCGAAAAAATGCTTTTAAAAGTAAAAAAAAAAAAGCCTCTGATGATCGCATGGCTCAGCTTGGATCGTCAGAGGCATTTAAAAGAAAAAAAGCTTCTGCTGATCAGGCAACTCAGCTTGGATCGTCAGAGCCTTTTGAAAGCATTTTTTTACAATTTTTTCGGTGAAGAGGTTGTAGAAACAATGGTTTTAAAAGTAAAACAAAATTGGCCACACCCACCCAGTCACATTACCACCACCACCACCAAGCCACGCCCACAGAACCAGTAGTAACAACTTTTAGATTCCACTACTGAATCTTTTCCATTTCTCCTTTTTGTGTTCATTTCTTTCCACAAATGTTTATTGCTCATAATGAACGATATACTCTCCTCCACCTTTATATTAGCATATATATTTCCTAAAATTTCTCTAGCTTTTCTTATCTCTGATTAACTTCCTATCAAGGTAAACAAATTAATGTGTTTGCTCCAGATTTTTTTCCATTTATAGATCATGTCCTGTCTTTCATTCCATTTCTCTGTTTTCAAACAGAAATATGTAGAGCTGTGTCCGTACTCCCCATTGCATCATTCAAATCTGTGCAATGTTCACTCTAATTCATGTTGGCACTATCTACATATTTAAATATAGCTTACAGCTGCAATTAATACATTCCTAATATCACTTCTAATATCAATACACCACAAACATACAGTAGTGGCCAAAACTGTGGAAACCTTATGGGAAAAGTATATTTTCTAAAACTAGCTAATAACACCACTTTTTTTTTTGGTAGTACCATAGAATTATATATCAATGGAAAGATAATTTAATCAAGAATGTAATGCAATAACTTATATGAAGGATTTGCTATTAGAATAGCAGTTATAGTATAAAGAAGAAAAAGTGAAACGTAGAAAAAAATTAGATATACAAAAATGATTCCCATGTCAGTTAATACTTAGTTGAGTAACCTTTAGCATGAATTACAGTCTTACAACGTCTTCCTATGGAGTGAACCAAGTCTTTTAGTTCTGCAGATATTATAATGTGAAACCAAGATTGAATGATTGCTTCTATTAACTGGATTGCTTCTGATTAATAAGTTTCTTTAGTCAGTGCCATAGATTTTCTATTGGGTTAAGGTCTGGGCTATTCTCAGGCCATTCCAGCAGTGGAATATGATTATCTTGAAACTCCAAAAAAAAGGGGTGTTATAAGCCATCAACTCTCAAAAATTTACTTTTTCCAAAAGATTTCAACAATTTTGGCCACTACTGTACATCTATAAACACATTAAAAAAGCAAGGTGAAATCACACATCCTTATCTTACTGCCTGCTAATGCTGAACCATTTGCAGAGCAGTCCATTTATTCTCATAAACAATTTATTTCAATCATAGACTATTCTTTACTTATTAAGTAATCAACAATCAGATCCCTTCATGCCAGATTCCATAATTCAGAATTACTTCTCCGAGCAGTCTCAATATCAACAGATACACAACAAGCATATCCCAAATGTAGCTCGTTGTTAACTTTCATACTTTTTTTTAAATAAGATTCCAGCCGAACTCCTTCCTGGTTAATAAACAAATATTTCTGTACCTTTTGCGTTCATTTTTGCTGCTTTTCATTCTATCTAAAGGAGCAATATTAGCATTTTTCCAATTTGAAGGTATAGATGCAGCCTTCACATCGACTTTATTTAAATTACAAATCCATTCACTAAACAAGCAACATCCCTATTTTAACCTAACTGCAAATATATTGTTTACATCTACCTGCATTCTTACAATTTTCAATGTTCTCACACCATTTGTTAGTTACTTTTCATCTTTTTTTCTTGCACATTTGCCTTTGTAGCATTCATTTTAATTCTACTGACACCATTATAATTCCTGTACAAATCTCTGAAATTCTTCATCCAGCTTTCCTTGACTTCACTTCCATCCCAAATCGTTTCATTACTTTTATTTTTCATTCCATGTTTTTCTGGAGGTTTTTTCTTAATCCCTCTCCGGTCATTTCCAAGCAATTTTTTTAAAAACTCCATTAAAATGATGCTGCATTTTCTCTTATTCGTAATCATATCTGTTCTTTGCTCTCTCTGTCTACATTCTTTGCAACTTTCTTTTTTCAGTATACACATTAAATAGTATAGGTAGTCCTTGACTTACAACCATTTGTTTAGTGACCAATTGAAATTACAATGTTATTGAAAAAGGTGACTTATGGCCAGGGGTGGTATTTCACTTATTTTCCCTACCAGTTGGCAAATGTGAGCGCTCACATCAGTGGTGGGTTGATCCCGGTTCTGTCCAGTTCTTTAGAACCGGTAGTAAAAGTGGCAGGAGGCTCCACCCACTCACCCAGATGTCATAATTGATGTTCGCGCTCCCGTTACCAACTGGTAGTAAAGGTAAGTAGAACCCACCCCTGGCTCGCACGTTCATCCATGCATGCACCCGGCCTTCCGCGCATTTATTTTTGCTGGCACGCGCGCCGTCCACGCATGTGCCCAGCCTCAAAAACGTGCCTAAATAGGATGGCATAGAGGCAAGCCCACCCGTGATTTCCGCTACTGGTTCAGGCAAACCAGTCCGAATCGTCTGAATACCATCTCTGCTTATGACCATTTTTCAGACTTACAACCATTGCAGTATCCCTGGGGTTACATGATCAAAATTCAGATGCTTGGGAATTGGCATGCATTTATGACGTTTGCAGTGTCCCTGGGTTATGTGATCAATTTTTGTGGCCTTCTGACAAGCAAAGTCAAAGGGGAACACAGATTCACTTAACAACCGTGTTACTAACTTAACAATTGCAGTGATTCACTGTGGCAAAATGTCATAAAATGGGGCAAAGTCACTTAAAACTGCCTTGCTTAAGCAATCGGAATTTTGGACTAAGTTGTGATCATAACTTGAAGACTACCGGTATCTTTCTTTATTTCTCGTTCCTCCTTTTTTTTTTTTTTTTGCAGCAATCGGTTTTTTTATGCACTCTTCCGCCATCTTTTCACATGAACACAAAGCGTCTGTTGTGGCCCGCCAGCAGCCAGCAGAGTTGGCAGCAGATTCGGACAGTGAGGAGGTTGGGGAGGAACATGGGCAGTCCTGGAATCTGGGGAAGGCTCTGATGAGGGCTCTGTATCAGAGGCAGAGCGGGGGCCAGGGCCGGGGGCCAGTTATCAGCTGCCTTCGGAGTCAGACATCAGTGAGGCAGACGAAGAGCTGGACCCTGTTCCCAGTGTGTGCATGTGCAGAGTTGCCAGACAAAGGGAACAGCTAAAGAACAAGAATTGACTTGGGAGTAAGGCCACAGGTGGACGATGAATGGCCCCTCACAGAGGGAATAAAAGAGGAGTGAAAGGGGAGTGGAGTTTGCAGGAGACAATTAGTTCACTTAATTGGTTTGTGACTCTCCGAAGCTGTTTGTCAAGTTTTGAAGATATCAGCCTGGCAGCTCTCCAAGCCAGATAAGGTCTGTGACTGTAAATTCTCCCTTGAAAGACTTTGCTGAAGGTGAATGAGAGGAATTCACTGTTTGTTTAATAAAAGGGGTTTTGTCAGGACCAGGATTCTGCTTCGTGCTTTTTGGGGAAGCCTAGGTGTCCCAGGAGCATCCCTCCACTCTCTTCCTTTTCAAACGGGTTCCACATCTTCCTTATGTCAGAACGATGGCCCCCATATGACCTGACGACTTCGACTCCCAGCTGGCTCAGGAATTCTGGGAGTTGAAGTCCACAGGTTGTAAAGGGACCACCATTCCTCACTTCTGCTTTTTGTACCCTTTCCATTCATTCTCTTGGGAGATTCAGTTATCTTCATATAGGAGTTGAAAAGTTCTCTTTTTCCAGTCCTTAGCAAAATGTCACCTCATCATTGCTATATCAATGCTTTTGGGATGTCACCAAGTCCCTTTCTCTGTATAATAATATATTTTGTGCATAAGCGCACCAGTGTGCCTGCCATCCCTGTCCTACTGTCCCCATTTATTTATATTCATTTCCTTCGTTCATGTCCATGTTCATAGTTATACCTGTTCTGACCTAGGCTTCCTTCGAAAGAATACAGCACAATCTTAATCCCGGCAAACCTCTTTTATTCATACGGCTGTGAATTATTGTCATTCACAGTCCGAAAGGCTTCTCAAACAGTCTTTCAGGGAAATATTTATAAACACCCACCTTATCTCCCTTGGAATTCTGCCAGAGAACTAATTGCCAAATGCAGGGCAAGGCCAAACTTAGCACAGAGTCAGACAGAACTTTCCAGAGCTTTATCCGACCAGTTGAATGAATTGCTTCCTGCAAAAGCTCACGTCCCGTTCGCTCCTCTTTTATGTGTTATGGGGGGGGGGAAATCATCTCCAAGCCTTACTCCCAAGTCGACCCCGTTTTCTTAATTGTTCTTGTCTTCTGGCAGCTCTGCACATGCGCACACTGGGAACAGGCTCCCGCTGTTCTTCTGCCTCACTGATGTTAGACTCCAGAGGCTCCGGAGGCAACAGATAACTACCAGATGGCCTTGCCCCCCTCTCTCCCTCCAACTCAGAGCCCTCGTCTGAACCTTTCCCAGACTCCAGGACTGGCCCATGTTCCTCCCCAACCTCCTCACTGTCCGAATCTGCTGCCAGCTCTGCTGGCCGGTGGTGGGCCACAACAATACCTGCTATCTTGTACATGTTTGACAAACTAATAAATAAATAAATAAAATAATAAAATAATTCCTGTTTAGAAACCTACTGGAGAGGAATTATCTTTCTGCTGATATGTTTTTCTTTTAGGGAGAAGCAGGAATTGATGGATTAAAAGGTGAAAAGGGTATCCAAGGAGAAAAAGGAGACCGGGGTCCTCTGGGGCTGCCCGTAAGTATCTAGAAAGAAAGGGAAATCACAGCAAGAAACAACAATGAATACAATTTACTCACAAAAGAGAATGCTTCCAGTATCGGCCAGAGAAGCATGTGACTTTAGAATGATACCTTGGTTTTTAAAAAAATCAGAGAAAATTCTTCCACATAATTATCGCTTGGGTAATGTTGACATCAAGAAAAGTCCTTCCTGGGATTGCAACATTATTTTATTCACAATCATGGAAAAAAATGGTTTCAAATGCTAGTTCAGATGCTGAGATATACAAGAAATAACTCACAGAATTCATTTATTCATAATAATGTGGGAGGAGGGAAAGACTGGCAACAACGTAGAGGAACTATCTGGTACGGTTTTCTTCCTAAATTCAGGAACTGATATTTAATTTGGATTCTCTTTTTTTTAAATGTAATTTTTAAATTTATTTTAAATACAAGTAATGCAAACAATGCGAACATATACATACACATCTAAATACAAAAAAAGAAAAAAAAAATACAAATAATATAGTGCACCCCCACCCCCGGAGACCACTTTTTCCCTCCTTATATTTCTTCTTCTGTAAGAGCTAAAAAATATACAATATATTCTAAATTTGCCCTTATCCCCTCCAAAACAGCATATATTCTTGAGTAGGTTTATTCCCTTTGCCTTCCACCAACACTGATTTTAAAAAATCCCCCCATATTTCATTGTAATTGTTTGTTTTAACCATCCCTTTTTAAAATTTAATTTCTGTTGTTAATTTATCATTTGTTGCCATGCTCCAAATTTCATTATTCCATTCATTTCTTTGAATATCCCAATTTCGTCCCCAGTATTTAGCCATCGCTAATCTAGCTGCCATTATCAAATTTACAAACATTTTTTTTTTGTTTCATTTATATCCCGTTGTTCCACCAGCAACAATAATCCAGTTCTCGGTGACATATCTGAATTTACATTCAAAAGTGTTCTAATTTCTCTAAACACCATGTCCCATATTTTTTGTGCGCTATCACAATCTCACCACATGTGTTTATATGTTCCAACCTCTTTCTTGCACTTCCAACATATATTTGTATATTTACCATCTATTTGATTTACTTTACATGGTGTTAAGTTCCACCTTCATATCACTTTATATCCATTTTCCTTAATTCTAACTGACATATTCTTATATACTCTTCTATTCCAAATATTTTTCCAGTCGTGGTCATTTATTTTTTCCTAAATCTTATTCCCAAATTAATTTTGTTTGCCTGTCAGTGGCAATGCTAACATATTTTTGAAGGAGGAAGATTGAGCGAAAACTCACTTAACAGAATAACAGAATAGCAAAATTGGGAGGGACCTTGGAGGTCTTCTAGCTTAAGCCCCTGCTCAACCTGGAAACCAACAAACTAGAATTAGAATTAGATGAATTAGAAAATGAATGAGAGTGTTAATCCCAAATAGATTGCAAAACGATCTAGAGGTGGAAATACAAACTTTATTGTTTAACAAAGAAACAAAGCGCTAAAGAATTGGACAAGGGAACACCCTTTACCGCATATATGTCCCTATATACACATATGTATGTATGTAGACATCTTGCTCTTAATGCATATTTATTTTAAGGACCAGTTCAGATTATAATATTATAATTTGTATGTTCTGGTCTTGACCCAGTCTACTTGCACTCCTAAGTGGGAATCTGTAGCACAAATATTTATTCCTCCAGTTCAATTAAATTCAAAATGGAAACTTGATGGGATGCCAAATCAGATGTAGATTAGTATTAGCTGTTTTGTGGAAGGTTGCTTCCCACTTGTTAGGTATCTCTTACTGCCTGGTGGAACTGATGTATTTTTATAGAGATCTTAATGCGCTAAGCTGTGTGTCTTATGTTGGGGAAAACCATTCTTCTTTGATTGAAAGCAATGGAAAATAGAAAAGAAAGGACCTTCAATGGATTGGAACCCAAATGTTAATAAATGCAGGTCCTTGGCGGAAAGGAAGGTTATATTTAAAAAAGATGAAGAGAAATCATCTTCATCACGTTAAAATTTTTGCTGAATTCTTGCACCATTCAGAGAAAAGGGAAAGGAAAAACCTTCCTTTTTGCTGGCAATGATAATTTTCTGAATGGGACAGTAATTAGCTCAGCATTAGTTTTTCTTCCTTTTCATCCTTAAAAATAGAAATATCAGTAGTTGTTGCACAGTTTCAGGTCCTGCATTCCAGTACTGTGTAGGGCTAGCCTATTTGGGCTCCAGAATTCCAGATGACCACTAGATGCTAGCAAAGAGTTAGCATTTTGTTTATTTATTAATTATACTTGTTTGTTTATTTATACTATTGATACACCCACCCCTCTTTCAGCCAACTGGGCAGCTCCTAATGTCTGAAAGTCTGCATTTTTACAGCACAAATATAATAGATCTAGGTTTTCCATCTCAAGAAAAACAAAATTAATTATGTGCGAAAAGATAGCTTATTCAGAAGTAAACGTTATAAACACAGTGACATGGTTTCCTCTTTTATAACTAAGAAAAGCCTTGGAAGTAAAGAAAGGATTTGCTTTGCAGAACTTAAAACCAGAAAAACAATCGAGGTAAAGGAGAATCACTGAAAATTGGGAAGCAAAGGTAAAGGAGTCCCTGCGGATATTACTCTGCTAGTCATTGCCAACCATAAGGGACTCATCTCTGTTTCAAAGCCATTGAGTCAGTGCTGTCCAAAGGCATTTCCATGGTCATGTGTTACGGAGTGCAGTTATCTTCTGACCAAAGTAGTACCTATTTATCTACTCACATTTGCATGCTTTCGAACTTAGATTGGCAGTAGCTGGGGCAAGGACGGGAACTTAATCCATCTCATGGCACTTAGGTCTCAAACCTGGGCTGCTGGCTTTCTAGCTGACAAGCCCAGCATCTTAACTGCTGAGATAGAGAGATAGACAGACAGACAGACAGACAGACAGACTGACAGACCGACCCAGATAGAGAATTCTTCTCACCCAAATTCTTTTCCCTTATGAGTTATTAAATCAGGATGATAAAAAATTGTTTGAATTTTTTACTAAAATTCACACTGAAAACTTACCAAATTTGAACCACAAGCAAACAAGTTGTGCTTATTTTAAAAGCTTTACGGTATCTGAAAAATGCCTTCTACCTTTTTTTCTCCTAATATTCTAAAAATCTGCCTTCTTGCCTTGGCGGATACTTTGAAGAGTGTTTTCTGTTCAAGGACTTGTAAGAAAGCCATCCAGCAACACAACGTTGTTTTCACACTGCTTGCCTATTGAAAAGACTCTGATACATTCTTTCCACACCCATTAAACAAGGCAGTGTACAATAAATAAATCTTATGAAGACAATAATGGATAAAAACAGAAATATTCAAAAACTCAAACTAAGGAAAAAGATCTAGAAAGAGGTAGATCGAAAATGTACTGTGCTATTGTCTGGACTGTAGAAAAATCTATAATTGGGGAAACAGCACAGGAAGCTCATCTCATCTCAAAATCAATGGGGAAGAGAAATGTTTATAGCAAAGGACATAAAGAGCTTTACATAAGAATTACACACACACACACAAACACACTTCTAGTTCACATGAAAATGGATGCATGGCATTGTCTAATAGAAGCATCCTGTTTTTTTGTAATCTGGGATTATTTTGCTCCTTCTCACATTCACCTGCTATAAATTAAGGCTGATTACTGCTAGTTGATCTAACACGGATGTATTTCTTAAGGCCTTTTTCTCCAGAGATGATACTTCAACTTTGTCCTACTTTTCAGACCTGAGATCAGGTCAATTTCACTTCTCCTAGCAACTAGTGATGCTTGGATGACTTAATAATGTCTCCAGGAAAAACAATGTCATTTGAGATTTTTGAGTTACTCAATGATTCACAAGAGTAACTAGTGCATACTGAAAGAATAACCAAGTCCTTTGCATCATTCTATGCAAAAGCTAACAGTCAAGCAAATGTATGTATAATTTGATAGAATAGTGTGCTTCCCTAGCTGTAGTCATTCAGAATGGGGAAAAAATGCTTTTATTCAAAAATAACTTCCCTAAGTTAAGTCCCAGTAGTTTTAATACCTATGAAAAACTTGGGGATCTGTGGATAAATATCAACTGAAATATTATTGTAAATAACTTTTATTTCTTGATAAGTTCAGTTTGAAAGCTCTCTTAAATTCTCTATTTTTATTAATTTCCCAAATCTCTGAATGTAAGAGAAAGGAAAAAATGTATTTGCACTTCATCCTCAATTTGGGTTCTATTATTCTCAAACTTTATACTTCAGGTTTATAAGAAATTAGATTCCTAATGTTGGCCTAACTTGCCTATGGTTATAGCCCATAATTCGAGTGATTAAATGACATTATCCAGGTATTTTTACTTTGAAGCTTAATAACCACTTTTACTCTTTCCTTTAAAAAATGATGTATGCCATAAAATTTATATGTAACTATGGCTATTAAAATAATACTATAACCTCCACTACACTTTAGATCTACTATTAGTTAGTTGTGTTCTATTATTGTGTTTTATGAACTCTTTTATTCTTTCATGTTGCATGTTTTTTGTTGTTTTCAAAAATGCTTTTAAAAAGCAGAGTTGCACTGCCCAATAATAGGAAGCACACTGGATTGTGTTTGTTGCCCATCATAATTTTTACTGGGACTCCATTTAATGTAACTGAATGAAAGTGGCCCATTATGAGATATTATTTGGTATTTAGATATATCTGAAGTTATAAAGTTTTCCATCACAAAAAAAACACCAAAAAATTTGCTTCCTAAAATTTTAACCTCTCATCTCATTGTTTTCAGTCTTGGTTCTTTGTTTTTATTTTCTAATTGTGAAGGTAACTCTTTTGCTCAATAATCAAACTAGGCTCCTTTCATCATTTTGGGGCAGCTTTCCAAAACACTGTAGCACTTAATTGCTCAAAGGTCACCATTTCAGCTGGTGCATGGAGAAGAAAATGACTCATATTATTCGAATCCAGAATTCATTAGTCTCTCCATCAAAATAGAACATAAACACCTAGTCCTCATCTTATGACCACAATTGAGCCCAGCGTTTCCGTTGCTAAGCGAGACAGATAGCTTTGCCCTATTTTACCACCTTTCTTGCCACAGTTGTTCAGTGAACCACTGCAGTTGTTAAGTGAGTAACACGATTGTTAAGTAAATCTGGCTTCCCCATTGACTTTGCTTGTCAGAAGGTCCTAAATATGAACCAGATGCCAAGCATCTGAATTTTGATCACATGACCCTGGGGATGCTGCAATGGTCCGTAAGTGTAAAAAACAGTTGTTGTAAGTTGATGACCACCTGTGCTAGTTTTCAATTACAAGTTGGATATCAGCCTGAGTTGCCAATAAATACGATCAGAAGCTGGGCAAATGATGGAGAAAGTAATGACAAACAAGACTCCATGTTTGCTAAATATTTCCTTTCCATGTCATAGTACTGTAGACATAAAGCCAAAACAGGTATAGTACTTTTATATCCCCCTTCTTCCGAGAGAAGAAAGCCCTTTAAGCATCCATACAATCATCAGATTGCATAGGAAACCCAAGGTCACGATGTTGGAACTGTATCGGTGAATAATGCAAGAGGGGAGGCTTAAAAATTTGCTCAAAAATACGGAATTACACACTCATACTTCCAATGACAACCACCCACTAACCCTGGTTTTATTGTAAACCCTCTTCTGAGGCTGATAATGACAACAGTCCTATGCAGCTCTCTTCCTGAGAGAGGTACAATTACAATTTTATACTCTTGAGTAGGGACTGCAGAGTTTTTAACCAGTTGTGGGATTCAGCCGGTTCGGGCTGGTTTGGGGAAACCAGTAGTTAAATTGCTGGCTGACCCCGACCCTCCCCGCACCGCCCCTTGCAGGAGTCCCCATGCGCCTCATTTGGGCTCCCAGGTAAGTGCAGGGAGGCCTACTAGGCCCAAAATATGGTGCAGGGGGGCAACCCCCCCCTCGCAGCCTCTTTCGCTCCCAGGAGGCTTCAGGGAGGCTTCCTAGGCCCAAAACGGGGCGCCAGGGCAGCGCATTCCCCCCCAGCCCATTTTTGCCCCCAGAGGGGTGCAGGTGGCCGAGTGCTGCCTGTCACACCTCCTGGCCATGCCCACCATGGCCACGCCCACCCAGCCGGTCATCAGGGCAGAGAACCAGTTGTTAAATTATTTGAATCCCACCACTGGTTTTAACCCTCTCCCATCACTTAAATTAACCACCGCAGCTATAATGCCATACATGTCATGTTTTATAAAGCCCATTGCAATCACTGTCAGATTCCTCTTCCTGTTGGAGAAGATACTGAGCCTACCCTCATCCATCCAAAGGAAATACTTTCATTTTCTGAACAATGTCCAAGGGAATTCACTCCGGAACACTTTTGTTAACCACAGGGGACATGCCTTGTTTTGCTCAGGATGAGAAAGCAAAGCTTAGGGGATGTTTTGTTCCTTTGCCTGCTGAAGTATTTATCGACGTCTCCATCCTCACAATCCTGCTCCAGCCACCAGCTTACATTACATTCAGTGTCTGTTTTTTTTTGTTGGTTTTGTTGTAAGTGCCATCACCTGTCCTTGAGAGCTAAGTTTTGTTTTATGGTTAGCACATGTTTGTCTCTGGTCACGGCTTCACTCACCTCTTGTTTCCCCTCCTCACCCCCTTTCCTTCTTGCCTTTTGTTTTGTTAACCCCTCCCTGTCTGTCCAGGGCGCTTCAGGTTTAGACGGCAGGCCTGGCCCACCGGTGAGTGTCATTTCTCCAAATTCCCTACGTTCCTATTCCCTGATGCTGTGATTTGTCTCCTCTGTCCTGCCATAATCATATTTGTATCACTGTCTTTCCAATAACAGAACAAATCTAGAATAGCGCAAGGGAAGGTATACTGCATTTTGATGCTCAACAACAGTACAGTACAGTTTCACATCCAGACAAGTCCACAAAGTTCCAAGGGTTTGGGATAATTGCCCGCTCTTGTTTACCTGTGTAATTATATCGTGTAAAATATCTATGGAGATTCTCAGTCATCCAGGTCATGGTTGTCCCAAAGGTGCTTTTTCAAAAGGCAGCTGGACTTCCTTTGTTTTTCCTTGAAGACATTTTTGCTTCTCGTCCAAGACATTTTTTTGAAAAAACACCTATGGGGAAATTGTGTAAAATACAAGTGAAACCTTTTCATGTAGTCATTGTACATGTGACGTACCTCTGTTGTCATATTGTCAGCTGTCTATTGTCTTCTTTTTTTTTTTCCCCTACCCATTAAAATCTTGCTTAAAGCATCTCCACCCATTTGTCTGGGCCAAAAGAATGCGCTGGATATGAATTGTATGAATGAAAGCAATTCTGTTGCTCTTTCATTTCAAGCTGCTTCTTGATGAACTCCTTAGGGCCTTGGTGGTCTTTATAGATAGTTACTCTTAGAAGTAAAACCACAACCATCGTACTTTTCCAGATGTCAAATTTGGATGTCCTATCTCGGAAAGTGACGTCAGTTTCATCTATATCTAAATTGGGCAATGATTCTGAATTTTAATCAGTGGATCTCGTGTAAATTATGGGCTGGTGGCTTAACTACGGTTGCTGTTTCAGGACTTTGGGCTTCTAATCTGGGTTTAGCCAAATTCACACCACCAGTTATTCTCAAATGGTCATTCGTGCCCCACTTGCTCACAGACAAATGATAGATATGAAAATTACGTGAGCTGAAGAAAACACTGCTGGGGAAAAAATACAAGTTTCTTTGCTCCATCTTTCTTTTTTTACCCATTAAATGTTATGAAAGTAATATGGTGTTATCTTGTTTATGCAAAAGGTGTTAAAATGCAGGATATGCATGAGGAATTAGCAATTGTATGTAGCTAAAATATATTGGAATTATTGACTAGGTTAATGGTGTGAACTGTCTCAAAATACCTGTCTTGAGTTAAAAACTCTTTTTTTTAATTCATCAGAATTTCAATCCAATAGATTAATCCATTTTCTTCCCCCCAAAGGATTTTCAGAAATGGACAGTTATTTCTATCAGGTTTCATAACCAGTTCACACAGTCCCTATAAACTCATTTTATTTTATTTTTGAAATTGCAAAATATGTGTATATATAACTGACGAACTAAAGATCACTCTTTTATAATTGAATGCATTTGTTTTTTTGTTTTTTTAATTCAAGGACTTTGCTCCTTGGAAGGGAGCTGTGGGGTAGAATATATTGTTAAGTTACATTTATTATTATATAATGATAATATGTATGTAAAGATATCTCAGTTGACTGCTTACCCAATAACCACCCCAAATTTTCATGTCCCTTATTCTTGAAATTTCTTGTTCTGTTAAGTGAAGTTGTAGGGGACGCAGTAGCTCAGTGGCTAAGACGCTGAGCTTGTTGATTGAAAGGTCAGCAGTTCAGCGGTTCGAATCCCTAGTGCCGTGTAATGGGGTAAGCTCCCATTACTTGTCCCAGCTTCTGCCAACCTAGCAGTTTGAAAGCACGTAAAAATGCAAGTAGAAAAATAGGGACCACCTTTGGTGGGAAGGTAACAGCGTTCCGTGCGCCTTTGGCGTTTAGTCATGCTGGTCACATGACCACGGAGAAGTCTTCAGACAGCACTGGCTCTTCGGTTTTGAAACGGAGATGAGCACCACCCCCTAGAGTCGGGAATGACTAGCACATATGTGCAAGGGGAACCATTACCTTTTAAGTGAAGTTAAAGAAAGTATAGCCTGAGACACTGTTTTTAAAAAAATGGTTTCTCTTCACCCTTGCTAACTTGAAAGCCTCCAGTGCAAAACAACTGAGCTTAGTGTGCTACAGTGCATAATATTTGTAACTGTGTATGGGAAAGACCTTGAAAACTGAGTCAAGAGGTAGCCTAAAGCTGGATAATGAGAGGAACAAGAGCAGAATGGGACAACTCACCACAGCCAATTCATCATCAGAAAACTCACTGAAGGACAATTCACCAATTCAATTGAAGTATTTAAAATAATTAAAACATTATTTTAATTTTTGCCCTTTACATTTAATTTGTCCTTCCCTTTGCAGTATTTCTTTAAATATTCCACTATTTCTTTGATAGTAGTGTAACTTTTGTCCCATGGCGAGTTGCCCCGTGACGAGTTGGCCATGGCGAGTTTATCAGAGTTTGTTGCAGAAATCATATCCAGAAAACACACATAGATAACAGATAACTGATGCAGCAGAATCCATTGAATAAGAAACTTCTTTATATACATAATAACACATGAGACATATGTACAATACCAAGAGCAGTTCTCAGAATCAGAAGCATAATCACAGAAGCACATTTAACAGAAGGACAATAATAGGAGCACACAACTTACCATATTTTTTGGTGTATAAGGTGCTCCGGACTATAAGACACACCTACCTTTTTTGGTGAGGAAAGCAAGAAAAAGAAATCTGCCTCTGCCTTCTAGCAATTTTGTTTCATTGCAGCAAACAACAAATAGCCTGCTTTACTTTTATTTTCGTGTTCAGCATAGCTTGATTAGCACAAGAAAAAAAAAATCTGCTCCCAGCAATTTACCTCCAGGCCCCCGCAAAACAGCTGAGAGTCAGGAGGCCGATCCAATCAACTCGGGCTAATTAGGCTGTGCTGAAGCTGAAACGAGCTGTTTCTTCTTGCTGCTTGCTACAAAGAGGTAAACTGCTGGGAGGCAGAGGCCAAAGAGTGGGGGCCAAATGGTGGGCGGGACTACATTCAGCGTATAAGACGCACCTAAATTTTCACCCCCTTTTAGGGGGGGGGAAGGTATGTCTTATGCTCCGAAAAATACGGTATATTTATACATATCAGTTAACCTAAGCCACACCCAGGCTCCAAGCTGTTTCAGCTCCCAAACAGCCCTCATTGGCTGACTTCCAGCCATTCCCCAACGGTTGACCTGTTGCCATGTCTATCCAAACAGTCTCCATTGGCTGATCTATTCCAGTCTATGAATATTCATACTCTGACAGAGTTGTCCCACAGATAGTTGGATGCAGTGAGTTGACCGCACCGTTGGCTGTGCCGACTTGTCCTAGACCTGAACAAGAAGCTTAGAAGTGATTCTCCCTAGTTTCTACAGCTGTAAAGGAGGTGGGTGGCGGGGAGAGAAATGTCCTTTTAGACTTGCAGTGTTCTATTAATGTACTTTTACAACAAAGTAGAAGTATCTCTTTTGTCATGTCTCTTCTCTGAGCTGTCTAGTAAGGCTGACATCAATCTTGCAAGTCTGAAAGTACATTTCTTTAGACTCAGGGCATCTCAACTCTCTTTCAAGACAGATCCCTTCCTTGCCAGAATCTACGCTGTACATCTACGAATAGTATTGTGGGGTGGTGGGTAAGGGGGGGAGAGAATAATTCTACTAAAGTGAAGGATTATTTATTTCAACCTTTTTAATATTCTCAGTGAAATCAGAGAAGCCAAACAGTAGTTCATAAGAAGCTTTAGTTTACCAGGAAAGTATTTAAACAGTCCTTCTTCCCAGCTGCAACCTGAAGTGGTGCAACCAGGGAAAAATGTAATTAATTCCGATTTTACAAACTGATCCAGAAGATGGATAAAGCTACCAAAATCCCATTTAAATTTAAGAATGCTTGACCATATAGATATTTTAAAAAGAACCTGTGAGCTAGCAACGAAGTGTTCCCAATGGGTGTTCCCTCTTTCGTGCTCTAGTGAAGGGATACGTACATAGCACCTGGTGAATATAAGTCTTGAACACGTCCTCCTTATGGTGCTGGTTCTGTTAATATAATTGCATTATGCTTTCAGTATGGTTATCTATCAATCTGCAAGATGAATTTCTTAGAAAATAAAATTGGTTAAAATCTTACCAATCTACCACCCAACTCAATTTTTCCTAAAATGGTTACAACTATTGTCAGTGACAGATTTCAGCTTTGTTGGCAATTGAAGCTGAAGGGAATAAATACTCTTAATCACTCAGACAAGAATCCTGTCAGGTTTCCAAGCGATGAAACCCATTCAAAAAAGAAATATACAAAGTCCATCTTCCAAAACAAATTTCTTTTATTTAGGTAGGCATCAAATTGGCAAAGACTGTTGTAATTTCGAATCTGACACAAATCGGAATTACACCACATAATATTGAAAATTAGAAACATCCCGCAAAAGCCACATTCCCCGATAAAAGCAAAATCAACATTATATATAATGTAACAACTGTACTTCCTCAACTCTAAAAGTTCTAGTGTTTTAAGTGAATAGCTTCTGTCCTTCTCTTAGTTCTTCTGTAGAGGAACCATCATCTTGCCTTGCTCGAAATATCTTTGAATAATGGGCTTCATGTATTTATTTTTACCCAAAAAATTCAGGGTACTCCAGGACCAGCAGGTGTCCCAGGACCAGCAGGACCGAAAGGAGAGAGGGTGAGAAATATTTTGTAAACAAATAACTTAGAATTCAGGTACATGTCTTAAATAGGACAGTGTCATGCTTAAAATAATGATCCTGTATAATCCTTAAAATCACCAGAATTGACTAATAACGGGAATGTTAATTTAGTCTTCTCTGTTACCATCTCAGAGATGCCTACAGGTTATGATTAAAAAAAAACCCTAATAAATCAAGATAGCAATCATGGTGATCTCATCGAAACTCTCCTCATTTCTATACATGTCACCCATAAAAACAAGTGGCGCTTTGATTGCATCATCACAGCTGTCATCTTGAATTTGGGGGCCAAATCCTTAGATACGCCAATCCGTTCTCTGTTTATTGAATAAGGATTGAGAGATGCTGTCTCCAAGCCCATAGTAAGATGGCAAGATGGGATATAATGAAAACAGAAATAAGGAAGTAAAGACATTAGTAATCGTGGTTTTTGAACCCATCAATCAGCAGCTGATATTCACTGTTGTGTTTCCTTTCTGCTACGTAGCTGGTTATGTTCTGAGGTAATGTATGGAGTCAATACTCAGAGAAGGAATTAATAAATTGAAACTTAATCCAGATAAGGACAGAAGTGCTCAAGAAATAGTGTTTTAGTCTACGCTACCTGGAATGTTGCATCTCAAACATATTTATCATGTGTGAATAATTTGGGACCCAGTTTAATCCTTTAAAGGACAACTGTGGTCAGAGATATTACACCAGTATGCTGATGATACCTAGCTGCATTTTTCAACCCTGGGCTACATATGTGAAATTGTTAACGTATCGATCCAGATCAGTGGTGAAATGTAAAATTTGTTACTACCGGTTCTGTGGGTGTGGCTTGGTGGGAGGTAATGTGACTGGGTGGACGTGGCCAACTTTTTTTTTTTTTACTTTTAGAACCATTTTTTCTACAATCTCTTCAAAGAGGTTGTAAAAAAATGCTTTTAAAAGGCTCTGATGATCCCAGCTGAGTTGCCTGATTGGCAGAGGCATTTCTTCTTTTAAAAGCTTCTGCCGATCAGGCAACTCAGCTGAGATCGTCAGAGGCTTTTAAAAGCATTTTTTTTTTACAACTTCTTCAGCTGAAGAGGTTGTAGAAAAAATGCTTTTAAAAGTAAAAAAAAAAAAAGCCTCTGATGATCACACAGCTCAGCTGGGCATGGGTGGGGGCAGGGATTTTTGCCAGGTTCTCCAAACCACCCGCCTCCATCGCTACTGGATCGGGCGATCCGGTCCGAACCAGGAGCATTTCACCCCTGACCCAGGTGATGCAGGCTATTTGGGTCTGGATGGGGTAGTTCTGTAAATGACCAGGCAGAGGCCAAGGGCAGGGTCAAATATGTCATCAGTTTGGAGTCACTGCGCTCCACCCACAAATTCCATGGATTCTTATCTAGCACCAATTTGCCTTGACTGTTAGTAGATCAGATTCTTATGTATTAGCCTTTTTGAACTCTATCCCGGCTCCTAGTTTATTACGCCTGATAAGAACAGACTTCAGCTCAATCCTGACAAGACTGAGTGACTGTGACTGTTTGGCCTCCCTGGGTCAGGTGCATTTTTATCATTGGTATTGAAAGGGTAGCACTTCCCCATTCAAGACTGATGCACAACCTGGGGAATCCTTTTGGACTCCACTTCTGCTTAAAGAGCCAGAGGCCCTTTGCACAAGTTCAATTGTGCCCTTTCCCTCTACAGGGAAGCTCCTCGGACTATTACTCACATTGAAGCCAACTCATGATTAAACTATTGCAGGGGTCTTCAAATCTGACAACTTTAAAACTTTTGGTTTTAAACATAGCTGGGCAGAGAGTTGAACTCCACAAGTCTTAAAATTGTCAAGTTTGGAGACCTTTGGATTATTGCAATGCATTGGACACTGGACAGGCCAGGAGTACCATCCAGAAACTGCATCTTGCTTCAAACTGCAGTGTCACTTTTGTTATACAAGCTATATTGCAGAAGTGGGTTTCAGCAGGTTCTGACCACTTCTGGAGAACCAATAGCAGAAATTTTGAGTAGTTCGGAGAACCGGTAGAAGAAATTTTGAGTAGTTCGGAGAACCAGTAGAAGAAATTTTGAGTAGTTCGGATAACCGGTAGTGGAAAGTTTGAGTAGTTTGGAGAACTGATAAATACCACCTCTGACTGGCCCCACCCCATCCTATTCTCTGCCTCCCAAGTCCCAGCTGATCGGGAGGAAATGGGGATTTTGCAGTATCCTTCCCCTGGAGTGGGGAGGGAATGGAGATTTTACAGTATCCTTCCCCTGGAGTGCGGTGGGAATAGAGATTACCAGTATCCTTCCCCTGCCACGCCCACCAAGCCATGCCACACCCACCAAGCCACACCCACCGAACCGGTAGTAAAAAAATTTGAAATCCACCACTGCTATATTGGTTACTATTTGGCTTCTGAGTACAATTGAAAGAGCTGTGTTTGTTTATTTTATATATTGTTGCTTTTAGTAGGGTATATTTTATCACGTTTCCATAAATTGCCTTGAACTATGAGCACAGGCAAAGTAGAAATATCTTTCAAGAGCTGAACTGGAGGTGTGCTTTTGTTTTACGATCCAAAGGAGGTTATTTCTGTGAAACAACAGTGAGCAAGGGACAGGGTAGGATTTACTGTTAGAATTTGTTATTCTGCAGTCCAATCAGTAAGGACATCTGACTCACAGCTGTATTCGTGCAGCAACAGCAAAAAGACAACTGTCTCCCACACACACACATCTAAAGGAGATGGAAGAAAGCTTATGACCAGGATCTAAAAGTGACTCCTTAAATGTTTTTTTGTAAAAATTTACCTATTTGTAAAATTTATTAGCTGCCCTTTTTGCCACAAGGCAACTCTGGGTGGGTTACGCTATTAAAATAAAACCGTACAAAACCTAATGATATACAGTACAGTAAATACAATATTATAAAAACATGCAGATAATCAAACACGCTAAAAGATGGAGAGGGGGTAGAATGAGGAGGGGAGGGAGTGGGAATCTGTTGTTAATCTATCAACCATGCCCAATGTGAATCATGCCCTCCATTGGACTCTAAGCCAGCTGGCGGAACCAGGTCTTTAAACTCTTGCAGAAGGTCAGGACGGTTAGAGTAGAAATCACTCAGAATGGCACGTGTAGCCATATCGGTGGGCACACAAGTTCAGCTCTGGCGCACATGTGCACGCTGGCCAGCTGATTTTCGGGCCTTTTGGGCCCACTGGAAGTAGGGAAACAGGCTGTTTCCTGCCTCAGGAGGGCCTCAGGGTGGTGGTGAGGAAGGCCTGTTTTTCTCTCTCCCCAGGCTCCAGAGCCTTTCTAGGAGCTAGGTGGGACAGAAAATGGGTCATTTCCAGCCTCCGGGGGGGGGGAGGCCATTTTCACCCTCCCCAAGCTCCTAGAAAGGGTCTGGAGCCTGGGGGAGAGAGAACAGGCCTACTGGGCCCACCGGGCCATTGTGTGCCAGGAATGGGGTGGGGGAATGGGGAGGTCCAACACGCATGCACGGGGCGGGGCACCTAGAATTATGGGCGTGGGCATGCATGTGCACGACCCCCCCTCCCCGCTCCTGGCACGTGATGGCAAAAAGGTTAGCCATCACTGTCCTAGCCAATAGGGCCTGCAGCTTTCTATGCTAGCATGAGGGGGGTGGACCAACTCCATTGGGATTAGACAGTCCTTTAGATCAGGAATCCCCAACCCCCAGGTTGCAGCCCACTACCGGGCCTTGAGCTGTTTGGAACCAGGCAGGCGGGGGGAGAGGAGATGATTTTGCATGTGGAGCGGACGAGCGTGTGTGTGCACACCAGAGGTAGCATTCAGCTGGTTCAGACCGGTTCGAGTGAACCGGTAGCGGAAATCCCGGGTGGGCCTGCCCATCCTCCCCGGCTCTATGCTGTTTTATTTAGGCACGTTTTTAAGGCTGGGTGCATGCGGAGAAGCCGTGCGTGTGAGCAAAGCACATGTGCAAAGGCCGGCCGCATGCACGGAGTTGGCGCGCTCACATTTTTGGTGCTGGGCGAACTGGTAGGTAAATTATGTGTATCCCACCTCTAGTGCACACTCCATTTACGTGATTGGGAGGCACAGGTGCCCGCCAATCATGCAAACGGAGCTGCGGGGACTGGTATGTTTACCCGCTGCTCCCGTGGAACCATCCCCTCTCCCCCCACCACCAGTCCGCAAAACCAGAAAGGTTGGGGAGCTCTGCTTTAGGAACCTTGGACCCATGCAATTAAGGGCTTTAAAGGTGATTGCCAATGCTTTGAATTGCACCTGGAAGCAAACTGGCAGCCAGGGCATATCGCAAAGCAGTGGTATTACAACCTTGGGGGCCCCAAGAACTACACATGCTGGTCTACTCTGCACCAGCTGTAGCTTCCAATTGCTCTTCAAGGGCATTCCCATGTAAAGCGTGTTGCAGTAGTCCTAGTGCGAGATGACGAGGGCTTGAATGATTGAATGCAGGGACTCCTGACCCAGGAGAGGCCACAATTGATGCACAACCTGAAACTGTGTAATCGTTCTCCTAACCGTGACAGCCATCTGTTCTTTGAGCAGGAGCTCCAAGTCCATGGAAACTCTCAAATTGTGAACCAGAACCATCTGGATAGTACTATCACCCCATCCAGAACTAAAAATGTCAATGTCCCCGATCTTGCAGATCTGTGTACCCAACGCCATTTGGTTTGCTGGGGTTTAGTCGAAATCCATAATTTTTACTACCGGTTCCGTGGGTGTGGCTTGATGGGCATGGTGTTGCTTGGTGGGCATGGCGGGGGAAGGATCCTGCAAAATCTCCATTCCCTCCCCACTCCAGGGGAAGGATCCTGCAAAATCTCCATTCCCACCCCACTCTGGGGCCAGTCAGAGGTGGCATTTGCCAGTTCTCCGAACTACTCCAAATTTCCGTTACCACTTCTCCGGAACCTGTCAGAACCTGCTGGATTTCACCCCTGGTTTAGTCGAAATCTGTTGTTTCCCCCTTCCCCCATTCAGCCCTCTATGACTTTCCAGAGCCACAAACACTCTGATATTTATAGTCAAAACTCCTATAATTGTCCCAGTTTCCAAGCTGCGGTTTTCCACCTTGCTCCAGTTAGTACAACTCACAATTATTAAACGTGAATTTATGAGTAGTTGTTGGTGAAGAGATAACAGTACTCTGTCGAGAGTACTTTTGCAAAACCCACAACAATTTCGGTGCTTCTTAATTCTCTTTCAGGGAAATAAGGGAGATTCTGGTTCTACAGGACCGATAGGATCAGCAGGACTTCCCGTAAGTATAGAGCCAATATTCCTCTCAAAAGATTTTTCATTTTGTGTCAATTGCATCCTACTGGGATGCTTTTTTTGAACATGCTAGAGCAGGATGCTGCCTGAGGAATTCTGGGAGTTGAAATCCACACAGCTTAAAGTTGCTCAAGGTTGAAGAACACTTTACTAGAAGTTTTAAATGCCCTCCCGACAAACAATAACAATGTTCTGCATTATTTGCTAAGAAATTGTAAGACTCAAAAATGAACATTGTATTTGCCGATCTGCTTTTATTTAAATTCAGGGATGGAAAAAATGTTCGTGCAGATAAACCCACAAGGTGAGAAATCAAAATTAGGGAAGGACCCCTTTTGATAGTTCTAGGGCAGAATACCTGGGAAAATATAGGTTATTAGAGGGTACATTTTCTGGATCTGCACAACAATTACAGGTTTGAGGCAAATGGACTATGAGTCAAATTCTACATATCTTGAACATAACTTTTCAAAGTTGTAAAAATATATTATTGTAGGGCTTTCAAGGACCACCAGGTGAAAAGGGAAATCGGGTAAGTCTTCAATTAAGCTTGTTTATATGGTGGAATTATTAATTTTTATGGCATAGAGTAGATAATATTCTAATAAGCTGTGTAGGTTTTTGTGATTTTTGACAATACTGTTTGGTTAAAACAAATAAAAAGTTTGGAATAAGTTTCATGAATGCCTTGGTTAAACGTAAAATTAACTTGCAATAAATATTTGTTGGCTAATTAGACATATAACCTGCCTTGATTCATTTTGATCCCGTAGACATCACATATTAATCATTCTACTTCTAGTTATGTTCCATAATTCCTTCTAGATATAAATACAGCCTTTAATATCAGAATGGCTCCATACTAAGTAACCTAGCAACGCCCTGATGTTTTTTTAGTTGGTTTTCAATTTGTATAGCATTTGAAAACACAACATCCAGTCTTTGTTAACTAAAGTTTGGATTTCATTCCAACAAATTGGTTGACTAATGAGACTTCGAGTAGAATCAGATAAACCACCGTCCAGCTGGATGATAAATCTGGAAAGAAATCATATGTTTAATTGGAATAAGCCACTGGGAGAAATTAGACTTGTTTTAGCTATGGCTCATAATGCAAGGGGGGGAAATGCAAGGATGTTTACTAGGAGCAGAAATCCAAAGTTTCATATTGTAGCCTGTGTGGGTGGTGTGTTTACCAACTAATTAGATAGAAGGGTTTGAATTCCTAGACCAAATATCTACCATGCAGAAATAGTCACTTAGTGTTTAATACTGAAAACATGTCCTTAGTCTTTTTTTACATGTTAAAAAGCCTAATGCTTAATACACATCCATTCTCACCCCCCAAAAAAAGACAATCTAGCTTCTCAGAAATTGAGACATTGTCCTGTAAATGTAGGAGTAGCCTAATTCTGCACTCATCATGCTGGACTGGTTCAGTATTTGTGAAAGCTGCATGAAAAGCTGGTGAAAAAATGCCAGATAGTTCAGGACCCTTAATTTGACACTGGTGCTCTCTCCTCTTCTTCATGGTGGTTTTGTTTAAGTTCTCCTGGGAGGAAAACAGTCAGAAAGAACCAGCAAAGGAGAGACAGATCCAGTAGCAGGTTCTAATTCATCATCTTCTTTTAACGACCCCATAATCCCTTGTGGAGAGGAGTCTGGGCAACTGAATAGAGCTAGCAGAGTGTTTACTGGCCAGATGCCCTTCCCGTCACCAATGCAGAGTTTTTTTTCACTAGATATATTCTCATTGTGCCCAAAGAGAAAAATATCTGCCTCTACCTAGGATCAAACTCAAAGCCTCCTGATTGTGAGGCAAGAGCTCCACCTCTAAGCCATAGTAATTCTGACCCCCCCCCCCAAAATTGCCTTACTTGCAAGTTGGGCATTTCTTTTCTGCAGTTCCAGCCCATTGTTACTTCTGAAGCAGCGGTGAAATCTTTCTGCCTTCGCTGCCGGCTTGAGTGCGCTCCCGCGCGGGAGCACACACACCCTTCTTCTGTGCATGCGCAGATGGTTAAAAAATGGGACCTAATGACATCCCAGTGGGTGGGCGGAGCCTCCCGCCGCCAGCGCTACCGGTTCGGCAAGCCGGATAGAACCGGGGTGGGGGTGGGGATTTCACCGCTGCTCTGAAGGATCTGATAATCTCTTAACACCACACAGTTGAAACGGTATGGTCCACATAATAAGAGATAGGGAGAGCAGGATGTTCTTGGAGCAAACCAACTGAAAAAATATCAATGCTTAAGCTATCTGTTCAAGTGGAATTTGTTGATTCAATTTGTTCTTTTTCTTCTGTCTACTTGTGTGTTTGCGCGTGTGTCTTTTCCTTGCTTCCACAGGTCCGCCTTTGTCCCCCTTATCCCTTCCTGCTCTTCTGCCTTTTCTCCTGAGTCCTTCCTCCTCTTCCTGCGCAACCCATTCTGCATTTCCTCCTGGATTATCCTTCCTCCATGCCAGCGTTTGATCCTGGGTGACCTCTCCTTTCCCATCCATTTTTTTTTTCCTCCTCCTGCCAGTTTATTGTTTGAATCCCGTTCATTTCACCCCTCTGAAATTAAAAACAAAGAGTGGGAAAAATCTACTTTGACCTAATTTTATGTTGTCATCTAATCCTTATACCAAATACTAAATGAAATTTCCTTCCCGGCAGTCCCACTTACATGTTACATCCAAAAGCACGCTATCAAAACTTGCATATGTGACTGACATTCTAAATTGGTCTAGAAAGGGAATATCATTCTCTTAGTAAATATTGGTCCTTGGCTTGATGTTGGCTCTGCTCAAAATAGACTGACCTCAGAGACATCCAAGGTGGTTTTTCAGCTTTATGCAGGAAGTTGGCATCAGGCCCACAGTCTATTTTTATCCCATTGAGGTTCAACTTCAAGAAGTTAAGTAGGACACCACAGATTTAAATTGCTCTGCTAACTTACCTCTCCTGTGAAATCAAAATCACAATAGGCCCTGGCTGCCTATCCGTTTAAAAACTGATATTTTGAGCTTTTTAAAATAACAGTTCAGCGCTAACATTAGCTTGTATTCTTTTCAGGAAGCAAGTCAACTTTAAAAATGCCTTTTACATTTCTTCTTGAAAAAATGGGGCTAATATTAGTAGTTGACCTGTCCAATTATAAGTGGTCCATACGGACTAGGCACAAATCAGATTGTGGGGTATTTAAATGGCTCAGTTAAAGGGCCCATCTGTCCATCTTATGTCAGCAGGAAATTATACCTGCGTAGGATTTGGTGTCCCTGTTGCCATTCTCCATCACGTCCAGAATGGAATGGGACAATTCACTGCAGCCAACTCACTGCGGCCATCTTGCTACAGCCATCTCACCACGTCCAACTATCTGTGGCCATCTCAGCACAGCCATTTTGCCACAGGACAATTCGCCATGGACAATTCCAGGTGGGATAACTCAATGGGATAAATGTTATCTGCCAGTGTTTCTTCAACATTATTTCCATTTTTGTCAATGGAAATAATGTCGAAGGAACAGTCACAGATAATATTTATCATGTTGAGTTATCCCACTTGGAACTGTCTGCAGCGAGTTGTCCCGCAGCGAATTGGCTGTGGTACGTTGTCCCGCCACCAGTTGGCCATGGCAAGTTGGCCATGCTTTAGTTTAGTTTAGTTTAGTTTATTTATATACCGCCCTATTCCCGAAGGACTCACGGCACCCACAAGATAAAAACACATAAATACAAAATTTAAAAAACAGAATAAAACCGAATTAAACAATTTGGCCGAAGACAGATTTAAAACACCCCAATAAAGTAAAAATGAATTAAAATTTGCATTTAAAAAGGGAGAAAAAGGAAAAATTAGGCCAGGCCAGCCTGATGGAATAAAAAGGTCTTGAGAGTGCGGCGTAAGGTGCGTAGATCTGGGATCCTCCGTATCTCCGGGGGGAGCTCATTCCAGATAGTAGGTGCCCCCACAGAGAAGGCTCTCCCCCTGGGGGCTGCCAGTCGACATTGTTTGGCCGACGGCACCCGGAGGAGCCCCTCTCTATGAGAGTGTACCGGCCGGTGGGAGGCTACTGGTGGCAGCAGGCGGTCCCGTAGATAACCAGGTCCTAAGCCATGGTGAGTTGACCACAACGAGTTGTCCTGGATCCATGATCGTGAACCTATGGCACATGTGCTGGAAGTGGCACGGAGAGCCATCTCTTTGGGCACAAAATCTGTCACCCATTGCTCTTCCGGGTTCCGGCGCAGCGGCCAGGTGGTCTTCGCGTACACGGGATCACTGGAACCCGGAAGAGCAGCCGCATGCGCACACCGGGAATATGATCGTCCGGTTTCCAGCATACACACTGGCCAGCTGGTCTTTTTTTTTTTTTTATTGAAAAAGTTTTAAAACAAACACAATTTCCCCACAACCCTCCCTCCCATGGTCTTCATGTATGCATGCGTGCCAGAAACTGGAAGAACAGGTGGCTGGCGCACATGTGTGTGCCGGAAACCGGAAGATCATCTTTCCAGCATGCGCATACGCACGGGGCAGCTGCTCTTCTGGTTTCTGGTGTGCGCATGTGCACTGGCCAGATGGTCTTCATGCATGCATGCGCACACCAGAAACTGGAATATCACCTTCTGGGCAGCTGCCCTTCTGGTTTACGGCACGTTGGCACGCACTCCCATTTCTGCACTCAGTGCCGAAAAGATTCGCCGACACTGTCCTAGACCCTGTCAAGAAGGTGCTGGTAAAAGTAGCTTTCTATGTATGCAGGGCATGTTAAGGAAAGGGATTGATGGATTCTCTTCCTCCAAGAAACTAATCAGTTGATGAGAAAATGTCCACCAATCATTACCCTTAATTTGAAATAAAGCTAGGATAAATATCTTTGATATCTTCGAGACCGCCTGCTGCTACCGATGACCTCCCACCGACCTGTGCGCTCCCACAGAGAGGGCCTCTTCGCGGTGCCATCAGCCAAACAATGTAGGCTAGTGACCCCCGGGGGAGGGCTTTCTCTGTGGGGGCACCCACCCTCTGGAAGCAGTTGCCCCCAGAGATAAGGAGAATCCAAGACCTCGGTGCCTTCCGCCGTGCCCTTAAAACCTTCTTTTTCCAGCAAGCCGGGCTGGCTTAACATATTTTTTAATATTTTTTAATTTTTAATTGGTCTGTTATCTTAAATTGGGGCCAAATTAATATATATCCTTTTAACTGTTTTTAATGTTTATATTGTATGTTTTTTATCTGGCTGTACACCGCCCTGAGTCCCTTCGGGAGAAGGTGCAGTATATAAATTCGAGATAAAATAAATAAAAATAAATAAAAAATAAAGAGGCACACATATAGAATCATAGGGCTGGGAGAGACCTTGGGGGTCTTTTAGTCCAACCCCCACCCAAGGCAGAAGACCCAAGGCAGGCAAGTTGCTGAGGGGGCTTATCTGTTCATGGGAGGAAATGCCCAATGACAGCAGTATTCTGAAATTGCTGCTCACTCCCTCTCATTCTCATTCAAAGGCTCAGCCGAGATATATTTGTCCTGGGAGAAAAAAAGCATCTAGTTACACGTCCTTACAGTTGGTTTTTTGCTTATGACTGACCATCCGGGGGGGGGAAAGGCCAATGACTTCCATGAAATCAAATCATTTATTATCTCCTTGGGTCTCCCTTAGACCAGAAATTCCCACCAAATGTAAGAGAACGAATGCTGAAAAACCACAGGAAGCTATTGTTCCCCTGGCCTGACTTTCGAACATCTTGGCCTCACTCTCGCTATCTGATGAGTGAACGTGGAAGCACAAATCCCTTTCCTTCTCCTGATCTGAAATTTAAAACGTGGCTTGAACTGCATTCGCCTCAACGCGAAAGTAACGTTCCCCAGTTGTCCGTGAAAAACTGTTTCCTGCAAAAGCTTAAAAGAATGAAGCCTCTGGAGTGATGATTCTTATCGTGTTATATTTTGTTTCTATAACGCAAACGTGGATTAGATGGTCCGTTTATGTCTTTTTTTTTTTTTAATAAACTATTATTCACAGGGGGAAAGGGGCAAGAAAGGCTCCAGGGGGCCTAAGGGGGATAAGGGAGACCAAGGAGCACCTGGATTAGACGCACCCTGTCCGTTGGTATGTTTCGTTTGATCACATGTATTGTTTTAAATTTAACCACAGGGGAAAAAAGAAGGAGTAAAGGCACTAGTCATTTGTCTGTGGAGATTCTCAATCGGTCCTCGTTGTCCCAAAGGTGCTTTTTCAAAAGGCAACTGGATTTTCTTGGGTTTTTCCTTGAAAACATTTCACTTCACGAGAAGTGAAATGCTTTCAAATTAAAAAAAAAAACCAAGAAAATCCAGTTGCCTTTTGAAAAAGCACCTTTGGGCACTAGTAATTGAATGCAAGGGATGCGGTGGCTCAGTGGCTAAGACGCTGAGCTTGACGATCGAAAGGTCGGCAGTTCAGCGGTTCGAATCCCTAGTGCCGCATAATGGGGTGAGCTCCCGTTACTTGTCCCAGCTTCTGCCAACCTAGCAGTTCGAAAACACGTAAAAAAGGCAAGTAGAAAAATAGGGACCACCTTTGGTGGGAAGGTAACAGCGTTCCGCGCGCCTTTGGTGTTGAGTCATGCCAGCCACATGATCACGGAGACGTCTTCGGACAGCGCTGGCTCTTCGGCTTAGAAACGGAGATGAGCACCGCCCCCTAGAGTCGGGAACGACTAGCACATATGTGCGAGGGGAACCTTTACCTTTAATTGCTTGCAGTACAAGATTGACTTCATTCATCTGTACAATTTGGTATGGAAAGAAATACAAATGAAGTTTTTGAAGCACCTGGATTCCCAAAAATAGTAGAAAAACGTAAGCTTTCTTCACTCGCTTCTTTAAACATTAAGGCCAATTCACCTGCACATTGCCATTTGAGTGTAGGTGAATTGTGCTGCACTGATGTGTCATGATACAATATGAATGTTGTGGACTACAATTGGATCTGCAATATGTTCAAGTCATCACTCGAGGTTGTAGTTATTGGGGTGAACATGCCCTAAATCAAATCTGAAACGCCTTCTTTTTTCCCCCATGATTGGTTCATAAATGATGTAATTAATGTATAGTTGATAATGATGCAATGCGCTCAGTTTATGATCCCAGCAGACCACAACATGATCGTAGTGTGAAGAAAAAGAGAACATTCTTGATATAAAACTATTTTATTAATGGTCTTTTTAACCACCATCCCCCCCACAGCTTTGGGGGATTAATTTCAAACATGGACCATTTTGTAGAAACTTTTACAGTTGATTCTTTGCCTTCTATATCCAGAAGGAAAGCATATTATTCCAGAAAACAAAAAAAAAGTGGCTTATCTTTTTTTTCACCATGATGTACAAATATCCTGGGGCTGTAAGCTAAGTGCATTTATATAAGTGCAAGTACATAATTGTTGACAGAGTTTCTCCAGCCAGAAAATGCAGATCATCTACACTGACTAAAGTAATTCTAGCGGTTGATTTCATGAACAGGGACTCCGAGGTTTTAAAGGCGAGAAGGGTGAGCCGGGGTTACCAGGGCTGGACGGGCTGGATGCCCCTTGCCCATTGGTATGGTGTTACCTTCCCTTTCCAGCATGTTCTAGATTGTGTTGGTTCACCTGCTCTTGCAATGTCCCTTTCCTTTCCTTTCTAGCAGCTTTCCAGATCATTGATGCTCAGGGTGCTTCTAGGCAGATATTTCCATTCTTTCAACAATCGTTTTTTAAACTGAGATAAAAGATGGAGGGGGGGGTTATAGGCAGGAGTGGGCTTCAAAAATTTTAGCAAGGGGTTCTCTGCCCAGTTGCTGGGTGGGCGTGGCCATGGTGGGTGTGGCCTAATCGGCCTCCTGCACCACAGCACGGGGCGTTTTTGCCCTCCCCGGGCTCCAGGGGGTTTCCTCAAGCCTTCAGGAGGGCGAAAACGGCCTCCCCAGCCTCCGGAGGCCCTCTGGAGGCCGGAAACCAGCCTTTTTCCAAAACTTCCAGTAGGCCTCCGCACGCGCCCTGCACTTACCTACATCCAAAACGGGCTGCATGGGGACTCTTGGGAAGGGAGGGGTGGGTTGGGCCAGCCAGGAGTGGGATTTGGGGGTTCTCTGAACTGCACAGAATCTTAACTAGAGGTTCTCCCAAACCCCTGAGAACCCCCAGCAGCCCATCCCTGGATATAGGAAACCAGGCAGAGATTTGAATGGAAGATGAGTGTCAGAATCTCCATTATGGATGGAGTATAATTACACAGCAGACATGGGGCCAGAAGCACCCAAAGCATTGGTCATGACTGCTTTGAAAATGACATAGTTGCTACTACCATTTTTCTTGCCCTACAAGAGTCAATCCTGAATTTAAAAAGCTTCATACTTGCTTTACTTCTTGCTTAACCTTACTCTTATAACATTTCTTGTTTACTCATCTAAAACCTCAGTCTGCACCCAAAACACCTGGCTGATCCAGATGGAGGGAAGAGGGCTCTCTGAAAACCCGCCAGCCAAAATCCACAAATTTATTTATTTATTTATTTATTTATTTATTTATTTATTTATTAGATTTTTATACCGCCCCCTCTCCCGAAGGACTCGGGGCGGTGAACAGCCAAAATTAAAAAACATACAATATAAACATTAAAATACGTTTAAAACAGAATTAAATCCAAAATGGCTCCCCAATTTAAAACGCCTTACCCATGACCCTATAAATAAGACGAATTTAAAATTTAAAATTTCCACATTTAAAAAGGGGGAAGATTTAGGCCAGGCCAGCTTGATAAAATAGAAAAGTCTTAAGCGCGCGGCGGAAGGTGCGCAGATCCGGGATCCTACGTATCTCCGGGGGGAGCTCGTTCCAAATCGTAGGTGCCCCCACAGAGAAGGCTCTCCCCCTAGGGGCCGACAGTCATTTGGGTCATTTATATATCATTTGTTCTTGCTCTTATTTATGGGAGCAGTCTTTTTGTTTTTCCAGTCAAGAATCTCCTCTCAGAGGTGATAATATGAGCCTCGGTGGCGCAGTGGTTAGAGTGCAGTACTGCAGGCTACTTCTGCTGTCTGCCGGCTGCCTGCAATTTGGCAGTTCGAATCTCACCAGGCTCAAGGTGGGTAAAATGAGGACCCAAATTGTTGGGGGCGGTAGGCTGATTCTGTAAACCGCTTAGAGAAGGCTGTAAAAGCACTGTGAAGCGGTAAGTCTAAGTGCCAGTGCTATAGTATACACTTATTTTTTAAAATTCTTTCATTCATACAACTAAGATCTTGGAAAACACTCAGATAAAATAATCATAAACAAAATACAATGAAACATAACAAATGTCACTTGTGTTTAACTTATTTTGCTTTGAAATAATCACCAGGTGTTCTGATAGGACTGTTAACGCTTTCTGCACCAACTCTTTCTATATTACGTTGGAACAGTTTGCTTCATTTGGAAATAAGATCCCGACAGTCATTTCTACTATTTATTCGAGGGGTGGGGGTTGTGAACACAGGGAAATCATTTGGTTTAGTTTGTTTTCATAAAAATGAGAAGCCTCCCTGAAGTGACAGAAACACACAACAATAGAAATTGTTATAGAAATTGTTATATCTTAATTTTGAGCATTGTTTGGTAGAAACATATAGTATTGGATAATTCCACCTTTCCTTAATTTCAAAAGAGACAAATTTAAACCCCTATTTTTAAAATAAACAAATTAATTGAACACACCATTGCAATATCATAGGATAACTGTTGAACAACATATGGAATATGAAATGAATTGGGTTAGCTGGAAAAATTACTGAGAATCAGGGAAGGTTCTCAATAGCACTTTTAGCATGGCAATAAAGAATTTCATCAAGGAACCTAGATTAAAATCTCAAATTCTAGGTATGTAAAAACCTAACAATTTTTCCTCAGTCTGCATATATTCTAATTTAAATAATTAATGTTCACTTTTGGGGCAATTTGGAAATTATATACTGTATGTATATTTGCCTGTATCTCACTGAATATTTTGGCTGTCACAGTGAAACCTCAAAAATGTTCAACACATCTAATTTTAATAAAAATTAAAATAGTGCAGTCTCATATTCTTAGGACTAGTTCCAATTACTTTGTTGCCAAATTCTCCGTAGGATAATCTTCATTTATTGGTGTTATTTTGTAAAAGACATACATATATATCCATCCTTCATGTAGGTCCAGGAATACAGTTTGTAAAAAAAAAAAAACATTAAGAATGACACCGTTTTTTCTTCTTTACATTCCTAAATTAATATGCTTTCTGACTCAAGCATGTCAGCTACTTAACATTTGCCTTGCATTCTGTGCAAATTTAGTGATTATGCTTTTTTCAACTTGAGATGCCTAATTTCTCCTTTTTACTAGTGTGTGTTTCCATTCCCAGCCTTTGCAAAAAAAATATACTTTTGTGACCATATCCTGCTGTTGATCCCTGAGTTGTAACTCCTGTCACACTCTCTCTAACTTTGGGGTTTATGTGCAATGCACTATATAATTCATTCCCATCAATGGGATCATTGTACCAATGGAATCTGTTTCCACTTCTTCTTAATAGAACCTTAGCTCTTGAATTTTACAGCTGTAAATATTAGGAAACGGCGTTTGATTTAGAAAGCACCCGATAATGTAAAGGCCAAAATGGTTATTTAGGGTGTTACTATGCAAAGATTTTGCACCAGCTCTGGTCCTCTGGGATCCCAGGATGTCAGCAGTGTTTGGGATTGGAGTCAATTTATTTCAAACTCAATCACAATTTATTTGAAACTGCCACAGAGCAGCCTTTTCCCTTTTTCTTTTCCTGGAAATCTTGTAAGTATATGGAGCAAGTGGACAGACTAGTTCCCCTGAGTGGAAACTCTTAGGACAACACATATCCTGGCAAGGTTTTTAAAGGAGAATGGAAACTTGAGGGTTTTGCAGCTCTCCTCACAAAACTATCTTTTTATTTGGGAAGAGCACATAAACAGATCAATCGATACAAAATGAAGGTCTTGGTATTCACATATTGATTACCCTTTCAGGAGTCACTGAGCTGTATTTCCCTTCTGCATTGAGTTATACAGGTAGTCAGTGGTGGGATTCATCCGGTTCGGGCTGGTTTGGGAGAACCGGTTGTTAAATTGCTGTCTGGCTCCTCCCCTCCCCTCCCCTCCCTGCCCCTTCCAGGAGTCCCCACATGCCCTATTTTGTCTCCCAGTTAAGTGCAGGGAGTCCTACTAGGCCCAAAACAGGACACAGGTGGGCGCCCCCCACCGCGGCCCGTTTTTTTTCCCAGGGGTGCAGGAGGCCAAGTGCTTCTTGGCCACGCCCACTGTGGCCATGCCCAACCAGCCGATCATTAGGGCAGAGAACCGGTTGTTAAATTATTTGAATCCCACCACTGCAGGTAGTCCTCGACTTACAACCACAATTGAGCCCAACATTTCTTTTGCTAAGCGAGACAGTATGTTAAGTGAACTTTGCCCCATTTTATAACCCTTCTTGCCACCGTTGTTAGGCGAATCATGGCAGTTGTTAAGTCAGTAGCACAGTTGTTAAGTGAATCTGGCTTCCTCCTTGACTTCGCTTGTCAGAAGGTCACAAAAGGAGACCACGTAACCTGGAGACACTGCAACTGCCATAAATATGAGTCGGTTGCCAAGCAGCCGAATTTTGGTCACGTGACCAACCATGGGGAGGCTGCAGCAGTCTTAAGTGTGAAAAATGGTCATAAGTCGCTTTTTCAGTGCCGTTGTAACTTCAAATGATCAATGAATGAATGGTTGTAAGTAGAGGATGACCTATTTTCAGAAGCCTAACCAGGAACATTTGAAGGAAAGGCTTGATCTTTCTCAACCAGTAATAGCTCCATCCTTGAAGTAAATTTCACAGCCATCACAGGAATTAGTGGGAAGCCTTTCTGATTTTGATGGACTTAGATTTCACGTACCAGTAGATCGTAGTGAAAGGCATAAAGTCAACTAGATCAGGGGTGTCAAACTCAAGGCCCGCAGGCCAGATCCAGCCTGTAGGGTGCTTAGATCTGGCCCATGGAGCTGCCCTGGAAACAGTGATGGACCAGCCCGAGGTGCCTCTGCCAGCAAAAATGGAGCCCAGGAGGGCTGCACATGGCCCTCCTGAGCTCCATTTTCACTGGCAGAGCGCTTGGGCCCCAACACGAGTGACGTCAAGCTGGCCATGCCCACCCTGGTCACGCCCACCCGGCCCTCCCGAGGTCAAACACAACCCTGATGAGGCCCTCAATGAAATCGAATTTGACACCTCTGAACTTGATGATGGGGAGTTTGGTCCAGGAGCGGGTTTCAAACCCCGTTGCTACTGGTTCGCTCATGGGTGCGCACTCACGCGCAAAGCTTCTGCACATGCGCAGAAGCGTCCAGGTGGGTAGGCGGAGCCTCCCACCAGTGCCGCTACCAGTTCACCCAATCTGGGGCGAACCGGTAGCAACCCACCACTGGTTTGGTCATGTATATTTTACAATATAGAACTTGGCATCACTTTGGCATCCACTCTCTAAGCAAAGCGTATTTCATTAGCTTAACTTAATCAATTGTTTTACGTGCTGTACAGATTCTACAGTTATAAAATTCTCCCTGTTCCGGTCTCTTCCTCTTCTTGTGTGTCCTGATTCTATAATTCTCTCTTGTAGGGGGAAGATGGGTTGCCAATTCAAGGATGCTGGAATAAGGTAAAAAATTCCTCAAAGGATAGCGTGTTATGGTGCTGGTTTTATTGCATGTTGTGAATATAGTAACAAATTATAAAGCATGAAAGTTGTATGGTAACATATTACCTTTCCATTTAGTACAATATGTACACGACAGGTTCATTAGATAGTACATGATGATTAGGGCAAAATGATACAAAATGTTGTCTCTTGAGATGCTACTACCGTATCTTTCAGAGTATAAGACTCACCTTTTTCCCCCCTAAAAGGGGGTGAAAATTTAGGTGCGTCATATACACCACATGTAGCCCCGCCCACCCACTGGCCCCCACTCTTTGGCCTCTGCCTCCCAGCAGTTTACCGCCTTGCTGCAAGTAGCAAGAAGAAACAGCTTCTTTCAGCTTCAGCACAGCCTAATTAGCAGAAGTTGATTGGATTGGCCTTTCGACTCTCAGCTGTTTTGCGTGGGCCTCTGCTGCTTGCTGTAAGGAGGTAAATTCTGGAACATATTTTTTTTCCCCTTGTGCTAATCAAGCTATGCTGAAAACGAAAATGAAAGTAAAGCAGACTGTTTGCTGTTTGCCGCAATGAGGCAAAATTGCTGGGAGGCAAAGGCAGAGGCAGATTTCTTTTTCTTGTTTTCCTCACCAAAAAAGGTAGGTGCGTCTTATAGTCAGGTGCCTCTTATACTCCAAAAAATACAGTAATCCCTTCGAAGGAAGTTCATTAACTCTAGTGGGGATTTTCTCTTCTAAGAGTGGTAACAGTTCAGAATCCAGAAGAGAAAAAGTTGTGTGCCTCTAACTCATACAAATGGCCATTTAGTGTTTCTTTTTATAAAAAAACAGAAGTGATTCCTCGCAGACAGATTCCAGAGTTTGCGTGTATAATTCAATATCACACCAACATTTTTTTAACATTTAGAGATATTTCCATGAATCTAATTATGTATATTGAAGTACTATTCAGAAGTACCCAAAATTCACAGGATTATATCGTATGGGTCAATGACCCCTTAATCTTTTACACCTCCAACAGGATGGGTGATACTAATATAGTTTTGTATGTTTTTCTTTTGCAGTGAATATTCTAACTATGGACTGGCCTGTGTGTATGTTTGTGCATAGAATATTTATTTTTATACATTGTTCTTTTTCGAAAGTGCCGACAGATATGCATAAATTGCTGCATATTTTTGTACATAAAATGCTACAATTCTGCTTTATAGCTGTCTGCCATTTGCTTGTATAATTATATATTTGTTGATAACTGTGCTTCTTGCATTGTGGAATTCAGCTGCAATACTGGCATGATATTTGTGCACTCAAAGAAAGTGCTACAGCTTAATAAGATGTTGGGTAAAGAATGCCAGGAAGAACCATTCTATGTATATACAAAGACAAAAAAAAAAAAATGGCAACGCGTGCAAAGAAATATTAAAATACTATGGATTTTTATTATTAAAAGGAAATGAAATAGCATTTGTAAATAAATTCTATATTGGTATTTTAATGTGCAAAATGAAATCAACATACTAAGAGGTAACAGTGGCAATTCATCTTCACGTTCACTACACACAAAGGTAGAAGCACAACATTGTTCAAAACTGAGGATAAGCAACTAGTCATATGTATACATCCTAAAAAGATTCCTAATGTCTTTAATGAGTCAAGACCAAGTTGATTTTTTCCCCCAGACTTCCGGTGGCAACGCGTCGTCGAGAGCAGCTCCTTTCGGAGCGCTAGCTCCATGATCTGTTAAAGCCGCTAAAACAGCGAAAAACAGAAGCACAATTTTTGATGCAAAATTACAGATCGGAAATGCAACTCTGATCAATTTAGCAAATAATGGAAATTTCTAGCATTTGTACATAGTTTTTCAGGAGATTCAGAAACTGCATAGAATGAGCCATCAGGAGTGACCCTGGTCCTGTGTTCTCTCTCCTCTCTAAATTCATTGGACCCAGTTTTCCAATATTCTTGTGCCCAGGGGTGGGCTTCAAAATTTTTTAGCAAGGGGTTCTCTGCCCGATTGCTGGGTGGCCGTGGCTATGGTGGGCGTGGCCTAGTCGGCCTCCTGTACCATGGCAGGGGGTGCATTTTTGCCTTCCCCGGGTTCTGGAGGCTTTCTTCGAGCCTCCAGGATGGCGAAAACGGCCTCCCCAGCTCTGGAGGCCCTCTACCCAAACTTCCGGTAGGCCCATTTTTCGCCCTCTCCGAGCCTCCGGATGTGCCCTGCACATACGTGCATCCAAAACAGGCCGTGTGGGGACTCCTGGGAGGGAGAGGTGGGGTGGGCAGGGCCAGCCAGGGGTGGGATTTGGGGGTTCTCTGAACTGCACAGAATCTTAGCTAGAGGTTCTTCCGAACCCCTGTGAACTCCCCAGCAATTCAGCCCTGCTTGTGCCACTAGGTCCATTTAATGCTCTGTTGAAGTAAATTCTTTAAGGGCAACAACGCAGAAAAGAAGAGGCTAACAGAGACATCCTTTTCTCAGAGCTGGAGATTTTTTTTGTAAAGAACTGGAAGGGAAATGGTAAATACACTGCTTTCTCCCTCCGCCTCATAACCTCAGCATCAAGCTAAATAGAATTTAAATAGGATTACCATTATTAACAGCCGTGGTGGCGCAGTGGTTAGAATGCAGTTTTGCAGGCTGACTCTGCCTACTGCCAGGAGTTCGATTCCTGACCAGCTCAAGGCTCACTCAGCCTTTCATCCTTCTGAGGTCGGTAAAATGAGTAGCCAGATTGTTGGGGAAAATATGCCGACTCTGTAAACCGCTTATAGTAAAGTACTGTGAAGTGGTATATAAGTCAAAGTGCTATTGATATTGCTATTATTTAAAATGCATTCACAGGGATGTGAGTGGAGGGAAATTTTGTATTGCATTTCAATCCCAACAGCTGTAAGTGATCATCATGAAAGATCAGGACCATAGAAGAAACAGAAATAACACAGTATCATTTTCTTTGACTCACATAAAACTTTCTAAAACTGCCATTTCTTGGGCCCATTCACTTATATTTCTTCTAGGCAGCTTGAGGAAAGGCTATTAGCAAAAATGGCTCCAGAGCAGTTCTATTAGTCCTCTGAACCACTAGATGGGTGGCAAATAACAAGTAGATAAATATAAATAAATAAATAAATCTTACTCTGTTTTCGTGCCTCTATCATAATTATAAGAACTCTGATTGCCATGTTGCAGCTGTGTCTTTGGTGATCTCAGTGAATAATCTACTCCAGTGTCTCTTAAACTTTTTTTAATCTCAGGATTCCTTCCTACTTTTAAAAATTATGGAGGGTACCAAATGAACTCTTGGTTGTAGGGATTATATTTACCAATGTTTATTATGTTAAAAATTACAATTGTATATTTGCGGCCACTATCACTTCTTATAATTGTTTGATGGGATTTTAATAGAGTAAATAGAGTAGAATAGAATAGAATAAGAATAGAATAGAATAGAATAGAATAGAATAGAATAGAATAGAATAGAATAGAATAGAATAGAATAGAATAGAATTTTTTTATTGGCCAAATGTGATTGGACACACAAGGATTTGTCTTTGGTGCATATGCTCTCAGTGTATATAAAAGATATGTTCATCAAGAATCATAAGGTACAACACTTAATGATAATCATAGGGTACAAATAAGCAATCAGGAAACAATATCAATATAAATTGTAAGGATACAAGCAACAAAATATAGTATGCCAACAAAAGCTGGCAAATATTGATTTTTGCATACCCCTGAGAGGCTCTTGGGGAAGTCCCAGATTGCCGAGGACCACACTTTGAGAAACACTGGTCTATATTATGTTAGACTGGACGTGGGTAGCAAATGCTAGATTTTTGTTTCGTTGCTTTTTCTAGTCTTGGGCATAATATATTCCCTCCCTCCAATTTATTATGGCACTTCTTTATATTGAATTTTGCTAAACTAACAGAGTTCGTTGCATTGAGGTTTTCTTATATTATATTTCTGTAATGCAACCAGCAAATTCTGGCAGCCATCACTAACTACAATGGTGTGTAGTGAGATTTCAATAAAGTCAATATGTATCCAGGTGGTCCTCGATATACAACCATTCATTTAGTCATCATTCAAAGTTACAACAGCATTGAAAAAAGTGATTTATAACTGGTTTTCACACTTATGACGGTTTCAGCATCCCCATGGTCACATGATCAAACTTCAGGCACTTGGCAACTTGCATGTATTCATGATGTACATGATGTACAGTGTACAGTATCCTGGGGTCATGTGATCACCATCTGTGATCTTCCCAGCTGAATTCCAACAAGTCAATGGGGAAAGCCAGACTCACTTAATGACTGCATGATTCACTTAACAACTGTGGCGATTTGCTGTGGCAAAAAGATCATAAAATGAGGCACAACTCACAACAACTGCCTCGTTTAGCAAGGAATTTTTGGGCTCAGTTGTGGTTGTATGTCGAGGACTACCTGCATCTTACTGTGCAACTCAAATAGGTATTTACCACTCATGTCTTAGATTCATTTGACACAAGATGCCATGTACTTATGGTGCCACTTACTGATTTGAGCGATGAACTGTAGAAAAATTGCAAATATACTGGCTGCAAATGACAGGGTTTTTTTTTAAAGAAAATGGTGACTAAATGTGGGCACTAGCAGTATAAGCCAAATACTAAATTTGCAGCTAGAAAAGGCAAATGTGGGTTACACTGTAATACAGGAGTCTCCAGCCTTGGCAACTTTTAAGACTTGTGGACTTCAATTCCCAGAACTCTGGGAATTGAATTTCACAAGTCTTAAAGCTGCCAAGGTTGGAGAAACCCTTGCTGTAATACACAACAACACTGCAGCACAGATAAGTAATTCCAAGGGAGATTTTTGCCTAGTGTTTAAGCCAGGGGTCAGCAACCTGCAGCTCTGGAGCTGCATGTGGCTCTTTCATCCCTCTGCTGCAGCTCCCTGTTGCTGGTCGGCTCCACAATTGATAGGGCTTTTGGTTAGGACAGGTAGAGGAAAAAGGACGCCATGCTAGGAGATGACTATGATGGGGGAACCAGACTTCCGGTTGGCTCCAGAATTGAATGGGGGCTTCTAGTTAGGACCTTTGTGGCTCTTTGAGTATTTAAGGTTGCCGACCCCTGGTTTAAGCAAATAGAAGCAGCATTTTTATTACACTCTACGAGACTTCTCTATGTCAAATAATTACATCTGTCCCTTAAAGGGTCAAACTCCTTGGCTGATAGCAAAATAATGAGACAAGTAAGAGAATGCAGATAACTTGTGGAAGGTCTCCGGCGATGACCCGAAGAACCTCTTGCTCAAAGATTTGCTGAAGATGTTGCATTACCGCCAACGAGCACCGACATGTTCTTGAGTCATGCACATCGGAGTTTTGTTCCTGAACGGCAGGCCTGGTGAGGCTACAGAAGATGGACTCAGCAGCGGGTTTTTGCTCCCTCCTTTCAGAATCAGCACAAAGTCGATCAGGAAAGAAACTGGCATCTGTTTCCTACTTTTTCCTTTTCAGTTTGGTCTGTGATGGAAGCCTTCAGTGAAGAGCTCAACCACGTTGTCTAACATGGTGTGAAATGTATTAGGACATAGGCAACGGTTCTATGACTGCTGGATTTTTTTTTTTTAAAGGACTTTCCGTTTGTCTAGATCATATACTTGAATCTAGATTTTTGAATAGCCCGGTGAAAATACAACCAGTTTCAACCAGCTCATCATTTTCTGCTTGCCAGTTGATGAACATTCATGTACTGTGTTCAGATTTGATGATTCCCTCCTCGATACTTTCACAGATTCTCTTCGAAAGCAAATGAATTCTTTTCTTCCAGAAACTTATTTCTTTTCAGTGTAGTAGAAGATCATTTTCATTTTAGCGTTGTTTTTGTGGTTTTAGTAATTTTTGGACTTGTATTTTTTTGTATTGGAAACATATGGCTTGAAGTTTGCCCTGATAATATATTATATAGATTTTTTTTTCCAACACAACTGTCCCAGTACTAAAACGTAAGAGATTATTGCTTTTATAATACTTCTAATACAGGTCTATAGGGAAAACAATTAGTCAAAAAAATAACACTTTGCCTTTGATTCTATTATTGAAGACTTTTAGTAAATTATTTTAATACAGTTCTGCAGAAACAATAATCATTTGCTATTTAGATGTAGTACCACATAATTTATCAATGTATAATCCCTTGGTTTGTATGCA